TCTCGCCGGGAGACGAGGCTTAGATCCTCAATATGTCCGGTTATTACCGATCTCCTAGAGTTGGATGGTGGTAATTCTGTATATGCTCGGAGAGTTGCTCGGAAACCTGTCCGATCACGGAGTACTGTGAGGTAGGCATGGTTCAGTGGGGCTTGTAACCTCCTCTTACTCTCGCTAATGTTTCCACAGACAAGCTGTTCCTCGAGGTTTGGAGACCTCGATCTTCGACGTCCATTTCAACCAGGTTCCGTTTCTGACTCGGGAGGATTTCCAACGTCCTTATCCCTTCTTCCAACAAGGGGACAGGAGTGTTGGTCAGGCTCGTGTCCGTGTGGCAGCGAGGGAGAAACGGGAACAGGTGCGGTGGATGCAGGAGGAGATTGAGCGAGATGGGAGCGGAGCGGAGTGGATGCGGCAGAGAGTGGTACAAGAAGAGCGGAATGAGAGACAGAAACTGGCACTCGAAGCGCATTACGAGGCATGGTGGCGCCAGAAGAAAGCCAGTTATCCTCCTCTTCCGGACCCTGCCTGTCGTCATCATGGACGGAGGGAGATTGACTTTGGTTGGGACTGGGGCCCAGATGGGGAATGGGGTCCTCTGATCAATGGGGCTATCAGGATTTTTTAGGAGCGATCCTAGATGTGGTCTCCTTTCGAGCGAAGCTGGGCGCTATATCCCTTTGAGCAAATGTGAGTGCTATAACCCTTTAAGCGAATATGGGCGCTATAACCCTTTGACGAATACAGTGGAGACTATAGTAACGTGTTAGCCTCTCCCATGCCAGCCCAAGCTGAATAAAAGAAAGCTAACTGCTTGGTTATTTTAGCGTTGAGAGCGGTCCCAGATGTTCAGGTAGATTTTTTCCTTTCGTGGTGCTCTTTAAGCGAGGAGCTTAAAGTTATACTGTAACGGGGGTGCTAGTTTGGGCACGACCATGACTTCGATCGAAATAGAAGTGGTAAACGGGGAACGATGGATTCTTTGGCTCGTTCGATCGAAAGATGGAGTTTATTTGTTTGATCGTATTTGTAGTCTAAAAACTTAATAACTTTAAGGGGTCTCCTCGCTAGTAAAGATTCCATGACTCCCCGAGTTCAAACTGGGGGCAACCGAGTACTTTTTATCGAAGTTCCGCCCCTTTTTTCCCGCTTTTCCTCTCTAGGCCGTCCGTCCCTCCCTAGTCCGGGGACACCGCGACTTTTTTCTATGAGGGGCGAGAGGAGTTGCTGCCACACCTCGGACGAACTTCCGCCAGAGTCAAATCACGCAATCTCTGCCAAGAGCTGGTCGGGATCCTAAGAACTAGCGGAAACAACCGACCAGATAGCAATTGCTTATTCAATTTGTTTTAGAACAGATTTGGTGTTTTGTAAAGCGAGGTTTGCTTTTAGTAGCTTGGGTCGTACTCCTACTCCCCCTCAAAGGTGCACCAGGCTGAAACAGGAGTGTTCCGGCGGTTCGACGCTCCGGGGGTTATTTTTGGGGTCTAAAACGTGTTTATTTTGCAGTGTTTCCTCAACTCCGCAATCCGTTCATTCAACCACCCCAAATAGACCGGAGCATCGTCGGGATCCTTTCTGATGTGGTAAAGAATATTTTCCGAGCATCGGTTGCTAAGTTATTGCGCCTCAAAGGTTGACTTCCAAGGTAGGGTAACTTATGTTTGGGGTTGCCCTTCCTTATTTGGCATGCTCGTCCTTCTGCTCTAGTTTTGGTCCAGTCGCCTAGCTTGACTTATAAGACTTCTTGCCCGCCAGGATCCCTACCCTTCATACCAATAGAGGTAGGGGTCATCTGCCCTTATCTTCATCCATCGATGAAGAACAAGCGGTGATTATCCTAGGGTCGTATGGCTTGACTGGTAGAACAGGTACTTTTGTAACAGCCCTACTGTGGCTCTGTTACAGGAGTTGCTATCACACCTCGGACGAACTTCCGCCCGAGTCAAATCACGCAATCTCATCCAAGAGCTGGTCGGGATCCTAAGAACTAGTGGAAACAACTGACCAGATTGCAATTGCTTATTCAATTTGTTTTTAGAATAGATTTGGTGTTTTGTAAAGCGAGGTTTGCTTTAGTACTTTGGGTCGTGCTCCTATTCCCCAAAGATGCACCGGGCTGAAACAGGAGGGTTCCGACGGTTTGACGCTCCGGGGCTTATTTTTGGGGTCTAAAACGTATTTATTTTGCAGCGTTTCCTCAACGCCGCAACGCGTTCATTAGATCAGCCTAAATCGACCGGAGCGCCGCCAGGGTCCTTTCTAACGTGCTAAAGCATATTCTCCGGACATCGGTTGTAAAGTTATTGCACCTCCAAGGTCGACCACCAAGGTTGTGTAACTTATGTTAGGGGTTACCCTTCCTATCGGCATGTTTGTCCTTCTGTTCTAGTTTTATCCAATCACCTAGTTTGACTCATGGGGCTCGTTGCTCGCTAAGATCTCTACCTTCCATACCAATAGAGGTAGGGGCTCACCTGCCCTTGTCTTCACCCGTCGATTAAGAACAAGCTGTGGTTACCCTAGGGTCGTATGGCTCTGACTGATAAAACAGGTATTGTTGTAACGGTCTGATAATAGCCCCGTTACAGATCATCCTCGCCCAACTGTCTGGATTCTTCTCTATCTTTACCCTTGAGAACTATTTTGAGTATTCAATATGTAGCAGAGCCTTTGAAGATTACCGAGCTCTAGTGATAGTATTTTTGAATACTCTGTAACTTGATTCCTATCTTCCATGGTCGTCTCTATTCTATCTTGATCTATTCTTATCAGACGAGATTCTCGTTACAATAATATCCCCAACACTATTGCTCCTGACAATAATTTTTCATAGGTCTACTAGTACACCGATGTTGAGGCTTTTAACCCCGTTACCGCACTCCAAGTTTGATAACAATCCACACCTGTCAAACGAGCCAACAAGGCACCGTCCTCAATGGTCTTTTCCGTTATCGGATGTTCCTTCTATGACCAAGCTCTCCAGCAACGCCTCCCACTCTTCGGGTCATCACGCAGGACCGAGCGGGATTCCAGTTTGGATCAGATACTAAATGCTCAACCTGCTTCACTTATGGCCACATCGAACTACGATGTACTTACTCGAACAGATGTCACATCTACAAGAGTACTCAAACCAGCTGCTCCCACAGCTGCTACAGAGCAGACTGTCCAGTAAAAGGGTCAGACTACTTTCATACATATATACTCTACGCCAACTACAGAGGAAATAACAGAGGGAACTATAAGCAGTAACCGACATATACAACTATCCACAACACGGTAGCAGAACAGGGATATCTGGTCTTCAAATTTGGTTTTTTTTTGTCTTTTCTTTCCACCTTATGATATCGGTCTTTACTTTGCCTTCCCCACTTCGGACAGCATGGCTGAGTGATAAGCAGACGCATTATGAGGTCTGTATGGAAGCTTTTCGGTGATGTCTAGCACAAATACGGGTGTTGGAATGATGAGGGTAAACTATCTGATAAACTAGACAAGGGGTATGCTGGTCACGGTTCCGCAGAGGATTTCGGTCATTGATTTTGTGCCTTGGGATTTTGTATTTAGGCCATGCTGTTTTGGTTTCATCTTGTCTTGTTAGCCGCCATACCCGGTTCGGGTGCATGCGATGTATGAACAATAAATAAATAAATAAATAACAGGCCCCATGTGTGCTTACACCAGCCATTGGAATGGCTCTGCTACAGCTCCTCGACGAACTCCATTGAGTTCCCGTTCCTTTTCTTAATCCAATTCTTGAACATAGTTTTTATTGCTGCCATCCGAAGGAAGCCCTCCATTACATGGCTTTTCAGAGCATCAAATTTAAACCTGGTGAAGTGATAGAAGTTAGCATCTGGGGGAGAGTTTATCTCACAATCTTCCTATGCATCAGAGGGACTAGAGAAATCGTCAAAATCTATACTGAATATTTCTGTCCGGTACAGAAAAAATTATCAGATTTTCTACTCATCTGAATACAATAAAACTACTTACGATTGTTAATGTCACTACTTTGTCACCACTGTCTCTGGGGCGAATCAGTGTCACTGCGGCAAGATCCACCACTGTGGCTGGATCCACAAAAATTGAGATCCGCAAAATGTCAATTCTCATAACTCACGGTTGTCAAATAAGTTCTATTGTGAGGCCTTTATCACTCCAAAGGTGAAGCCCCAGCGAGCGGGACCATGCGAAAAACCTTGGCCAATAATCGCGAGTAGCTGACCCCGCTTATTAACAATTCCGACACTGCATTGGTTGTCAACCGAACAGGCGATAAAAAAATAGGTCGTGAAAACAGGCGTTGCAACGGGGCGATGTTTCACGACCTTCTACTGAAGTAGTATGTAGCCAGGATACATGTAATTTGTACGCACTGGAAGCATTTCGAAAAGAACCCAAATCTGAGATGATTTTTAGTGGGGAAAGGACGCCACCGGCGGGCCCTTCCGGCGTGTGACTATTTAGAAACAATTGTTTTCCCACGGTATCTATTTATTTTTATTTTTTTATTTTCATTTTTTTACTTTTATTTTTTTATTTTCGCTTCTTCCCGTTTATAGGACATAGGTAGAAGAAATCGTCATGGTCAGCCTTTTGCTTCCAAGATCAGTTTTTGTTAAATTATCTCAAAGTGATTATATTTGAGCTTCTTTTTTCGTTGCAAGGATACAAAGAATAGCCGCGAAGCTTCTACGCGTGTTCCATTGTGTTTCCCCTTTATCTCTCTTCAGCTAGATTCGCCTCCATCTATCAGCAGTTTCAAATCGGTCTCGTTACATGCAATCGCATCGTTTCCTCCATACGTCTACACTTTTCACTGGTGCTGCGCTGAAATATATCTGAGGATAGGAAAGAAGCCCATACCTATACACCCTCGTGCTGAAATATATTCCTCCCTCTCGCCACAATCCTATTCCGGTCCCACTTTGTTTTCAACCGAAGAACCCCTGCTCTAACGTGTCACTATCTCTCGATCGTGTATTTTAACTGTCATGAGTTTTTTCGCCAAGTTCAATAAGACCGGAACGACACCAATCACTCCTCAGAAGTTTACGGTGAAGACTATTAAGGTGGCCTCCGAACCGAAGTCTAAACCGACAGAGCTTCTACCAAACAGATCTGTTTCTGCAGTGAGGGGGGATGGGGAGTCGAAGCGTGATAACGGTCGGGCCACACCACTGCACCATCCTAGTTCCAAACGCCTGACATCTTCGTCCCGGAAACGTAAACATTTTGAGCAGTCTAAAGGCCCTTCTTCGTCGGCGCCAGATTTGCTGAGACCTCCCAGTCCTGGGTCGTTAGCATCCTCGAGAAACCGCTACAGGCACTCCTCTTCAAGATCGCCATTATCTTTACGCCTCGAGTCAAGTGACGAAAGTTCCAGCGATGGCGACAACACTGACGAGCGAGCAACCAAGCGTTACAAAAGTGTATCGCCTGCTGCTCCAACACAATCCCGTAACAGGAACCTAGTGAACCCACTGAGCTTTCGGAGTATCTCAACATCAACCAATTTAGAGAATAGCTCATTTGTTCATGCGGATCAGATCGCCAGCATTGGCAATAAGACCTGGGGAAAGAATAGTACGCGCGGTATGCCTAATATCTCAAATCTCCATTGAGAAGAATGAACGACTGATGGCTTCGAGGACGTAGTTTTCAAGAAATCAGACAATAAGTTGTTAGATATCAAGCTCCAATACCCTGGGATATCGCAGTCTGAGAGGTAATAAATATACTCCGAAATTAGTCTGCTCAGAACGGTTTCTAAAAGACATCGCATAGGTATCAGCTTGTGCAGCACACCGATACAGATGAGTTCAACCCGGTAGCAGACATTCTAACCACCATGGAGCATGTTGCAAACCATCTCCTCACCGACCCACAAGCCGATGAGATATTTTCTGAGACATCCGGTGGCTTAGTGTATTCCCTGCGACGTGCTTTGAAAAATGGTGAATCAGCCAAATTTCACGAAGGCGTCGAAAAGTATAATCGCCTTGTGCGAAAATACCGAAAGGATGGAACTTTCAAAACAAGGATCGCGGAGATGGGCGCGCTTCCATTCTCACTAGTTGAGCATATACTTGCTCAGACGTATGCCCGTACTGTAGCCCCTCAGGTAGATACTCTGAAAGAGTATGTTGCGTTCTCGAGCACAGTTTACGGAGAACTTTTGCCTAAATTTACAACGAAGCTGTTTAAGGATGCCGATTTGACAATGGACAAGGTTTTTGTTGATCTCGGGAGTGGAACGGGAAATGTCGTGCTCCATGCGGCTCTAGAAATAGGATGCGAAAGCTGGGGCTGTGAAATCATGCCGAACGCCATTGCTCTTGCGCAGAAGCAGCAAAAAGAATTTGAGGCCCGCTGTAAGATGTGGGGAGTCAACCCCGGAAAAGTGAGACTCGAAAGAGGCGATTTTCTCGAGAATCGAAGAATTGCTGACATCCTGAAAAGAACCGATGTATTGGTGAGGCTCTTATCATCTCTTATTTTCATAGGCAATAGCAAGGCTTTATTACTATTTTTTGTTCTCCACCTAACAATTCTTCTACATAAAGTTAGTCAACAATTACGTCTTTGACTCGAGTCTGAATCAACGTTTACTCGACATGTTCTTGGACTTGAAAGAAGGGGCAAAAGTACTTTCACTGAAGCCATTCGTCCCTGCCAATCATGTTATCACCTCGCGCACAGCTGGAAATCCTGTTAGTAGGCTCAGACTGGAGGAAAAAGAATATTTCTCCAATTCGGTTTCGTGGACGCATGCTGGTGGGAAGTATTACATCCAAACTGTCGATGAAAGCATGTTGAGAGATTTCTATGAGAAGGAAAAGAGCCAAACGGTCTGAAATCCCCTGATAACTGAAAGTTTATCGACCGCCGTGGTACTGCATTTCAATAGTTAGGTGATTGTTCTTGTCATCCCTTTCGTATCTACATTTTATCTAAGCTGCGTCTCTTTTGCCCTTACGAGAGTCTCACAGGTGATCGTTCCTGTGGTCTAGACGCTTTTTTGATGGATGCTACATGGCCATGGAGTTCGTGGAATTTGGTCAGGAATTTGTAATATGCCTCTTCTACCTTTTTTTACCTGCTGTACAATAGCGATGCGGCGTTACCAATGCTAAGTGTTTTCTCGTATGACTTTACTAATTGATAATCCAGGCATACGCTGGGTTTTTACAGTATCTCTACTAATAATAATCAACGCATCTTTCCAAGGTTGTGAAGCCCAGTATAATCATAAAATTCATGAAAAATTGGACCTGGTGTACTTCAGGCGACGAGCATAAGAGGAAGCCATTGAGAAAATACTGTAATACCAACCATATCTTGCCAAGTATCTAATTATTAGAAGAGCAATCTATTCCCAATTGGATGCTCGGTTCATGCTTTCAGCCTTTTTTGCCATCTCAGCCATGTATCGATCGACAAGTTCCTTATTCTCCTTCCGTACGGCCTCTTCTCTCTTAGTCAGCATGTTCAGTTCCATTGTAAGGGTCAAGATTTCATCTTGTAGCTCCTTTTAGGTTCCGATTTGTAAAAGTTATATGTGGTTAGCATCCAAGAATACTAGAACTCAATATGGGGAAGTATAACAGCGGGTGTATTGGGAATGAGGATGGTCTAACCTGGATATGTTTGTTTTTAGCTCGGACTTCCTCCTCCAAGTCTCTAGTTCTTCGATCTAGTCGGTTCCGTTCTAAAATTATACGGTCTTGCTGCTCAAGCTTTCTCTGAAGCGTGTCTTTCTCTTCACCCACCGCTTTGAGGCTCAACTGTAAGTGAGCTTTGGTCTGTTGTGCGGCGGTCAAATCGGCTTTTAGCTGGGTAAGTCCTGCGGTAGCCCCACCTAGGTCTCCACCTTCTGGGACTCCATCCCCGAGTGCATTAGAAGCATCTTTGGATGAAGCGGAAGACTCGTGAATTGAGGTGGTGCGTGACGCTAGACGAGAGTCTAATCTATAACATTTATGTTAGATTATCCACGAGTCTTAAGAGGATTTAGCGGGTATTTTCAGCGATGAATGAGAAGGGGAGAGGACAGGCAGAGATAAAATCATCATGGGACTTCTCCCGTTTATCGCGCTGGGCAAGAGAGCTCAAGAAATCTGTTCTCCACGATGAGGATGAAATATGAGAGGAGGATAATGCTGAAGAAACTGTTGTCATAGTTCGCTTATTTAACAGGGCAGTATGGTTGTAGGTCTTTGTGGGAACAAAGATATGTGGTGTAGTTAATTGGGTACCAGTACTATGGCGCGAGAAGGCATAGGGTGTGTCAACTTCAGAGGAACTTTTTTTGTATGGGAATTAGCGAAAATTCCACCGTCAGGCTAGGCTCTAGTACCATTATGGGGGTAGATCTCCCCATAATGGTACTAGAGCCTAGCCTGACGGTGGAATTTTCGCTAATTCCCATACAAAAAAAGTTCCTCTGAAGTTGACACACCCACCCCTTATGCCTTCTCGCGCCATAGGTCTGTCTAAGTACCAGTTTAGAGAGTCTCGTGCCCAGCCTGTGTTTGCTTTGATCCAGTGCGACAACAAAACAGTCTGGGAACGAGACTAAGGTAGGGTACTGTACGTACAGTACCGTGACATAAGTCACCGACTTTAAGCAAAACACACCAAAATTGGCCAAAATGGGCACCTTCTTGAACCCTCAATTCTTTATCAATTACCATAGAGCTTTCAGTATAGGAATATACACTATAGAGGAACATATTTTTGAGATTAAGAGCTTCCAGATGATTTTCCTAATCATTAATTTTTATTCTACCAATTGGTATAGGTTATATCTTAAAATTGTGGGTGCTAGGGCTATTTGAAAAGGGCTGATTTTGCCGTTTTTTGGCGCGAGGACAATGACTTACGTCCAAGAACTACATATACATGTAGTTCCCACCAGGTGACAAAATAGTTAGCGAACCCACCATCCTCTAAGGGAAAACGCTGTATTCCCGCGAGGAGAGTTCGTATTTCCTTAGGTACGAGGTACATACATGTACTTGCTTACCAGCAAAAGAATTGCTCAGGGCAAGGATACATGTCGTTTGTATGGAGTGGCGCCGTTCTCTCATACAAATAATCCCTGGTTCTTTTGCTGGTAAGCAAGTAGGTACAATGTAGCTTCACCATCCATGTTTTCTAGGGTTAGGGTACATACAAACAAAAGCAACATCATTCCTGCGTCCTATGCTAAGCACCCGGGTATGTACATGTATGTTATGTAGGTAGAGTACCGGGTCGCACGAGTCGAATGACTTGAGCTCAAACAATCTGATAAGATATAACGCGTTTCACTACACCCGACACCTTTTCCCCCAGAGCCTGAATCAAGGCTCTGGTATAAAGTCACGGGATGCTTGGGTTCTTTATGGGGCGAGGGTGTTGTGTCCTCTCAATCACCTGAGATGTCTGAACTTGTCGATTGGGACCTTGAAGTCGACTGTTGAGCCATCCGATTAATATAGAGTACCTACATGTACAGCCACTCTGCAAAAGTGTTCGTGATTCCGATTTCGGAGTGAGACATTTCTCCATATGAACCGCGGCGGACCATCAAGAACCCCCCAAGAGAAGACTTTCCCAGTGACCAATGGCGCCCAAATTAATGATATAGTCACAAACTATATTATATATTTTTCGTTGTTTTGAATCTCAACTTTAATAAGATCAGTATTACGGGTGCGCCACACTGCGCACTGACATTAAAACCATATCATGAACACTTTTGCTGAGTGGCTGTACATACATGTACATAAAAAGCTAGAGTACCGGGTGTTGAGGGTAAGTGATCAGAATCTGATAAGTGAATGTTACGGTGAATAGGTGTATTTGTCTTATCAGATTCTGATCACTTTTCGCTACACCTAGTACATGTAAGTACATGTAGGTACTTTAGATATCGGCTTAATATTAGTAATTACATGTAATCTTCGTTAGAATTGGCTGACCACGTGATTCGGGACCTACATAACCCATCCTCCATCGATTGACCCCAGCTCCACCCCATACATATTCGGACACCTTGATATTCATAAAATTATGACTAGCAGAGAACCTTCGTCACCCAACGAGTCTGACACTCCGTTATTGAATAACGAGCCGGCAATAAGTATACGCCGCATGAAGCAAGTCCATATTGGTATGTTTATACCTGAATATAAAGTAAAGTAGAATGTGCCCAATCCTCGGAATGCTCACTTCTATCTAAGATCGCTCCACCAGGAAAAAACTCGGGATTCTACTGTTATCGGTTGTCATTGTCCTCTGGGTTTCCAGCTCCTTCTTGACTTATGCTATATTCTCTGATGACTCTTATACAAAGCCATATTTTGTGACATACCTCAATACATCGGTGTTCTGCTTCTATTTGATGCCATGGGCATCAAGGAAAGCGCTCGTTCGATGGAGAAGCAATGATGCGGAGGGTTGGGCGGAGGACGCTGTGGGACGTTGCGAATATCGTCCAGTTACGCAAGACTGCGAACAGTCGGAAGATGCGGCGAATGCCCCTGGCAGGGTGGGAAAATTGGGAATTAGGGAGACCATGAGGTTGAGTGCTGAATTTTGTTTGATGTGGTTTATTGTGTGTTTTTGACCTCGGCACTATTGTTTAGAGTGCAAAGGGTTGCTGACTTGATGGTATTCATAGGCAAACTATTTTCAAAGCTACTGCTTGAAATGGACGTCAGTAGCTAGTTCAACCATCTTAAGTTGTACCAGCAGTACTTTCCCCACGCTCTCTCAGTTAAATCGTGCCAGATGGAGCTGAGCTAATTCACATTATCGCGATTGGTGAATATTATCAGGCATCTTTACTTTAACCCTTAGTGCGCTTCTCAGGATCGAACGATTCTCTTGGACAAAATTATTTTCAGTGTTTCTCTCGATCGCTGGTATATCACTTATATCCAGTATCGATTTCGACAGCCACAAGGAATCAGTAGCAGGTAAATATGATAAAACGCCAGCGGAAATCATGCTTGGTGATGGCATGGCATTATTTGGAGCTTTTTCATACGGGGTCTACACTACACTGCTCAAGGTACGCGTTGGACATGAAAGCAGGGTCTCGATGCAAATGTTTTTCGGCTTCGTTGGTCTATTTAATCTCCTTGGTCTATGGCCCGGCCTGTTTCTTTTACATGCCATGGGGGTGGAGAAATTCCAGCTGCCGCCAGATAATAGAGTATGGTGGATTGTTGCCGTTAGTTTATTCCCACCCTCTTGGACTCCTGCGTTATCTTTCCATCTCCATTTTGAATACATAGGCTCAACCAACGTTTTATCTAGATCAACGCACTTATCACTCTTGTTTCTGACTATTGTTGGGCATATGCCATGCTCCTTACAACTCCCCTCATCGTCACTGTTGGTCTCAGCTTGACCATTCCCCTCGCGCTGCTGGGACAAATGCTCTTACATCAAAATTCTCCGAAATTTCTTTATTGGGTTGGGGCGGCGCTAGTCCTCGTCGCCTTTCTCTTCATTAATAATGAAAGTGAGACTTTAGATGCAGTAATAGAAAATGAGGCAGCAGGGGAATTCGCCGTCGAACATGACCGAATAGATTAGTCCATTTGAGGGCTATTGGTGGGCTATTTCAAAAAATAATTTCTGCTAGTTTGACTTGGGACCACAATTGTTTTTGTTTTGACATTTACCCCAAAGCCTATATAGAGCTTATTGCTTTCGAGGATTTCCAGCAATTAATTCAAAACTTGTGACAATCGACCCCACACCTTACGTGGAGTAGACTTATGTATTTCATCCCTCGAAGAGTTTGTAAGCGTATCTAGGTCTAACTCTAACACCCCTTACTAACTTCCTACGAAATATCGTTTCTAATATCGTTTCTAATATATTATTTAAGGCAGGGTGCCAAGTGATATATTACTATTTAATACTCTAGAAATCTACAATAGCGAGAATATATATCAAAACTTGTATTTATTTTCAATGTCATTAGATGATTGACAAGGCGCGCGGTCCAAAAATGTCACTGGCGAGTTACTTCAGAAATCGTCTCATCGAGTGATATATTGTGATACTGTCGCAATGCCCTTTCCAGTACGGTAAGCAGAGTCTGAATTAGATAACATACATGTATCATGTATATGTGTGTGCATGTATACAAGTTAGTCCATGTCAGTCGGCTCTATGATTAACGGTAGTCACCGATGATTTACTCTATGTATACTTTATGAACGAAATTTTAATTGTCCGCAACATTCGTAGCTAAGAGAGATGATGAGTTGTGCAATGAATAAATGCATAACAATTACCAGGGGGTTGGACTAGTATCTTTAAGATCTTATCTAGGCATTTATTTATTTACACTAGGTTCGACTCCACAACGATTTATATTCTACTGGAATCTAGCAAAAAAAGTCACTCATGTGGAAGATACTACTCAATATCAATCAATAAGTAATACGTACTATGTAACCCCCAAACATTGAAAAGGAAATGGACAGGTGCGACAAAGGAAAATGAAACAATATAAGGAAAATCAGCCAGCGAACTCTTCTTGTTGCAGAGCCTACAAGGCTGGAGAAAAAACTGTATAAAGGACCCAGAGAAAAAAATGCAACATGAATCCGATAAGAGAGAAATGGAAATTATAAACTAAACAATGCGCCACAAAGTGATAAACTCTGGAGGCAAAAATAAAGAAAGGTTATTAATAGAAGGGCGTAATATTTTTGAGGATTCCCTACCCATTGCTTTCCAGTAAGCCCAACAGAACGCCTCCCTATAGTTCCACAGGTTTTTCTGGTTATGGGCTTACTATTACAAGAAAATAAAAGCCGTTATCACCGAATACCACAAGCAGATCCCCATAACCCAACCTGAGAAACCCCAGCCCTGTTCAACGCAGAGAGGGAACAGGGCAAAAAAAAAAGATAGAAAAAGAAAAAGGAGACAATAAAAAACCGATGAGATTGAAAAGCGTTGAAGTTCAAGAGAGGCCCGCTCTCTCTGTGTACCAAACCGGAATCCCACACTCCTCTGATGATCATTCAAAGTTACACGACGAAAACACGAGGGCAGTCATATGAAAAAAGGAAAAACAAAATGAGATGAGATGAAACCCAATAGCTAAGAAATAGACGAATACTTTGACAGAGGACGATTTGCAAATGCAGGTCTGTACTGCGCAGTACCGTAGCGTGAAAGAATAATCGCATTACATCATATTCCCTTGAGGCGAAACACCTTGGGACATCGGGTAATGCATCATGTGCTGCATGTCAACTTCGTCTGAATCGTCAAGTGCCGATGGAGAGCTGCCTGACATGGTCAATGATTGCTTTGAATACAGTTCGCTTAAACCAACACCATCATCCGAAAGATTTCCGTGGTGATCATATGTCTCTGGAAAGAGCTCAGAGCTGTCCGCGCGGTGCATGTGTGACAAGGGCGGTGAAGCACTTGCAATCACAGGATCACCATGACCCATTGAAATTGGAGAGACTGAAGGATTGATGACCCCCGTGGGATCAATCATTGGCGATAAGAATGGCAAACTGTAGGGAGTACCGTAGCCATTTCCATTCATATCAGGCTGTAAAGAAGAATTGAGCATTGATGGACTAGCATAATCAGAGGGCGAAGTTGTGGTGGCTGCAGAAAGAGGGTAGGCTGAGCCAGGTCTATAATCGAGAAAACCTGATGAGGATGTATCAATACGTAAAGGATTCGAAAGCCCAGGATTGACCAGTGAGTGAGGATGTTGCGGCGCTGGGGCGTATAGATGATCCTGTGGGTCCTGGAAAGAGAAGGATGGCATATTGTACTGTGAAAAGTCAATGGCGCTCGGTACGGATCTACTCCTTGTTCGGCGATGCTTTTGGTGGAAGTTGTGGCTAAATGTGGGATCCTGGGGGTATACCGATAATGAATCGACATCGTTTGATGAAGCAGGGCGTATGATTTGTGGAGAGACAGGAGCAGAAACCGACAGGGTGGGGTGCTCGTAAAACGCCATGTGCGCAGGAGGGTGGTTGTGTCTGTTAGCAAAAGATTCTGATGTCATCAACTTTGCAAGTTGACCCTGGAGCACTTTAGGGGGCCCCCCAAGTTGATGGACCAAAACTTGGGAAGCTTGTTGATCTTCTGTGAAATCACGGCATTGGTAAAACCCCCCGGAGCCGGACGAATCCATGAAGAAGTTTGGTGGCTGGGTCAGACTGATAACAAGCTGACCCTGCTTCTGTGTTCCATTGGCGGCAGATGTGGGTGAGTCCAATCCCTCGAGCTCGATGTTTTTAATAGACGAGAAAGGATATTCAATCTTATAACCAGCGGAGTCATTGTTGATATAGTAAGTAATACACGCCTTTTCAGGTGAGTAGAAGATAACAAGATCCATTGCATTCTGGCCGACGCGGCGCCAGGAACCAATGGTCAATGATCGACAGGTAAAATGATGGATAACTAATCTAGTAAGTTTTGCGCCCAGGTAATAGGTGAATCCTTTTACTTACCAATCTTTCCTTGGGGACTTGGTTCAGGAGTCAACATCATATTGCCGTTGCCGTAGGCCGAAAGACTTCGGGAACGGTCTGCCATCATGTCACGAGGATATCCCTTTCCATTTTCCATTGCCTGCATAGCCAAGTACTGACGCATGCAATCGGGAATCGCGTCACAGTCCTCTCCAGTTTCAATGCTCTTTTTCGCTAAATGCTTGATCTTTGCTCGTCTAGAAAATTCCAACATGTATTAGGAAAGTGGATGAGGCCTTGGAAAGAAGAAAACATACCGATTCTGAAACCAAATTTGAACTGAACGTTCAGTCATGTTGATCTCCTGAGCAATACGTTCACGCACGACGGCGGTTGGCGTAGGATTCTTATTGAACTCGGCTTCCAGGGTCACGAGTTGCTCCTGCGTTGCTCTCTGACGTTTCTGGTTTTTCTGTTGTTGTGTAAGTGTGCTCTTCCTTGGTGGTCGTCGCGAGCCATTTGTTTGATGTAGCTGCTGATGAGGGGGAGAAGGAGAAGGAGAAGTCAATGAAGACATCCTGTATAGCGTGGTTCTCTACTAGTTTATAGAAAGACGCGACTATTCACTCGAATCAGTTTCAAAGTTCATGACCAACGTGATACGCGATTAACCCGGAATGATCCAGGGTGATGTTATCTCCAGGAAGCCAAGATTACCTATAGTATTTGTTTCACTCGAATTGTCTGAAAGTTGGTATGCAGAACTTAGTAGTTGACAAAAGATGGTATATGCTAATCAGACAGTTGACCTGAACTGTACTGAGTGGTTTGTTGCGTTGATCTTCTTTCTTGCTAAATAAGTTGACTATCACAAGGACGTGTTTGTGATTCTTAGTTTTGTTACACTAGTAGTGATCGTGAAGAACTTCGCGCCGGTCGGAGACGTAGAAATCCAAGGATTTTTTTTTTGTTTAGTTGTAATTTTCTTTCGAAACAAGAAAAACCCTGGTGGGTAAAAGAAGAGAATGATTTTTAATAATATGAAGGAAAGAGTTAAAGAAAGTCCAAAGAATGTGTAAATACACTCAACAAGTTGAGGATGCTGAGGGTAGTTTTGGAAAGAAGGTGGCGAGTGGAGCGACAAAGTCGTGAATAGTCGGATGATGTCTAGCTGAAGAGCCTACAAGGAATGAGACTACTCTACCTTGTTCGAATGAGTGCCAAAAAAGAGCGTCTAGGACAGCCGAAAGAGTGAGGCTGTAACCTGAAAAAGGCGTGCAAAAAAGTTAAAGAGTATAGGATCAAAAAGAAAGGAAGATCACGATGCCTGGAGATCAACTGTCGGTGAGTGAGAGAGAGGGTAAGGAAGGAGAAGAAGAAGAGAAAGAGAAGGGAGGGAAGGGGGTTCGTGCGGTGTGTATGTGTGGGCACTTGTGGGGGTGTGGGTGTGATGGCAAGCCAGACCGATGACAACGTCCCTCCGCGCATACCTACCTGGTCTGCCCTGACCTGCGTACTTGTGATACATCTGGTTGCTACACACAGCATTGGTTACCAACTTAGCAGCTACACTACATGTAGGTACTCTACTCTACATACTGCATGCACACAGGCTGGCCACTAGCTCAGGCGGGCGGTGGGCTGGTGGGTATGTAGTGCAGACGGCGGAATCGGCATAGTAAGAGGGAGAAAGCGCCTTGGGTGTGGGTAGCTACACCCTACACTACATGGATGAGCACAAGCTGTGCAGGGGGGCGCGGATGGGTGTGGTGCTGAAGCCTGAAGGGAGGGGAGAGGCAGCAGCGGTTGTCCTGCTTTCCTTTGGAGTCTCTCACTGCTCCTCGTGCTCTCCAGGCCAGGCTCCAAACAGCCGCAGGGGTCTCCCTTTTTTTTTCTCTCTCTTTTTTTGCCCGTCCGCTCACAGGTCCCAATTCGAATTAATGGGGGCAGGAAAAAAATCCCAATAGAGATGTATTTACGGAAACAAGACAAGTTAGAAAGCAAAGGAAAGGTAAGGAAAGAAAAAGAAAACATAAAAATGAAGGAAAAGGAAACAAAAATGTGGAGGCGTAAACAATCAGCTACTCAGTGGCCATCCAATTGTACCCTGCTTCGTCCTTTTTGACGCCAGGGGCCGGAGACTTCTTTCTCTGCGTTCGATCACCACCTGCCCTACAGGCACAGGCACAGGCACAGGCACAGGCACAGGCACAGCTCGCGAAAGAAGGCGATGCGGTGGGTGGGTTTACGCCTACTCTAGAGTAGGTACTCTAGAGAGAGTTATGCGCGGAACCAAAAATTCGCTGGGGGAACCGCTCTATTAACCTCTTGAATCAATTTTTTATATCTCAAGTTCAATGGGGTAAATGTAATTCGGAAGGTTCCATGGCCATAGGCATTTATAGAAAAAATATGCACATAACACATTACTGAATTCCGCGTTTGTGTAGAGTAGAATCATGAAATGAATACCTAGGTAGAGGGTTCCTATCTCAGGCACGCACGCAGAAATCATCCGATTGAATGCCGAATCATAATTGCATAGAATAACCTGGCTGGCCGGTGCGCCAACCATCCTATTGTGTCCGGCCAACCATCTAGCCAGCCAGCATCCCCCGCTGTAGTCTCCATCATCATCATCATAACAACCACCTGTACACTGCCTATCAATAGCAGTCCTGGCTCATGATTCATGCGCCTCCTCTCTCCCCCTCGGCTGCTTCTGATCGTGGTATTCAATTTGATATCGTTTGGTGGACATCAACTTGAAGAAAACAAAGTGACGACAGGCGTTCAATAAACGCTGTCTTGGGACCGCTAGCGCATGCATTCAGGAACAGCCCCCAAAGTCTTGCTTGGCCTTAACCCGTCTCAGCTCCATGTATGTAGGCTGTCGGCTAGCCATGGGTCTAAGTAAGGATGATCGGTGGCGGCCCATCGCTCAAGGAAAGCGGAGCCTCGTCTAGGGCCAGGAACGCTCCGTTGGTATCAAGTGCTGGGCAAAAAGGGGCAAAACTCTTGATATCCAAAAAAAGGTCCATTGCCGAGACACCGACGGTTATGGGCATTGGGCAAGTGGGGTTTCCCCAAGCGCGTTGTGATACACTGTGATGATGGTCAAACTTGCCCCTCACAGTCAATCAGTCGCAGACTTTTATATCACTAGCAAAATACCATGCCAGGAGTGGTCTCTGCTCTATATACAGTGGCAAGACGAGCTTTTGAATTAGAATCGATAGATCTTGCTCTGACTGGCTAAATGTTTATGTAACATACATTTCAATCCCTTGTGTGGATAAGGACTTGAATTATTTTAACCTAAGCTTCTACGAATACTAGAGTAGACGAACATCTTACATAACGATGTTAGGTAGAAGCTAGATATAGCATGTATCTCATTAATCGATCGATCCAAATACACACTACGAGTACTGTAGAGTACTCCACACCTACACACCCTGCGATCTGCAATAATACATGTAGTACCCAGACAACAGGCGAGCGGGCCGTGCAGTTTGAGCTCAATAATTCTCCGGTTGACATAGGTACATACATGTAGATAAACTACCACGGGATGTCCTACCGACACGATATACAGATATATTGCACCTGCGGCAAAAGTAACTCTTACAACTACATGTAGCTGTTATTGTGGCGGGTGCTCAATGGGAAACACTGACCAGGAGGCTGGAGACTTGCTCAGTAGAGTCAGTCTCAGCCTTTGACATGGATTTGATATCCACATTATGAGTAAAGTCAACGGCTGTCGGCTGAGAATACCTGCATGGTATCTGTGCCCATGCCAGTTCTTGGTTTAAAACTGCCACCCCGCGTTTTGAGTGTCCATCAACGGGAATGCGCGTTCTAGTTGATTAAACATGCAGCTCTTAGAGTTAGGCTCTCTAACAGTCAAAGCACCGTATGAATCGGGAGGGATGTTTACACGTTACAGCGCTGATAAGTAGGGTCACCCCAGATCTGACTGAGGCCCATAGATCAAATTCATCGTCTTAAATCCCCTCAAGCAAGTGTCCATATATTATATATTCGTTCCTAGTTCCATATACCTGAATGTACATGCCCATATACATTTATACGTCATAAATGCCTATTCTTGAAAAAAACAATCCAAACTTCCTGTCATAAGGATCATCTTCTAATAGATCCAAATCTTCTTGCCAGGTGCACGTTAATATCATCCTCTACATCTCCTCGATCTCCAGAAAACGAGATTCGGTCGACACATGAACTTGTGCTCTTTCCGCCTGGGGTTCTTCCTTCTTCCATCACCCTCGGCCTATCTAAAAACTCTTGCACTTCACCCTCAATTTCAATTTCTGCTTTAGACCTCCCTTGGTTCTGGTTCCAGCTTTGTTGGAGCTCAACACTGGCTGCTTCTTCCATGCGTTGCCGCATTTCCTTTGATTTTTCGATCTCCTGAAAGACATCAACCTAATGCCATTATAAACACGATGATTAGCATGAAATTGAGTCATAGAGAAGTAATTAAGGTTACGTACATCCGTAGGCCAAAATGCAGCACGAATAGAGATCAAGGCCACGTCAAGGACGAGACAGGCCGAGAGACAAAATATATAAACAAGCCACCAAGTTAAGTCTTTGCCAAAACGTCGTAAAATTCCATCTTTGACATTATAGATGACGTTATTTGAGTATGTTTCACCCAATATGATGTTCCAAAGGAACCTATAGTCCATTAGATATGAACAAACAAAACATGACGTGGTAGATTGATTGCTTACCATCCTCCAACGGAAAGAACAAAGGTTGCTGCGACTATAACGGTTTTGTTGTGCGTCTCTATAAGTCTTGTAAAATATGTTATTACCGAGTCCGACCAGAATCCAGACCTGGGATACTCACTGCAGCTTTGCTGAAACAAGCGTAACCACAACACTATATGTGATAACGCCCATAGCATATATCCCGTTATCGACCGTAAGACATGGGGCGTACAACGTGAACATCATGTAATAATTTAGAACTGCTTGTGAAGAGGCAAGGAACATCCAGCCAAGGTAAATTCGAAAGTTAAATCCTTCATTTAGCTGTCCCTTGCGATAGAGTTCTGGCACAGCTAATAGGGTTGCGGGAGAAAGGTCCTTTTCAAAAATTCCCAAGATAATCACCGGAAGCGAGGTAAATAGAGTATTAAACATGCTCAAACTCCATGACTCGTAAAAGCTGGTTCCCGTGTAGCCATTCGACCTCTGAAAGAGGGCTTGGGTAAGATAGAATAGCAGCTCCTAAAAACATATATATCAGTTATCACTTAATCATACCATATAAAACCGATTATTCTCCCAAAGAAATTTACAGATGGTCTATACCTTCCAAAACGTTCCAACTGTATATTTGCATATCCTAACGTAATTCCATCTCCCGTGAACCAGCAAAAATTTCAACAAAAATCTAAATTGTGCCATGGAATAATCCGAGACTCTGGCCGCTTGTAAACCTTCTTTCCCGGTGATTCCAATACCTACATGCGCTTCTTGAATCATTGCTATATCGTTTGCACCATCCCCAATTGCCAAGGTCACAGACTTATTAACCTTGGTCCTAATGGTTTTGACAAGTGATGCTTTTTGGCTAGGGCTTGCGCGGCAGCAAATGACGGAGTCCGTGATAATAGCAATATCAAAAAATAAAGACTTCAGTGTCTCGTCGTCATCAATGCTCGTTAAAGTACCACCGTCCACAACTACGACCGAATGAGCAACTTTCCCAGCATTGATATCCAATATTGCTTCTGCCATTTTTCTTTCGATGTAGCCATCTCTTTTATCAAGAACAATAATATTCGAGTAGTCTTTAATCAATCGGCAAGAGTGGCCGATATTAATCGCGGTTTCTAGAGAAAGAAAATTAATATAGGAATCGATTAGTAACATGGATTTCGTGGCACCTACCTCGCTTATCTCCCGTCAGCATCCATAATTTGATACCTGCTCTCCTGAGCTTGTCAATAGTCTCTGGAACGCCTTTCTGCAGCTTATCCTCAATTGCTGTGGCACCGCCGAGCTCAAAGTCCCTTTCGATCATATCGGCCGCCTTCTCGATAAGGCTCTGTCTATCAACAAGACTCGTTGTTGCTTCTGCATATATCTTCTTCCATACAGCGTATTCCTGTTCGTCCAAAAAGCGGTGGGCATAAAGCAATGTCCTTAGCCCTTCTGTGGCAAAGTCGTTGATGTGCGCAAAACAGCGCTCGATAACCTTTGCTTCGTCCGCAGCAATATTCTCATCAACCATATCCTCGCTAATTTCTCGCTCTAGTGGTACGTTGATTTCCCCAAAAGCGATTGAGTGACGATTTGCAAACTGGGCAGATGGCCGAGAATAGACGCTTTCATCGTCAACAGATGACAAATCGACATCCTGCTCTTTATCCCTTAGCCAATCATCGAATTCGTCTTGAATCGCTTTTAGGCGATTCGTAGACATGCTAGGGCGGCCAGGGCCACCGAAACTTGGCCGGCCACCTATACTAGACCGGCCACCTATACTTGTACGCTGCATACTAGTCCTCCGTATGACTTCCTGCGCCTCGAGACTTTTTCTCTTATTTGCACGTCTTTCAACCTCCAATGCTTTCTGTTTAGCCAGATCCCGAAGCCGAAGAAGCTCAATCATGGTTGTATCCGCCCCTTTGCAAAAAACGCAAAATTTCCCATTTGGCATGCGGATAATTATCGACATTCGCTTTCTTTTGCTAGAAAACTCGATGATTTCCAAGATCTCATAATCTTCGATAAGTGGTTCCCCCATAGGCCCATTTGGGAAAGTTTTTATCGAAATCTTGTTTATCTGCCGATCAATCGTAATATATCCCAATTCCTGTGCAGCTCTCACCAAGGCCAACTCGTCAGGAGATGCCGCTTGGTAAATTATATTTCCGTCGTCATCCACTTCGGGGATGCATGTATGACACAAGGCTATGGAAAGCAGGAAAAACCTAGCTTTACGGGCAAAGAAAGTATGTGGATGGTTTTGAAGGTAGCATAGGAGATCCATCGTGGATAATTGTGGTTGAGCTTTTTGGGGAATTGCTGTAGAGCGCCATCGGAGAGAATTTGAAGACGATTTGTTTCGAAGTCGACCATCAAGTGATAATTTAGGTGGGATAGTCTCGACCTGCTGTATATAAGCCATATCGCCGAAGGATTTTCTAGTATGATGTGGTTCAGGATTGGTTCCCTTTGTATTCATATGAGCTGATTTTGGACGGCCTATTATCTTCTTGGCTTTGCCCTTTCCTTTTTCTCTTCGCCTTTTACCTAAGCTAGACCGATCAGCAAGTTCGCCTGATTCCCGCTGAATATCGAGATCATGTAGCCAGGCATGACCTCCAACGCTTAGTTTCCGAAATAGCATAGCGTTGTCGGTCAAAGTACCAGTTTTATCGGAAAATATGTAACTTTTGCTCGTCAATTCTGACACTGCGTGTGGGATTAAAAAACGGACGTTACCTGACTTGGCCACAATCTTCATTAATAGTGGATGTCCTTGCCTCCATTGGTGTGTCCGTTTCTGGATCATACATATCGATATCATTCAGGAGGAGCATCTGAGCTAGCTTTATGATCTCCAAACTAACATAGAGAGAAAGAGGAATGAGAGTATTGAACCTATGTTTAATTAGTAAATGTAGACATCTTGGGTTAACCACTTTCTATGAATATGTGGCGCCATACATAATTACGTAGGAAGCGAAAATAGGGAAAAAGGCAACGCTGCTATTAGTTAAGTACCAGGAGCGCCTTTCCGTTCGATTTCGCCAGAGACGGTATGCAACTGTGTTGAAAACAGACAAGGCAATGACAAAAATTACAACGATAATAACAATCTTGTTGACGATTGCTTGTAACGATGGCGCCTTGGTTCGTGGGTTTTTGTTTGCACTATGCAATCAAAATTAGTAACAGAGTTTAACCCTAACCCACTATGATTAGACGATTTCAACCCACTTCATCCGAATCTTGCTTTCCTCTCCCGTAAATATAACCAATCCCCACATGTTTGATGTGTTTCGTATCACACTTCCTCTGTAGATCACCTGATTATTTGTTAAAGGCTTCGTTTCGTCTCCAACCGTAACCTTTCCTTCGAAGTTGTAAAGATCCATGTTAGGATCCTCCACTACGACCCGCGCTTTGAATGCCCCAAGCTTTTCAATAGTATCACATTGCTCTGATATTATCGGCAATGCCTGTTTGCTCTTCAAGTTTGTCTCTCCGTCTAACGCCATTGTTTCCACATATGCTATTCCTCGTGGGCCGTTAGAATGGAGTATGATTATATCTGCTGGGACCGAGTCGTCGCGTTCGAGCTTTACTATATCACCCACGCGAATATTCCTCCACTTTGTTTCCGCCCAAAAACGGGGCGTAGAGGAAAGATCGCGATCATCGCTGGGTTTATAGGTATGAAGTATTTGAGCATAGCGATTATTCTCAACCTTATCTAGCTTGTATCGTCGATAATCATCGTAGCCCTCTTTGGTTATGGATAGCGTTATGAAGAATAATAATGGGACAATCGTTGTGTATGCTATCAGAAATTAGTAGCTCGATGGACATGAAATATCACTCGGGAGCTTACTTCCAGTAGTACTTAGCGCTAATCCTCCAAGTTAGCGTTATACAATTGGTAGTGAGGCGCTCAAAAAGAAGCGGATGGATCAACTCACTGGGTATCATCTGCAAAATTGAAACACAAAGAAAGTAGCTGGAGATTCATTAGTTCAATGTCAATGCCTGTTAAGAAACCGTTGCCTACAAGTTCGCCAGTTTCGAAAACTGAGCAAATAACTGCTTTGGAAGAAAGCTCCAAATTGTGTAACGACTACTTCTGATGGTATTTCCGATGTATTCCTTCAATGTCCTCTCATCTATAAGTGGATCCTTTCTTTCGGCGTCAACAAGTATTCTCCTCCCCTCCTTACTTGGTGGAGCCCCGTTGTATCTTAATATCAATTGTTGAATGTTTTTGTAGTATGACTGGACCTGGGCTCTAAATGTTTTGGACTGTTTATGGGCCCACAATGAATATTGTGGAAGGCTGCCGGAAATGGGGGGTAGACTCCCTTGTCTTTTGGGATGGTCATGATCAGCCTTCTCTTTTTCCTCCTCCTCTGCCCCCTCTCCTGCAGCAGCACCCTGGAATTTTATACGTTGGTTCTTGACTTCATGTGAAGGATGTACGGAATTGAGCTCGATTCCCATATCATTGGCGCTACTGTGGGCAAATCCAGCGTCCTGGTCCATTTGATCGTGTACATTCCTGAAGAATAGTTGTCGTCGCAAACTATACCCTCGGTTGCGTTTCCTTGGGGACGTGGGAGACGTCGGTGAGAGTGTGTGATAAGGATCTGTTACCGAGCCTGATGAGTTTGTATCGCCAGTTTCCCGACCGAACGGTCTTATTTCCAAACTTTCTCTCTGAACATTCCTGGGTGAGGTATCAATTGTGAGACCTGCAGTGGCAACAATCTTCCCACCCGTGGGGGAACTGCCCGGTACTAAAGGCTCGGAACGACCTATGTCCGTGGAAAATCTAATGCGTGGAATGCCACTTCCCGTGGGCTGGATGGGAATGTCCGAGTTGGAATCCCGTAGTGTTCCAGATGTTGAAGACGGTTGGTCTTCAGCAGGCACTTCACCCGATCCCGGAACACCGCTGTTTGGTTCGACCATGGATATCTGTTGGCCTGGAATAAAGTCAGTTTCTATTCTTCAATCTACCTTCTAACCCTTCCAACCTTCCCTTCAGGAGCTTGGTCCAGAGAATACCCTCAAGTAGATCTCAGCCAGCAAAGTACAAGTGGCCACCTACTTTAACTAGACGCGCACAGAAGCATAACTTCCTTCAGATATTTGTGGAGAGTCTGCAAGAAACGACACACGTAGGTTCAAGATGGGTATACAGTATGCAGGGCAGACTCCTTGGGACACCTTGCTTCCCCGCAATTTGATATAGTTTTGACTGTACAGGGTGTAGGAAGGAGAACAAAGGGTCAAGATTGAGGACGATGTGAGAAAGTCTGTAACTGTGAGGCTGGGGGTAACTAGGGTGATTTCCTGGTGTAAAAGTCATGATATGCATCACAACTTACAGGGTCGAACCCTTTGTCGATCACATTTACGGTCACATAGGTACTGATTTCATGTACTTGCACGCATAGAATCCAAGTGCTACCATTCTGTACTCGTACTTTGTGTTCTTTTTTATTACTAGAGTTTGATCCGTTTCCATGTATGTACATGTTTTGGGCTGGTCTTTCCTACAACTTGCATAGCCGCGCGGCTTCGAATCCTGTATGCGCCGGCTTCTTGGCTACTCGTACTTTCGTGACGTTTGTAAAAGGAACCACTATTGCATACCATACAATTACGCGCCAAGTCCACAATTTAGTATGGTATGCAATAGCGGTTCCTTTTACAAACGTCACGAAAATACGAGTAGTTGCCTGCGTTGAAACCTTTGAGGCTCTCTTGCATGTGGTATATCGAACGTCCTGTGTACTCTAGATCTAGGTATCCTACAACACATAGAGCACTCCAGGGTATCACTATCTAAGGTACCTACCTACATCTAATACACAAATGCCGGTACCGTTTACCTTATGTAGGTACTGTTCTGTCCTCACTTTGGTGACGCCATGAACTTCGTGGGTGGAACCACGCACCACTCAATCCCAGATCTTGCGCTCAGAGCACAGATCTAATGATAAGCAGGTGTCGTCATTATAATTATAAATCTACCTATAAGGAGAGAACTATCAACTAACAATCGCACTCAGATTGCCCAGATATTTTTTCAACGAGATCTGAAACCTGAATACGTCTACGTCCATGTTGGGCATGAAAGATCACCTAACCGTATATTTGCATGTACAGATCTTTGATCGATTCTAGGTCCTCAGGCACCACTACATATATGTAGGTACAACTAGGGTTAAGTATAACAACTCCAATTTATTCTGTAGATCTTTATACCCTGCCCCAGTGTTAGAGGCTACTGGCACTTAGCTTAGCTGTCTGCACAATCGATCACTCGATCGACCAAATGTACCCATAGCCATACCGCTACAAACAGAAGAAGACATATTCTAAGCAGCCTTCCTATAGAGTCTGAAAGGATCAAATCAACGATCTAAAATCTTTTTACTAAATTCAAATCTAGAGATAACTACTACCCTTGGGCAGTCAATTCTAACCAAAGCCTTATCTATTGTAAATACATGTAGGTAAGTCCTACGGTTCCATATATACCTATTGAACAAACAGGCCTAAGGTCTTTAACAGAGCTGAGCTACAAAATATAAGTCTGTGGATAAAGATTAATCGTGTATGCGCGCCCTTAATTATTTTTCAGGGTTACAGAATACTAAATCTTCCAAAACAAAACAATTATCTGGGTTTAGACTATTTGGGTTGATGTGACCTGTTAACAGGACTAGGACTAGATACATGTATATTAATTATTCATCTACGTGTATCTGAGTACTCCGACCGGGCGAGATAATTAGCTGTGGTAGACTTGGGTTCGCCTTCAGAGGCTACATCCTAAATGATGCACACATGTAGATACATGTGTGCCATGTGCACTAGCTAGACAACTGAGTGAATAGAGATTTAATTCTAGATAAACAGAGGAAATGACCCGACAGGTGCCCTGGAAACCTGTGAAACTTTGTTCTCCACTGAAACATTTGACTCGGGCTCGATAACCGCTTATCATTTAGGTATTTATCTCTCCGGCTCACTATCTCTTCGCCACCTGGTTGTGCATAGAAGAACACTCTTTTCCTTTGCTCGGCATACGGCTTTCTCCCGTTGAACGCCAGCAAAAGTCTATCGACACCATGTAGACTTATGTCACGTAGGTATGTAGAGTGGGTTACCTAGAGTAGTGTTTATTTTATCACCAACCAGGCATGCAGGATTTCAGAAAGGCTTATTTTCTTTGTGGTCACGAGCGCAGCTTGGGGTTAACGAATTGACAATAATTAGCGGCTAAGGTCGATTGTTTCCTGCATATTCACGTCGTGAGGTGAAGCGAGGTTTATCAACAAATTTTGGGGATCGAACTAGCGCCCCCTCAATTTGTTTGCCACTCAGGTTATTTACTTCACAGCAGAAAACAACGCACGCGCTTAGGAAATCTTCAAGAATCACTAATGAAAAAAACGCAAAGAGTTCTTGTAATGTCATAGTTTCCATTCTAATTTTGTAGTTTCGTTTTTAGTGAACCTCACCACTCCCACTCCGCCAGCACGTCTCTGTAGGATACATACAGATGTACATGTACCTACCTACCGTACATACGGCTGTAGTGAAACGCTCGATCCTCCTCTGGGTTACTTACTCTGGAGACTGGCGGCACTATGAGTGAAGATGCAGCTTCTTAATCCTTGGCCGTACAATTTCGGCTTCTCTGACATCCCCTCTCTCTCCCTTTCGCGCGGGCAAAATCTTAGAGAGTATGTATCCCCTGCTACGGCGCGACACCATGGTCCACTACCACCCACTTACCTCTTGACTCTGACCAATCACAGTCCTGACTGCTAATAGACTGTTCTGCACACACCACACAACCCCCAGCGACTCCTCCCTTGCTGCTTACTTCCACGAAGAAGAAAGCCGGCGGCCATTCTCTCCATCCGTATAGTCACAGGTAGGCAGACAAATAGAGAGAGGGAGAGCTCACTGTCTGTCATTGTTGCTATTGTGCCATCCTGTTTCTCCTCTTCCTAAATACTCCCTCTCTACTCCCTTCCCTCTAACAGTCGCTGTATCGTGTTTCTTTCCCTCTCATTTTTGTCTAGCGGTTGGTAAGTGTATTTGTTTACTGCTGGTACCCGTGGGACTGGATCGGACCGGATCGCCAGTAACTCGTTGTCTGCTGTGTTGTGTTGTCTGTGCTTCCTGTTCCCTCGGGGAGAATTTCTGTGTGTCCTCGCTCGTGGTTGGCTGCTTCCGTTTTCATTTCTCCTCTCACCTCCTCCCTGTCTCCGGCCATTTGTAAAGCACAGCCAGCCCAGCCCAGCCAGCAACCATCGCCATCACAACCACCACTCATCACCTGCACTCACTCCTCAACCTACTACTAACGAAGACGACAGCCGCCCACCAAACCCCACGGCTCTCGATAAACCTTTCCTTTATAGTTCCCCTCTGAGCCCTCTTGTTTCTTTCCATCCTTTTACCGCTTAGGGACAACTACTTTCGTCTTCTGATAACGACTTGTCCGATCGACTTTCAACACCTTTCCCTCTAAATTTTACCTTCTTCCCTTACCTGGAGAGAACCATTACCGCTATTCGGTTCGATTGCCACCTTTCGGAACTTGCATACAAGGTCTGTCACCACATCGCAATCTCCAGTTAGTTTTGCGATGTTACTTCCATATGAAGAAAATCCCGACGTGCTGACATATATCTCCCTCGCAGCTCCTAACCCCTCCCCCTCCCCCCCCCTCCCAACTTCTCCCATCCCAGCCTATAATATCAACAATGCGAGAAGTCAACTTCAGCATTCCTAATCTCAATAAAGCATCCGTTGGTATTACGACCGCTCTTTATGATAGACGAGCGCTGGATTGTACATCAACTCTCCCTCTCATAAATTCTCTGAATCACCTTGCCTATCTTACTACTTCGTCGGCTCGCATCAGGGATATTCTTACCGTCGATGGAGGTATCGAAAGGCTGGTATGCATACTGAAGGATGGGCGGAACAAGGATTTGATGAGCATGTGGAAATGGAATCTAGCATTTCAGTGTGTCGTGAACATAGGTGTGCGGGGTTCAGAAAACGTGCGAACTAGGGTAGTGGAGGCAGATATGGTCCCAGTCATTGCAACAATCTTGGACAATTATGTACAGGTTATCGACAAACTACAGTCAAAGGCAGACGCAGCTAATGCGAAGCGTACCGCTTCTGGTAGCCACTCAGTTCGGTCCCGCGACAACAAACCCCCTAATTCTTTTTACGATCGACATGAGAGGCCCTCAGGAGGAGACCGGGGATTTAGGAGACAAGCACCGCCTGCATCTATTGAAATACCTGCATCACAGGCTTTAGAAAATGTGCACGCCAACTCCCACCAAACACTTACTGTACCAAATCCCGCAGAAAGGATTGCTTATATTAGACAATCTCACCCTAATAATCGAACTCATGATAGTCGCCACCACTTCCACACATATCATTCAGGAATTCCTGCGCGCGACCAGAGCGGACTACAGCCTTTGGCGGCTGCGCTCCCAGTAATGGATGTTAATGTTGCAGGATTTGGCCTGCGACCCATTCGGGACACTGAAAGGCTACCATCAATGCTACAGGCCGGAAATGTTTCTCAACCCGAGTCACCCACTACGCCTAATCCTCCGCCTCCCACATCATCTAGCAGAACAATTCGCCGAAGTAGCCGGCCATCCATTCGCCATCAGCGCTCGATATCGGGAGAATCCGATGATCCGAATGCAGACGAGATTCCCAATCCGTCAGGTGAAGTGGAGAATGCAAACGAACCGATTGTAGATATTCAGACGGGAGAGGACATAGAAGGCATAGATGACCGCCAAACAATCCTTGGTTCAGTGGATGCTCCAATGGGATTGGCTGGCCCCCATGGTACAGACACCCAAGATACTGAAACATTCAATATCACGCATCGGTCGCCGATAGATGGCAGCATCATTAATGCAGCAACCAATACAAATCCTCCAACGGCTAATCCACCTTTGGCCATTCCAACAGCGTTTCATTTTCCATCTCGCTACCTTCAAGATAGCTCATCTTCGGTTGTGTTGCCTTCAATGCCTCGTGAAGAGGATGTTCTAATGTCATTACAACTTCTTGCTTATGTTTCAAAGTATTGCAACCTGCGATCTTACTTTCAAAAATCTCACCTAGTACCAAAACTCTCTATCAGCGGCGAAATTCACCTTCTGGACGAAGAACCAAGCAATCTGGCTAGCCAGGATCAGGAATCCCTTGAAGAGCAAGAAGAATATCTCCTACCAGATGATTACAATATTTTTCCTCTCGTGGAGAAGTTCACTGTTCGACACCACCCTCCGGATATGCAGTACTGGGCAGGCGTAGTGATGAGAAATCTTTGCCGAAAGGATGATTCCCGAGGCGGAATTCGACAATGCGCGTATTACGAGTGCGGGAAATGGGAGGAGTACACTCGTCAATTTGCAAAATGCAGACGGTGCAGGCGTACGAAGTACTGTAGCAAGGAGTGCCAAAAAAGCGCATGGGTTTACCACAGACACTGGTGCGTTCAAGCACAGCAGTAGTCTTAGGCAGTCCTCATAACGTTGCATGATATCTGAGACCGGTTTTCTTTTTTTCCTTTTTTTGTTCGTCCCTTTACTTTTACAGGCGGCTCACTGGAGTTTTATTTTATTTTTACGACTTTTCTATAAATTTGATTCCACTGTTTCCTATCCTCTTGTTCTTGCTAGCGTGTAAATTGCACATATTGCCCTTTTTTTTGCATTGCCCTGTGCCTTCTTTATTTTATTTATTTTATTCTGTTTATTCGGACTGATGTTCTTTTACACCTTGATTTCTGAAGCTTTGGGAAGGGTCTGCGGGCATGGATTTGGGGGTTATTTTCTCTTCCTATTTACACATTTTGCCTCTTCCTTTCCTACTCTTATCCTCTCTTTATACCCTACTGTTTCTTATATTCGGAATTTTGTTTATCCGGGATGGGCTGCTTTTTCAGGTTTCAGAGCAAAAAGTTCCCCTCGCGAAAATTGCGTGTTTTTTTTTTTTACTATTGTTTGTTAATAATCATGGAACTGGGATATAGAAGGTATATCCCTACGAAAGAGGCAATGGAGAATCGAAAATATGAGCTCCCCGACTAAATCTATTGCGGGATCGAATTTAAAGGAGAACTATTTCCTCGTTACACCTTTCTTTTATTTTGTTAGCCAAGCTTTTACCATTGTAGGGGTTAACTTGCACCAACGTTTTGTCCGGAAATCTTGGAGAAAGCTTGGTGGGAGCATTTGCATTTATTTTTTATTTTCATTATTTCAGTTTTTTCTCTGTCCTTCTTTCCTTCCTTCCTTCCTTCTGTATGTAAGAGGCCTCAACGGAGTGGAAATTCATAATTGGGCGGCAAATGGAGATGTTGAAAGATGAAAGAAAAGGCAACTGTATTTAAAATACCTACTCTAGTTTGTGATAGACACGGAGAATGACCAAATTCGGGTCCGATATTACTTTCCATTGAGTGATTTTATACAATCAATTCCTACGATCACATTCATGACGAAACATAAAGTATTGCCCTTTGTAGATCTACAAGGTACTGATCATGAGATAGCTCACTTAGTATCCCATCACCAATTATCGCTTACACTGGAAGTCATATATTCTATAAGTGCTATTGAGGAAATCTGAACAGCTCCAGCTCTCATGGAGAGGAAATCGGTGTCAGAAACTTTGGATCATGCAAGCCCTAGAAGACAGCTTGTTTATAAAATCGATGCCGGAGCCCAACACCCACATACATGAGAACTAGAGTAGTTAGTGACGGGCTTGGGGTTTCAACGATTTCATGGGATATCACTCCCCTTGGGCATCGGCAGGCCGGGGAGATATGTACGTATACCAGGTTCTTCGGGTTATAGATCAGTAGTCTGCGGGAAAGTTACGCCATATGCATGCGCCAATGCATTACGCAGCATTCGTGATTTTAGCTTCTCTATTGGAAGCGCAGTGATGAGGCTTCAGGTTCGAATTTGGTTTGAAACGATAGTACAAAATATGGAGTTAGATATCTTACGGCAGCTTTTCTGGTGTTATTTGTGATGTGTATTTATTGTTGGAATTATCATTGATACTATATAAGTGACTCCTAGGCCATACTAATTTGAAATCAACAAATATATTAGAACTAGCTACACTATGCCTGATATACCTTCTGGCGCTGGAATGAATCTAGAATAAAATTTACGCTCTCGAAACCGAGCCCTGATCGATCCTTCAACCCATGTAGCCCGCAACGCTAATTCCGGTACCATCCCTCCAATTATAAGGGTTTGTAATGATTTCTAGGCATACAAAAAACCCTTTGAAAACTCATTGAAGTCTTATCTCAATGAAGTAATCAATTAATCAATCAATCGTCGAAGTCTTACCAAGACCTTGTTAAACATTATTATAACCGAGAGGAAAAGGTGCTCTATAAGTCTGCGTTTCTGGTGAAGACTCCATAAGGCTTAGGCAAGATCCATATATATGTACATATAGTTTTACGATTCGACACTAAAGCGTATAAGGATAGATGTCATCTAGATCTGATGATCCCTTTTGGTAATCCCATATTACCATTCCCAGGGCTAGGTATCACTGGACGGAGATACTAGAGAATGTGGTTAAAGAAGCTCTGTACTTGAGTCGAGGAGAGAGAACTACTTCCCTACTCTCTCATCATCAATACAAGTAACTAAGAGCCAACCTCCCGAGTTACTCCATCCCTAGCTATATTCAGAAAACACAAGGATATCCGAAAGAAAGTGAAAAGTTAGAGCTAATGAGGCTTGCAACCCGCCTGTGATTTTAACTACCACAACCGCCCGCAGCATCTATTATAATGGGATATATCAGTGAACTGGATTTATAACTATAGCTAAGTATAACTGTATAAGAATCCCTTAAGCTGCCCGAAAAATGCCGATCCTTTTAGTAAAGGCCTGAAATGTGGTTTTGCTAAGAAAGTTCTTGAATCCCTTATTCTATCTAGTACAATCTTTAACCAAACACTGGCACGGATACGCTGTCCTAGTGAAAAATTATCATCATTGACATCTTAAGAGATAGCCAGTTTAAATTTCCTTGGAACTATCATCTTTACTCGTGTAGGCTTAACCCTGGCTGCTAGCGTCCGTCAGGGTTCCTACTTCTGAAGTAGCGAGTTAAACTGTTTAATATTTCTCGTCTTTTAACTTTCAAATGTATGATGGCAGTGCCATGATATCTATTGGAGATAGTTATTCTCCGACTAATACTAACATGTCTCGAAGTGGATATGATCCTAGGAACTGAACTACATGGCTAGATCCTGTACTCCGTACTTCCACACTCAAATTTCTATAGAGGTATTTACGATCTTAGGCTAAAAAGCACTTACCACAGGCTCTTCACAGTCAAAAAAAACCTGAAATGTAGTCTACTACAGTGGCCCACAACTAGAACCCCCAACGCCATACTGCCTGAAAGCAGGTTGAGCGATCATTTCCCCCAACTAGCTAGTATCACGATGATGACTAATCACACATCTGTCGAATTATTAAATGCGGCATCGTGTGAGAATTACATGTAACTCATGAAAAAGGCCATATATATCACTACCGCAATCAAACATTACTCTAAAAGAATCAGAAAAGTCAAGTGATGGTGCCACTCCATACAGATCACTCTTGGTGAATATTTATTTGGCAACTGCCGCTGCCCATAACGACAAAGTCTTTTGTTAACCCGCGAGCCTCTCGCTCAATGATAAGAGTGATGGTTAGGTATTTTGGCCTTTCACCCCCGGCGCCCCCCCGGGCCACCTTAAAAATAAGATTGTACATACGAGAGTGAATCTTTCCCCCATGTTGGGGAGATTACGGAGCAACGGCACTTCCAGAGTTTCTACCCACATCTTGGTCTACCAGCGTCATCAATGTCTAAGGTACAAGTGCAAATCACGTTGAACCATGCTTGGAATGAATTGCCATATGTAGGAATAAGACAGGATTTATTCTTGGGAGCCCATTTCATCCCGTCATGACTACACTGATGATAGCCGGAACCCGAATTTCCCCCTTGCTGATGTCGCCTAGAAGACACTGCTGTCTATTTACAAATACAGGATACAAAAGCGTATGACTAAAAGTAACCAAAAGAAAAGTTTAACAAGTAGAAACTCCCAGAAAAACAATACCCTAAAAGAATCTGATTGATGCAGGAGTGGAGTACGATCGAAGATCAGGTGTGGAAGACCCAAACATCTAAAAAGAAACACGGTGGAACCAGAAAAACAACCTTCAAAACCCATAACCCGCAGCCCAATTCAAAAAAAAGACCCTACCCAAAACCTCCAAACATTTAAAGAAATGAACCGTTATACAGATATAAAAAACAGGAAGTGAACCTCTAGAAATCTTCATCGAATCGGATGCCGTTGCTCTCATCATCCTCGTCCTCGGACGCAGTATCTTTCTTGGTGGTGGAGGCCATCACACCAGCCTTCTGGTAGTCACCGACACGCTTCTCAAAGAAATTGGTCTTTCCTGCAAGGGAGATAGACTCCATGAAATCGAAAGGGTTGGTGGAGTTATAGAACTTGTCATTTCCGAGAGATAGAAGAAGTCTATCCGCCACAAACTCGATGTATTGTTTCATAAGCTTAGCATTCATCCCGAGAAGCCCGCAAGGAAGAGCCTCGGTCAAAAATTCTTGCTCGATCCCAACGGCCTCAGTGATGATGTCCTGAACAGCCTGCTTACTAGGACGGTTGTTCAAATGGTTGAAGAGAAGACAGGCGAAATCGGTGTGAAGACCTTCATCACGAGAAATGAGCTCGTTGGAGAATGACAAGCCAGGCATCAAGCCACGCTTTTTGAGCCAGAAGATTGAGGCGAAAGAGCCGCTGAAGAAAATACCCTCGACAGCAGCAAATGCGACTAGGCGCTGAGCGAAAGTTGAATTCTTGTCCTCGATCCACCTGATGGCCCAGTCGGCCTTCTTCTTGATGCAAGGGATGGTGTCAACAGCATCGAACAGGTAGGTCCTCTGCTTCTGGTCCTTGATGTACGTATCAATGAGAAGGGAGTACGTCTCAGAGTGAATGTTCTCCATCATGATCTGAAATCCATAAAAGCAACGGGCCTCGGGAATTTGGACTTCATTACTGAAGCGCTGGACGAGGTTCTCATTGACAATGCCGTCAGAGGCGGCAAAGAAAGCGAGAACATGCGAAATAAAGTAACGCTCATCATCGTTCATACGGTTATTCCAATCGTTGAGATCCTTTGAGAGATCAATCTCCTCTGCAACCCAGAAAGAGGCCTCAGCTTTCTTGTACATTTGCCAAATCTGGAATCGGAGAAAGACGTTTAGTGGATAGTTAAGACGATAGACGATAGCAGGGAATTGAAGGAACTCACGTCATTGTACTTGATGGGAAACAAAACAAAGCGTTGCTTATTCTCCCTAAGAAGGGGCTCGTCGAGCTCAGGTTCGGTGGTCTCGATGGTCTTCAAGTCTTTCTTGGGACTGTCTGTGCTGACCTTCTGGAAGGATGAGGTCATGTTCTTTGCAGCAGTAATGTCGTTAACTTTAAGATTTGACATGGCGTTGGCAGCCTAGACACGGGTTAGTGTCAATATTCAGACCCAGAGACGCGTTGAGAGTGTTACTGTGGGGATACGCACCTTCTTGGAAGGGGTCATCTGTGTAGTAGCCATTTGGGATTGTGAGGAAAGATAAGGAGTTGAGATACTGGTAAATTTAACAGTGAGGAGAAGGTGTAGGTACAAATTTAGAATTGAGTTGGTGGTTGATTTATGTATCTATGGCAGGACGAGGAGGAGACACAAAGAGATTTTATACGAGACACTTGTATACCAAGAGATCAATCCAAACATGGTCAAGTTGACCAGCGCGTCTTCGCCAGCAACGGTCCCACCTGAATTCACTCAACGCGTCAATTTTTTTTTTTTTTTTTAGTGAATCACGCCTCATCCTCCTGCAGCTTTTTCCTGGATGGACCAATAAACCAGGAGTGTAATTTGCAAGGGGTAACCCAGTGATGTTGTAACCCGCAGGATCCACTGATAAATGTCTTGATCACCCTGACAACCCCGGTACTCTAGAGAAATCAACAAAGCGCGTCGCGTCTCCTGGCTTTAGTATGCAGCGGGGTTCTGATAAAACTTCCTCTTCTAACTTAATACCGGCACTAGCAGGTGCCGCATCATGCGTGTTAATGATTCATGAGGGGTCATATGCGGATTACTCTACGAGGTACAATGGCATATGTGTCAAGATAAACCGTGTAAACCTCTGAAGAGTTGAGACAGAAAATCAACTCTAGGTAGTGGGGTATAATTATATTTACAGCAACACATACGATGTTTACAGGCATATCCGCAAACGCCCTGATGTCCCTACTCTAGATGCATCAGATACATGTAACTGACGCTGAACGGATTCTTATGGAAGTCTGACTGAACCTGACAAACCCATGTTAGCTCCGTCGGCCCGGGGACCTAGTCCCGGCACGAAGCTTGTTAGAAGAGCGGTATGCGGTGTATAATTTTTACACATCCATTTATAATCCTACATCTGTCCACTTTGCAAAAGAACCTTCTTTAGAGTACATAATTCTTCGGCAGCCTGCAGGGGTAGCTCAGTTCGAGTTTCAACATGAACATACTTGCAGTAAAATTAAGCATTGTCTCTTACGATAGCAACCACCGACCCCGTCATTTACTTAGACCCGCCAACAACCACCACTATAACCATGATATTTAACGTAGGAGATGATTAGTTTTGAGCATAAAGATGGCTACGACTTTAATACATTTGGTGTTGTGGTTTTGTAGGTTCTCAAGTTTAGTGGTTGCCAGCGCAATTGGGACAATACTTAATTTCACTGCAAGTACTTACATGTGTACTTCAAACAACACTCCCTTACATGTAAGATTCTAGAGTTCGACTTGCCAAAAGCACACTATTAAGTAATTATAAAACACGCTCTACCCACTCCCCACTTCCCATTGATTCAGACAGGTGAGCAGAGCGCCCAGCCTCATACCTTATTCCATCTAGACTACACAAAAAATCCTCTTACAATTAAGCCTGAAGGATGTATTGAAACCAGGCAATGCCTCAGTCGCGGGCATATACTAACCTAGCCCGCCGGAAAGGTTTTATGGCGGTTCACGTATCTACAGTCGAATCCTGCTATTCCTTCGTCTACTGATGCTACGAGGGGAACACTTTAAATAACTGGTACAACTATATATGCGTGATGTTGAATTTCATCCAAGTATTATATTAACTTGCAGCGACAGCTGACACACGGTATATCACAGCAGAGGCAAGACTACATAAAGTAGAGCGCAACTCTATCTATATACGAGCCTAAATTAAATGAAACCCAATCCAATTAGACTCCAATTACAGTACCAGATGGATCGCAAAGCTAGGGCAAAACACAACCAATTAATATATAAGCCTACCCATCTACTTCTACTCCACGTTGTGGTGCTTGGCGCATGACCTACATGTATTTATCTAAGGACCAAAAACCCCGAAACATATCTCACTACAAGCCATAAAGCCATAAAACATTTACCTTACGTTACTTCTGGAACTCGCCCATATTCAAAGGATAAATCAATACCACAAGTTGCCATAAGCAGTACTACCACAAGTGATTAGTACTCATTCGCAGCCAACCTTGCAGACTTCATATCACATAACGTGCACAAACAATTGAAAGAAACAAGATGAAGTACTACATGTGTATTAAATCCCTACCTAAATAATAATTACATAAGAGACTCGTTGCCATTTCAGCTACATATACAGAGCAAACCCAGTGGATATAAAGAAACAGGAAAAAATAATAAAAAAAAGACATTAAATTATCGTCCATAGCCAGCACTATTCTCCCTCAATCCAATATCCAGTATTATCACCACCTTCATCACTTCACAAACTAACAGAAGGAAAATTACAAGATTTAGACAACTCTGTTAGCCTGAGTGCTGTTAAACACAGGCAAATGAGTACCGGACTACTGGTTCAAGGTGTAGCCACCGATCCTCTGGTTCGCATTGTGTTGCTGCTCAGCAGCGTACTTATCCCCAAAGCCCGTGGCTCCATTACCGTAGCCCGCCGATGGCCCGCCGAGATAGGCATCCACGCCACTAGCATGGTACCCACTGTCCCTAGAGGTGCTCAAGCTCGCAGTCTCCCTTTCCCTAAGGCCCCTCCTCTGGCCATGCGGCGACTTCCTGGTAATTGGCTGCGGCTGCGGGATTCCCGTCGTCGGCGACGCAGAGCCAATGTTGAAGACATCGCTCTGCCACCTGTCACCGCGCTGGGCAAGCTCCTTGTAATGGGTAGCCCTGGTGCTGATGCCGCCAGGCAGCGAGATGTTCTTGAAAATGCTGTCCTGCTTTGTGATAGCCACGTTGACCTTCTTGTCCTCCGTCTTTGCTGCAACCTGTTCCTTGCGCTTGACCATCTCGCGCTGTATGGCCTGGTAGTAGCGGTTGTAGATGTTCTGTACGTTCTCGGGGTCGGGATTGTTCTTGAGATCCGTCTCGATCTTCTTCTGCTCCTGGTGGATGCGGTAGCACAGGGCGTCGAGCTGGCCAAAAGTGTCACGGATCTGCTTCTCGAGCACCTTGGTGAGGGCCGGCTTCACGATCTTGAGCAGGAGCGGCTTGAAGATGTTGAACATCATCTTGTGTTTAGACTGCTTCAGCTTGATGGTCATGTTGGTGAGGGTGACGTGCACGTTCTCGACCTTGAAGAAGCGGGCGCGGTCATGCTTTTCGGCGGTCGCTAGCTCGAGTTTGAAGGAGAAGCCCTCGCCGCCGAGAAAGATGTCGGCCACACCGGTGTCGGTGATGGAGGGGAAGCCTTGCTTTCTCTTGATGTAGTAGGAAACGTCTGTTCACATGCTATTAGTATCATTGACATATGAGGAAGAAGTATTGAGATGAAACTGACCTCTGAGATCACACTGGATGCCGGATGCTGAGAACATGGCACTGTGCCTTTTCTTGCTAGCAACAGACTTGCGTCCAAACCTCATGTAATTGTCATTCCCGATCTCCAAGACATTAGGCATCAAGTTATCGCTCTCAATGACCAAGTTTTCCACGACCGCGTCCATCATTGGGTCGCTGTACTCGATCCTGGGGATCGGCATATATCTCACATTCTCAAAGATCTCGGGGATGATAACTTGGGTGACGTCCTTCACAAGATGCTTCTTAAACACAGGCTTGCCATTCTCGTCGTTTCCAAGGTCGTTGAACAGCTTCTGCATGGCCTCGCCGAACCTCTTGTTGTCCGGGTCCTCTGCGAACTGCTCCCCGAGGAAGCGGAACTCGTTGACGACGCGGTCGGTGTGGTCGCGGTAGCGATCGCGCAGGAGGAAGTTGCCCTGGTCGTAGAGGCGGTCGTAGCGTTCGTTGGACTCGTCGCGCATGATGTATCCCTCCTCCTTGAGGCAGGTGCGGATATAAGAGTTGACATTGCGGAACCACTCCTTCAGCTCCGGGTCACGATCAGCATCACGGTAGATATCGTCAATGGCCTCAAATAGGTCGTCTGCGCTAGTGTTGTTCGCAAAGCGCTCAATGATTAATCTAAAGTAATTCTCCGCGCTGCCGAGATGCGAGTCCTGGCGCGCACTCTTGACCGTGCCGGTGCCGTCGTGGGCGAGTGACTTCCCATGACCCGAGTAGTTCTCGGCGAGGCGCAGCAGCGTGTCAATGGCCTGCTGGTAGTCCTGGTGCGACTGGATCTCAACCACCATCTTCTTGAGGCGGAAAATGACCTGATCGCGGCGCTCCTTAGGCATCTTGTCGCTCATGTACTCCCTCGTGCGGTCCCTATACTCCCTCGCGCGCTGCTTGTGCTCCTCGGGCGTGTTCTCGCTGACACGGTCCCTCAGCTCTGCTGCGCCAACCCTCAAGCCCGTAGCGGCATCGACACCGCTGTCCGTGCCGTAGCGCTGGTCGTGCGCGACGCGGTCGGCGGTCTGCTGTGTGTCGCGGGAGTTGTACGGGTCGGCCACGGCGTTGGCGGTCTTGGCGGTTTCGCGAAGGTCGGTGCGATCGAGTGGCTTGCTCTTATTGAACTTTTCGCGGAACTGGCCCTTGATATTGTCTCTTGACATGTTTGGGGCCTCGTGCCATGTGTGGTCGGGGGCCGGCTCGTCGATCTGGCGGAGCTGGTCTTCGTCGGGACGGACCCTGCCGGCAGCCTTTGTGGCCGAGTCGCCCGCGATGTCGCGCATGAGTACTACGGCATCATTGAGTAGCTTGCGGAATTGACTATGGAGAGGGGAGTTAGTATGCTTCAGGCTGGCATCATGGATTATCACTCGGCAGAGGAACGTACCCGTTAGTGATTACCAGTTCTCCAAGTACTCGCAGTCCAGCCTTTGCCTCCTCTGCATCCCTGGCGGCGGTGTCTTTTGATACTGGCGCATTTGGTGTGCCGGCGTCGGGACCACCCTTCTGGCCAAGTTGTGTGGTGGAGTAGATGAACTCCTGGATTGCTTGGTCGTGGTTCTTTACGAGGAGGAGACGCTTCGCCTCCTCGACGACGGTGCGGAAGTCGTTGAGGATTACCTTGCCCTCGTCGGAGAGCTTGGGGTTGGGGTTGCGCAGCTTGGGGTGCGAGGTGAACGAGCTGAGTGCGGCGTCGATCTGTGAGTTTGAGGGGAGCTTGCCGGATGCGAAGCCTGGGGTTTATTAGTACGAGTGAGGATCTGTGATGGGAGTGTGGGAGACATACCTTGGAAGATGCCATACAGTCGGAGCTTGTTCTCAATGTCGGCTTCTTTTGCTTTTGTGTCGACGGGTCGATTTACGGATTTGCTGTTCATGGTGGGCTATATTTTGGGGTGTGGCAAATCAGTAGTGGTAGTAATTGGGTTGTGAGTATTGAGTATTGATGTTGTCGAGTGAATTGATGTTGGTAATGATTATTTAATAGCAGTTATCGTAGTAATAGGGTGATGATATGGTATTATTGCGAGATATACAAAACAAAGCACAATTCTCAAATATCGAGGTAAATAGGGTGATTTTCGTGTAGTGAGGATGGTGGAAAAGAAAACTCATTACTGGAGGCGGCGATTAACGTCTTAAGTACAATCTACAACTTGCGTCTTCCGCAGCCTCCGTTTCCATCTCTTGCGTGCAAAAAGGCCAAAAACAGGGCATCCCCATCGATGTCATGAGAGTGTATTTTTCCTCTGGTTGGTTGGAACTGTGTGGATATGGTGGAGTCTCCCCAAGACAGAATATTAAGCAATACTGCGCAATCATGACGGCATCGCTGTCTTGTCTGCACTCGCTCGCCTATGCGGCCTTCTTCAAACGTTGGGCCAGAGGGAAAGCAATTAAGCAATCAAGCAACCAAGCAAGCAAAAATCGTTGCTTTGGGGGAGGGGGCGGTGGAATCATTGGCTTGTCGATCGTTTTTTTTTTTTTTTTTTTGTTATGGCTGGCTGGCTGTCTTTGTCTGATATTGACTTCCAAGCTTGATTCCGGGTTTTGTTGTGAGGGTAGGGTTAGGGGGGGCATTAATTGGAATACTTACTTTGATGATGCGTTGCATGCGTCACGACGAGGCGCGTAAGGTGGAACTTGCCGCTACCTGTCCACTTTATCTTTGGAGAGGATCTTGGCTGGTTTGGGGGGGGTGTTTAGGTTACACGCAGAAGAGCTAGTTGTGGACTAAGGACTTACCCTGCCTGTATTTCTGGGCTGCTGCTGGTTTGCATGCTTGGCAGAGTCACTGCATGTAACTGACTAACTGGAGAGCTACAGTTCTACAGTTCTACAGTCCCTACAGTCCCTATGGTCCCACGTGCTGCAACCAACCAGCAGCCACAAACAGACACAACCAGTCAGCCACCATAGCCTCTCGGGGGAACGCTGCCAGACGCAAACGTGACGATCGCGTCTCTCTCCCCCGTTCTGCCTCAGGCCCCCACAGAAACCGCGATAACGACAACGACAACGACGCAAGTGGCGTTTGCTTGACCAGAACGACTAAACTCCCTTGCAGGCTGTAAATTTGCTTGCAAGTTAGTTATCTCAGATATCCGCGTTCAACTAATTCATCCTGCTGTCCTCACAGAAACAATCACCACACACACTCCAACACTCGTTCCACCCCCCCCCCCCCCACGACCTGCATCCCACTCCCACTAGTACCGCACCATTAAACAGGACCGTCATCGCCCCCCCCCCCCGCCCAAACATGGTACGCCCCACTAAGCGCAAATCGAAAGCCTACCAATCAGCCCTGAATCTCCCCGCAGGTGCCCCTGGCCCTGGTTCCCGCCCAGCACGTGCCCCAGTCCCGGTTCCTGACGATGAAGACGCACCACCTCCTCCCCGCCGCCGTGTCCCACCACCGCGACCACCTCCCACCCCACCGCCGCCCAGGAGAACCTCGCAGAGGCACACAAAACTCAAGCAGGAGCCGCAACCAACACAGCCCGAACCGAAATCCGCTACCAAGGCCACGCCGATACGGAAAGGAAGAGGAAAGGGCAAGGCGAAGCAAACACAGCTCCAGCCCGGAAATGACGAGGAGGAGGATGCGCTGGTCTTTCCTAGCGGGAAGAGCTTTGCGGTGGTTATTCATACTGGGCCCGCGAGGCGGAAAGGGCTCAAGCGATATGTGTCCATGGTTGTGTCCGAGGACGACGATGAGGACACACCGAGGCCGAAACGGGCGCGGAGAGAAAACAATGGCAATGGCAAAGGCAGAGGCAAAGCAAGGGAACCAATTGAGATAGATAGTGACTATGGCGACGACGAAGGCGAAAGTGAGGCCGTTACTACTTCCGCGCGCAAGAGAAAGTACAAGGGTAAGGAACGAGCGCCCGTTGTCGAATTGGACGAGGAGGAGGAGGAGGACCTGAAGGAGGATCTAGCCTTCATCGCGCCGAAGCGCCGTAAGCTCCCCGCACATATTTCCCCCGACCCACTCAACTCCCACGGTATAGCCCATCTGACAAACATCTAGAGGTTCTCTCAACCCGCACCCGCAACGCCGGCTCCGCTCCCAAACTCACTCCATTCCAGAGGAAACTCAAAGAGCTCAAAGCAAAGCGTGCCGGCATCACTGTAATTACCGATAGCGAGTCCTCCGAATCCCCCCGCGCTGCCCTTTATGACACCGAGACCTCTGACGCCTCCGGCGAAGAAGTGCCCGAAGAAGAAGGAGACGAAGAAGAAGAAGGACCCCGCTACCCCCGCGCTGACGACGACCTCGACAACGAATCCTGGATCATCTCCGACGACGAGGACGCCACCGCGCTCGGCCACCCCGACAACCAGGTCCCCATCGAGTACACCCACCGCTCCCACCAGCCCCCGCGCGAGAACTTCAAGGTCGTCTGCCTCTGGATGGTGCAGTGCCTCCTCAACCCCTCCTTCCCCATCGACGACCCCATCTCGCAGTTCGCCATCACCGCGCTCGACCGGCGCCTCGAGAGCATGGGCGGCAGCGTGCTCCAGTCTGCCGCCTGGAGGCCCGAATTTGTGCGCGCGATGCGCGCGCGCCCCGACTTCCACTCTAGGGACTGCTCGGAGGGCCCCAACGGGCCCACCTGCGAGGCATGCCACATCAAGGGGCGGGCCGCGACCTATGTCGTGTATTTCACGGGCGCGCGGTATGACCACGAGACGTTGGATGATCTGTCGCCCAGCGATGCGGAGGATAGCGAGGATAGCGCGGGGTTGGAGATTCCGCCCGAGAGTAAGGTCTTTTTTGTGGGCCGCTACTGCCACGAGAGGGCGAAGCTGACGCATATGTTTATGCACTGGAAGAAGTCGTTGAGGGTGGCGATGGAGTTTGCGTTGAGGGGGTTGGGGTATTTCGATGAGAGGTGGCAGAATAAGGCGGCGAAGATGAGTGTTGAGGGTGAGCATCTGGATTCTATTTTTTTTTTTTTTATAGCTGGATAGACAGAGAAGTGTGGAATACTAATGGCATGGGGGTTATAGAGCGCACGAGATGGGCAAACCAGGTCACAGAGGATCTCGAGCCAGAGATTAGGGGTCTCTGGTACGATCTCAAGCGGAGCATGACAGAAGCGGAGACGAATATGGTAAGCCCGCAACCAGCCTACAAGTCTCTAAGTATGTTACTAACAAACTCTCAATCATATAGGCGAATCAGAGGAGAGGAGGATTCTGGCTTAAATAAGAAGCGGAAAGGGGGGGGGTCTGTTGCTACCACTGTACTGCCGACCCTCCCCCATCCCATATATCAAGAGATGGCGCATGCACGTAGAGCCAGCAATAATCTTCTTTTTCCTTTTCCTTTTTTATCGTCTGGTGATGGGGTTGTCCTTGTACTGTGCTGTTATAGCAGCGATTTATAGTAATATTCGGCTTTCTCTTTGCCATCTATTCTTTTCTTTCCTCTTTCTAGCTGGTCTGGTATGGCGTGTTTATTAACCTCTTTCTTCTGTTCCCCTCCTTCTCCTCCTCCTCCTCCTCCATTCTCATCTACATCTACTTCTACTTCTGCGTATCTGGGCGTTTTATTGCGGCGTTACACATAGCTCTACTTATTCCTCCTCCCCCCCCCCCCCCCCACTTCTCTGGTAGTAATTTATGATAAGAGGAATCGAAGGCGTGATGTCTTTTATTACGAGTATAAGAAAAGTTTATCTGACATCTATATCATTCATCATTCATCATGTAGTTCTAGTAGCTATAGTTAGTTTTTAAGAATATGGCATGTTAATGTCTATGTGACCAGAGGCCTAATTATTCTGCTGTGGGCTGGGATTTGGGTAGGTTTGAATGTTGTGGCTTTTGCGGTGAGCGGTACCGGTGGGGTTTGGTGGAGGTTTGGATGATGGGGGTGGTGGAGATGGAGTTGAGGGTGAGGGTGAGGGTGAGGATGGGGGATGGATTCTCTAGAGATGAAATTAATGACCTAAGATCAAAAATTCCTATCCTTACGATGGATATATAATATACTGATATTGAGAATTATATCTAATACAGAAAGAGGATGCTGCTATGAAGTAATTGGCTTGCAGTGTCATTTAGATGTGGGTACTAAATTGAATGAAAACATTGATAACACAATCTCTCTCCCCCTGGAAAATTGCCCCCGGTGATAGTTTGATCGACATGCGGTGGTCAAGAGATATACATTACTTAAACTAACTTTAGTATGATAAGAAGAGAGGGAGAACAGATAAATCCATATGAGTATACCAAACACAATTCAAACCAATTACGGGGATAGACCCATACACGCCGCATGGCAATCGGTGGTACTAACTGGGCCCGGGCCAGATCTGGGTGTAGAGAACATGATGAGCATCGAGTGATGATCTATGATCTAAATTATGCAGACTGATTTACAAAGCTCAAGCCTTAAACCTTGCATGCTTAGCTCCATGAATCTATATACTGAATAGAAATGATTGGGCAATGGTGCGTATATATAAAATCCGTTACACGTTTGGAAATACCAGTGGATAGGCGCAAGATACTGACTTGTATTTCCTGGTCACATCTCGGTGTCAAATCATCCTGGGTAGAGTCACATAGTGATCACACCATTCGTGTGCTACTAAGTACGTTTTTTTCTTTCCTTTTCCTCGTGATTGGAAGCGCCGAAATATTTTCCACACTGGTCTGAGGAGTGCGGGTGATAATCCATGTCTCTGATTCGAAGGGGATAGGCGGTATGTATATTCTCCTTATTTTATTTCAGGACTCTGAAGATTAATTGTTGTAAATATTGTTTCAAACCGTTAGAATGTCTGCAGGTTCTGCGAGTGCAGCCGCACGGGATGGAGAAGCCTGGGTGCTAAGCTAACTGATGTAATAACTGCCAAAAGCAGTCGCGTCGAGACTGAAACCAATTCAACGCTTTTCCCGTGTGTTGGCGATGATATCAAACCTATGCCTTTTTTTTCCTCTCCCCCGGTAATAAAACAACTGCTGGTGACGGAAAATAAAAGACCACTGGCCAAGGCAAGTCACGATAGGTACTGCTGGTAGATGAAGCCCGGAACAAGGTACCTACTGGTTAAAGTATATCGCTTGGAGGCATTGGACACAATGTATAAAAGCCTAGTTTGTTGTTGATTGATAGGTTGTGGAACGTATAACAAGATAGCCATTAAGCATATTCGCAAATCTTGGCTTTGAGACGTTTCATCATAACAAATACTAAACTCTGATGCACCCTGAAACCAACCGGCGGGTATGATACACAGGGCATGAAACCAAAAGTTTTATTCCCTGCATAATTCTCCGTATATCTTCAACCTATATCACATGCTCCCAATCATGGCTTTCCCCTTTTCTTCTTCTTCTTATTTTTCGACCCCGTATCTGCTGTCAGCGGCGTAGCCTGCCCTGAAATCGGCGTCCCTGTTGCAGATGTGACTGTGGAAACTAGTGTAGCATCTGCCGGCGTATCTGTACCCCATCCAACCCAATTAGCCATCCAGAATAACTCCCTGCCAAATAACGATGTATTTTATCATTACCGGTCACGACTGGCTCTGGCACATTGGCTTGCTGCCTTCCTAAGCGGTTGAGGCCTGCGATCATCCGTCCTACAACAGCGATCTTGCAGGTTCTAAACTTAATGACTGCGCCTGACGCTGGATCATAGGTCTTGATTGTAAGTTTTCCTTTGCCGGATGCGGCTGCATGGTATGTGGTTGTTATGGTCTGCACTGCGGTCAATAATTGCAAGAGCAATGGAAATGTAGAATTGGCATCATACAGCAGATGGACGAGCTTCTAGGAGCCGTAATGACTCGTCCACAAACTCCTGAGGGGTGGTGGTTATCTTCATTTCGAATCTGATGCGGGGGAGAAAGCCGGCCCCACGAGTTGTTTGAAGTGGGTTTAATGGTGGATGAGAGCTCTTGCTGACCTGGACAACCGGGTAACGGAACAATGTGGGGATTTGAGCCTCAACTTTCCCCCTGTGAGCTTCTTAGCTACGGGAAACGCCCCCCTTCCCCCACTCGACGACTGCAGCGAGTATAGATCCATGCATGGACAGAGAACATATCTCGGGTTTGGTGCATCGTCTCAATGATGTTGAGCTGGCGGTTTTGTTATGCTTGGTTGCGGACAAGCATTGCATCCTGAGCACTGAGGGACAATGTTTACAGCTGCTACAAAGACAACTAGAGCTGGTAAGCTGGAGCTCCCCTCAGGTGCTTACTGCGTTGGTTAACTTAAATATGCATAGGCCGCAATAAGTGCGTTTGGCCTTTCGACAACAGTGGTTCACTGCACTCCGGAAACCAGCTTGGACGATTTCGCAGAGGCCCTCCTGTTGCCGGATGAGACCAGAGCGCGGTCGACCTCGTTCAGGGCATCGCCAGTTCTACCCCGTGAGGTTATTTACAATAATCTTACTCCAAACATGAAGTGTTCTAATACTACACCTAGGAATCTTATTATGGATATCGATCGCGCTCAAATACCCTACGGAGTCAATCACAAGGCACACAGGAAGAATTTATGAATGGACGAAAGATTGCGAATATAGTTATCGCAAGGGACTTAGATTTAGCAAATCCCCAAGTACAAGCTCAAGCCTTAGAGGTATGCCCTCTCATGGGTCTGAAACCCTAAAACTCAAGCCAACTAACTCCTCACAGCTTATGAGGACAAGGCAATTCTCAACACGTAAAGGCGCTTTTGAAGTCCCGGAGAGATTTTTATTCATCGCTATGCTAGTGAAATCTAGTGAACCCCCAACTTTAACAAATCATTTGGTTTGGCACCCACCCTATGGCTTTTTACATGACTGGAACTGATTGTGTACAAGCGTGACCATTTCTTTATCTCGCACTACCATCCTTCGGAAGAAGGATTTCCGGAAGATGTGGAGAGGGAGGTAGCAGAAGCAGAAATGGAAGCGGAAAGATCAGACAGCGACTCTCTAGCTTCAGTTGTTATACGCAAACTCTCCACGACACCGCCGTTACGCCGAGATTCGAGATTTCCCCTATCTGGAAATGGTGTTTTGGTTTCTGCGGCTGTAATAGAGAGCCTCAAAGCAATGGCAGAAGACGTCACTGTTAGTATAGAGATTAAGAGACATATCATAGATATCGTCGTCTTTATAAGAAACCACAGAGCCGTTGCAGGAGGTGTATCAGCAAGAGCAACCAAGGATTTTGAGTTGCTTGTCAGGTACTATTCTCTGTTCTCTGCTGACAATGCAAGTTTGAAGATGTACTAACTGCAATGCAATTTAGATGTCTTTCGCCACTGCATGGCTTGGATTTCGCAACGCCGTCGCTGGTTAGTTTAGCCCTCTACAAAGTGTACAACCACCGAATTGAACTTGTGCAGAAGCCAGAGGGTGAGAAGAGTAGTCTCTGGGGCAGTAAAGCAGAGGCGATAGAGGCGTACTTAAAACGCATTGACGTGGAAGGTGTTCTGGATGAAGTGGCTACAAGTGTTAGAGTACCAGTATAATTCCAGTATAGAGGCTTCCCATTCCGACAATAATACATTCTTCTAGACGCGACCCACTGTGTGACAGACTATCGAATCAATTGATCCTCAAGGGGAGTTGAGTTTGAAATATTGATGTAAATACCAATAAAAACCCAATCGCATTACGACATAGACCACTTGTCAACCTCAAGCAGGGCTCGGGAAGACCGGCGGGGACTTTCCCAGGTTGTCGGTTCTGCAGGGGCTCGCGTGGGAGGGCTGTTTGTGGCAGCGGGACAAGCCGAGCGCCGGACAGCTAGCGACCCTTTTTCGTGGTGTTTCGTTTTTCACTTCACCACTTTCTCTTATCGCAGCACCAGCACCCATACCCCCCATACCAATCCTGGGGCTATCTATCGCTGCTGTAAGTAAGTACTATGTAGGTACTTTACTGGGCTCTGGGCTGCTGCCTCTATGGCCGCCGTGAACTGTGGATTGGCAGTCAGCCAGCTAGACGGATCAAGGTAGTCGAGACGCGGGAATTTTTAACTCGAACGCGGCTACTCCTGGCCTCCTTCGTGGCTCCTAGTTACTTCCTCTTCTTACCTACAAATAATAATAAAATAACACCCAGACAACAGGTGCATGTTGTAGGTATTTTATCTATTTATTTACCGGCGAGTGCGGGCACTTATCTTGCATTCCGCTGCTGTCCCCTACTGACGGTAACCATTCCGTCGTTGCCAGTACCGTACCATACCATCGTGCGTGCTCTACGTGAAGAATCGCATCAACTTAAACAGCGCTCTTCCCACTCCCCCCTCCAAAATCCTTACCAATCGCCTCCAAGTAATGTCTAGATACAGGCTTCCTGGCGCAGCAACGATCCCAGTTTTACCTACCGACGGTCGAGTAAAAGTCCTTGCCCATCTTTTCGAGCCCTGCGATGCATTGAATACTCTTGCGCTGGAGTACCTGGCCACTGGGCCGTTCGATAACTATGATGAGGTTATCACTTTGATCAAGCAACTACTTATAGACCTCAAAGACACCGATTCGCCGTCGAATACAGCCTGGCTGCTGAAAATTCTTGCAGCACATCCAAGGTTGGGGGAAAAGAGGATCGACAGCGAGCATTCGAGGCTTGAGCAGGCCAGTCTCACAGCGGAGAGTGAGGAGGAGGGGATCAAGCTGAAGGCCCTGAATAAACAGTATGAAGAGACGTTTCCTGGTCAGTACATAGCTCTTTTTGTTTTATTTACAGACCCCCACTCCCTATATTGAAATGTTTGTATTGGAAGCTAACGAATATTGCTTCTTTTAGGTTTGAGATATGTGTATGTTACCCCTCATCATCTCTCTCTGATGGTTTATCTTGGCTAAACTTCTCTCGACACAAATAACAGCGTTTTCGTCAATGGCCGTAGTAGGGCAGTTATTATGGAAGATATGGAGCGAAGAATCGCTCGAGGAGATATTGAAGTCGAGAAAACAGAAGCAATCAACGTGCTCCCCGCCCTTTCTATCTCCCCCTCTTCAATCTTCTCGTTATATTCCTGCCCCGCTATGCCCAGCTTCTTCTCCCAAGGTAACCATAAACCTACTAACATACAAATCGAAAAAAATGCAGGCAATGTGCGATATTGCAAGGGACAGAGTCGACAAGCTCCTTCCGTCATAAACCCAGATGCCAAACCAAAGGACAAAAATCCGACCGCCACATACCATGAGAAATGACAGAATTACCAAAATAAAAAAAAAAATAAAGAAAAGAAGAAAGAGAAAAATATCCCGACAAACCCCCCCCCCCCCCCCAAAACCAAAGAGAGAAATGAAAGTTCATTGTACATTCCCGCAAAATCAATAAGAATCACATACCCATTTCTCCAAATACTCCACTTCTCCAAAATGAAATCATAACCACAAACAAAATCCCACCGAACATGATTATTATTTTTTGTTTTTTCTAACCGTTAGTTCCTCCATCACGCATGCACTTCAACTTTTATATACCCAGCCCCATGCCACGACGCCGGTATTCCAGCTCGGTTTCGCTTGGTGGTGTTGGAGGGCGATGATGCTTTGGTATACCATATGGATCTATGTGCTCTGTCAGACTTGAGGCATCTCCGCAAGTTCTCTGCATGATTGTACCTTTTGGTTTCCGTGGCGTTTTCATTACATGTGACCCTTGGACTATTGGGGAATTGGACTGGGCTACGCGATTTCTTTTTGTGTTCGATTTTGCGTTGGCAGCCAGTTTTTCTCTGGGGAATGACACAAGGGGGAAATGTCAGATTCGCTCATTATCGGCCATAATCAAAGAATATATCAAGTTCATGATGGGTTTTTCAAGCAGGGGGTTTGGAAGAAGTTTTCTATTGTACCTGTACTGCTGTCTGGCGATTTCAACCTGTCGTTCCTGTGCCGCTCTCGCAGCCATCGCATCTCGTTTTATTTTATTCAGAATCGCTGCCTTTCGCAGAACATGCCTTGAAACGGCCCGAGTTTTTGCCCATAATGCTACCCGAGAACAGTTTCCCCGATCGAGAATGTTTGTCGGAGGAATGGCAAATGGCTCGCTCAAACGGGAGGTGATTAATTTTAACCGTAACCGCCGCTTCTTGTTGTAGTCACGACAGTCTTTGTCGATGCCATCGACATCGGCAAGTGGACGAGCTCGTTTCCGAGGATACGTTGAAGACGGCGTTAAACCTGACCATGAATACGGTGCCCGCGCCGTAATGATTGGAGGAAGTGGGAAGGAGAATGCGACTGGTGGAACGGGCACTGAGGTAAAGGTAATAAAGGGATATGGGGTTTCTGTTTTGGGGATCGTTGATGATAGTGGTGATTCTGTTTTTAGTGATTGTGGATGTGGTGAAGAAGCCTCGCGGTTAGTATGGGATGATTGCTCCATTACAGTGATGTTGATTGTTGATGGTTCTCTCTCTTTCTCTCTTTCTCTCTTTCTCTCTTTCTCTCTCTTTCTCTTTCTCTGTGTGTCTCTGTCTCTCTCCTTTTCTCTTTATCACATTCAAGTCAGAAAAGATAACCCCAATCTCCAGTACTGCTGCTCCTTGTCTGTACGAATAGCAGATATAATAAAGCTTGATCGATGATGGTTGATAGCTAGCTGTCCAAGGCGTGTGGGGAAGGTTGCGTGCAGGACAAGAAAAGACACACAGGTCGCGGCAAGTTCAACCCACGGCAGCCTCACGTACTATTAGGGTCCTCGAGTGCCAAAGATCTCCTACACATGTCGAGAGTAGCTTTCAGAACACGGGTCAGAGAAGAGGGGGGTCGTGTGCCCACATTTCCCAGGGTGTCTGTGTCCTCCGAGAATCGCCCCCAAGCCCCTTGGTACCCTGTCCTCGTTGGCCCAAAAAATTTTGGTCGGCATTCGCGCTTATTCACAGCCTGCATAGAAATCTGAGACAACTAGCATCCGTGCTCTGGAGTAGGTGAGTTCTTTTTTTTTTTTTTTACGGTTCGGTATGGACACAGGAAAGAAAAAGGTCCACCAAGTTGGGGGATGTGCATTACGCTCCCAAAAAGGAAAATCATAAGGCGACTTCTGACCTGGGAATTAAGGACTGCAGGGGATTTGCTTTTTGGGTTCCACCAAGCTCAGAATTGAGGGGCGGAGGAGCACTTGCTCAGAGGCAGAGGGGTTCAGGTCTCGAGTCCATCATAGTCGAATGGGTCAAGCAGTTGAGGAGTGGAGTGCCTACATACTGTAGGTACTCTAGCTCTACTTTACTCGACAAATCCTACACAACTTTGCATTGCAATGCAACCTAGAAAAATAAAATATATATAACGAGGGTCATTGAATGGCGCGAGTCCTGTAACTGCGGTACGTGCATCTCTTGACTGGGGGGTGACAGCTGTTGGCTACTGTACTCATATATTTGAGTGTGGAGACGCGGCAGGTAGGACAGAGACATCGCAAGGCAATCATAGGTTGGATGCCATGATATTTTGTGGTTCTGATCATTAGATTCAGCGTGATCGAGCGGCCGCTTGCTCGCGTGGTAAGGGTGTTGGATTTTCAATATCAGATATGTTCAATTCTAGGGTTCCTGCAGCACTCTCTGTTTTGCCTTCTAAGTAGGTATGTAGGCGAATAGAGTATATCGACGAAGCGAAACAAAATTTTACCACATGATGGTACTTATTCGATGGTAGGTACCAGGGCCCAGGCCTACAATAACTTTAAACAGATGTCAGGTCGGTTTGTAGTTTAGAGTCGATATGCGAAGAGCATCTCGGTTCATCCGAATTCTGGCGCTCAAGATTAGCGGTGGGGCAAGCGAACTAGGTACTCTAACGAACTGCCGAACATGGCAAAGATCGGCTCTAAAAAATTAGTACCGTTGTATCTAGAAATATGATGTTGGGAGAGAACCTGGCTGTGGAACTGATGGAGAATACACTGTAAACTGCATATGTCCCGGATAACAAGAGCACCTATGACCATGGTTTAGAGCAAGTAGTAGATTACTATATGCACGAGTACTCTACTCTAAGTATTATGATACGTTTTGCTTTTTACCCGCAGAGTGGATTCTACCTACCTAGCTACTGCGGTGGCCGTAGAGTACCTACGGCGTGAGCTTTGAACATCAAACGGCCATTTCCGGTGGAAGGGATATCGGATGATACAGTTTACATACTGCAGGGCACGAGCAGGCAATGATGTAGGCCCTACATATGTGCTCGAGGAGGTGTCCAGAAGTAGTAATCTTGTACCGTTTGCTTTATTGTTGAGTTCCATAGTGTCTAATTTAGAATCAGCTTGAGACACGCAGGAAAAATAAGAAATTCTTTAACGGAATCACCAATGATGCAAAGAATAATGGCAATACATCTCCGTGGACATCTAGGCACTCTTGGAAAGCGAAACCGAACTTATATATTCTGTCATTGACACTTAGGGCCCGTTCGGACAACCCAATAATCTAGATTATTGGCGATAATCTGACGGATTATCGACTTTTGGATTATCACAATAATCTATGCTGTTCGTGCAATTGAATAATCCAACATTCGGAACTCCTGATTATCCCAATAATCCGCCAAGAAAACAATCACCTTCGGAGGTAATTATTCCCACACAATACAGATATCCTGAGAGCTAACGTTATCCGGACATGTAGATTATCTACTTATTATGAGTATTATGATTATCACTTCCGCTACCTGATAATCCAGTCTGTCCAATAACCCGAAGAAATATTCTAAGGTTGTCCGAACGGGCCCTTAATGCTTCAGCTCAGTTGCAGCATCGACATGAATCAAAAATCATGATGTATCAATTGCAATTAATCTGGCCTACGTATTTTTTTAGGAAGAGAAAGGATCAGGGCTACCAAAATCCAATTTTGGAGCAAATACTCTACCTGAAGGAATCCAATAAACCACCTCCCACTTCAGGATGTCAAATAGCCCTATGGTCAGAAATTCTAACTCGCTACAAGCTCCACACTGCCATACCGACATCAGCCCAAATCGCAACGGTTCATTCTTCAACAGACAACAAACCCTATGCAGATCTACTGTATCTTAAGTGTGATGTATCCAGTCCAAACCATTTATGACAAGCAACCTTCCCGGGTTTTGGATCCTTGCTGTCGATGATACACATTTGCATTGATTCCCACTTGCCCACTGTTGTGCACACTAGTGCTGCACATTTTGACGGCCCGATAACCATTTAAGGCTCGGCAAGCTAATTTTGTATGATCCCCCGTCGCTACCTGAAAACATTGTCGTCCACTCGTTATCTTACGACGGACACTGTATAATAATTCTTAGGGATTGAACCAAAAGAGAGGAGATACATAGGACGACCAAGCTCTTTCTCATTGGCATAAGCTTCCTGTCGTTTACACCCGTGTACGACAGCACCAGCGGGAGTCTCACGTCGTTAACTAATGTATGGCATAAGAAGGCTTGGCGAAAGTGTTTATCCGAGTGATACGTGGTGCACGAAACCTTTCCGCGAATTGGTTGAGGTCGTATTCCCAAGATTATTTTTATAGTGATTTAAAAGTCGTAAGCACATGTAGGTACTTGAGTGGAGACTTGTTTATGATTTCTAAACGTCCTTGACCTTGTCAATCATTATTTTATTGGAAAGTTCTAGTAAAGTCGAGTGATATCATCAATTAATTATAACGATACATATACCTACTCTAGGTATCCAAAAGATACACACCATAGGTAGATAATGCGCGTAGATACTCTAGCTTTTTGAGCAGTTCCAGTCCTAGGATTGTACTTAGTGTACCTACGTGTAGTACTCTCGCAGTCTTGGCTGATTTACGTCGTAAAGCTGCGCGCAAAGCGGTACAACCGAACTATTGAATGTCAGTGGCCTACCACTGAATCATCATACTCTACCAATTGGCTTGAGTCAACCACCACCTCAAACTGTATTTGCGGGGGATAGGGTCAGTTTGGGGACTTTTGCCGGATGACGATGAAGTACTTGCTTACCAGCAAAAGAACCAGAAAACGCGGCCGCCCCGGGCAAGAATAGTTTGTATGGAGTGGCGCCGTTCTCTTATACAAATAATCCCTGTTTCCGTCACTTGCATTTTCTGGTTCTTTTGCTGGTAAGCAAGTACTCTACTTGCCAGATTTTTTTCTGTGTCCAGCTGTTTCTTCCTCATCCGGAAATATGGGAGCTACGAAGCAACGGCCCTAAAACTTCGTGAATTTGATAGATACATGTATTTGGTGAGATAAAGTCGTTGCGACTCTTCCGTATCGGGAAGAATAGGTTCGCTGGACACAGAAAAAAATCCGGCAGATTTATCTGGACAATGCTCTAGTGAGGTGTGACCTTGTGCGACAATGAAGCATCATTTTTCAATAGTTTAAGGTAGGTCAAAAATGCCGCCAATTGCCCTTATCTTTCCTTCCCTCTTGCAAAACGCGAATTCATTTGGTTATGGATTTGGGAACGCGAAACTCCTCAAAAAAAAAGATGCGAAATGCTCATTACTACAAGCTCTTGTGGAAGCAAGTGCCTACATGTAGGTACATACATACCCTGTTCGGAACCGGAAACGTTGACCGTCCGTGCCCGGCAACCGATGATGTGATGTAACAGTGAACATACCATTAACCGTGTTGAATAGCCACGGTGGCTGCAAGACATGGCATTCAGAGATCTCTCATCGGATGAATCGCTCCCTGCCAGCTAGGTATTATCTGGTCTTCACCGGGTTCCTGCTTTGCGATACCTGCTTACTTGCTTGCGAAGTACCTTACATCAACGTCATACTTACTATCTAGATATCTGCCCTACGAAGTGAAATTTAAGGGCAGTTTCAGCTGTACTTTAAACTTTTAAGCCACCTTTTGTTTCTCCAGTACCTACTTTTGATTGTCATTATTGCAACGTGAAACAGATAAGGAACGATTATACAGTGATCTGTGATCTGTGTACGATTCAAGTCTGTGCTGCAACCAACAATTCCACATGCTAAATTAATGACCACAATGACAACTTCAATTCTACCCTCGATACTTCCTTCGATTAAGATATCAAAATCTGGAGTTCCTGTTTCGCCCTCCCCGAGTGCCCCAAGAACCATCGTGAACGACATTGGTTCCGAGAACGGCCGCCCGACGACATCAGGTAATGATGGTAAGGAATCAAAGGAAGGCTGAGCTAGCTGGGCGCTGGAACGCTGACGGAGTGGGATTGGTTCCTAGTCCCCACGACTACCGGCGGATCCACGGCATTCTCGAATGGATCACAGTCCAAATTCTCAAATTCAACCTTAGCACTCGACACTGAAAGGCTTCAGTCTCCCACGACCAGTACTGCGAGAAGGAAAGGGGTGCCCATGCGTGAAGGCACAGCACTTGTAGACCCATTAACAATGCAGATCCTCCGTCGTACAGGAACCGAGAATACGATTCGACAGAAAGCGCGGAAGGATAGCAATGATGATGCGCAAAACGAGGGTGTGATGGGGGCTATTCCTGAGAGGAATCCTTCGGACACGATTAGGCATATGGATGCACAACCCCAGAAGAAGTTCGTATATCTCACCCTCTCCGAGATTTTGTAGGACATGAGGGTCTAAATTGAGTTTGTAGAAAGGGCGTTTCTTTCCTTAGCCGGATAATGGGTGGGAAGAAAAAGGGTGGGGACGCGCCTCAGAATGAAGATGGATTTGAGGTTGACATGAGGACGGAAGGGATGGATGCTCATGTTTTCTCTGAGCCAATTGGCGGACATGGGTTTACACCTCAGTTCCCGGCACCTCCGAAATATATAAGGGTAAGTTATATGTTAAATCCAGCATGAAGGTTCTAGGAGCTAAAACATTTGTTTTTAAGGTTCGTTCACAAAACAAACACAAGCGTGAGTTTGATCAAACATTTCTTGCTCAAGAGCTTTACCGGAAACATGAGGAGCATCCAAAGTCGCCCAATGCTAGTAAGTTCAATTTATCGACGGCGTCACTTAGTAGCATCCCAGCACATAAGAGTGGAGCTATATGGGCTATGAGATGGAGCAAAGATGGCCGTTATATAGCAGCGGGCGGGCAGGATAAGATTGTACGGGTATGGCAAGTTATCAGTACAAAAGAAGAGCGGGGAATGCACGAAAAAGAGGAAGAAGCTGCTGGAACTGGGTCAGGGGGGGTCTACTCTGGCGGAAGGGGAGTTCGGTTGAACGCTCCTGTATTTCGCTCGGAGCCTATCCATGAATATACCGGTCATACGGCAGATGTATTGGATCTAAGTTGGAGTAAGGTCAGTGACTTTGAAGCAAGGTTCCCTGGTATCACAGGGTGTACATGCTGTGCTATTTGACTAACATTTTACAGAATAATTTCTTGCTTTCATCTTCAATGGACAAGACTGTACGGCTATGGCACGTCTCTAGAAACGAATGTCTTTGCTGCTTTCAGCATAGTGATTTTGTCACCGCCATTTGCTTTCATCCTCGAGATGACCGTTTTTTTCTGGCTGGGTCGCTTGATTCTAAGTTGAGACTTTGGAGCATACCTGATAAAAGCGTGGCATTTTGGAACGAGCTTCCCGACTTAATTACTGCAGTAGCATTTACCCCAGATGGGAGAATGGCAATTGCGGGCTGTCTGAGCGGGCTATGCCTTTTTTATGAAACCGAGGGATTGAGATATCACACTCAAGTTCACGTAAGATCATCTCATGGAAAGAACGCAAAAGGGAGTAAGATTACTGGGATCGAAACCATTACATTCCCGCCAAATGATCCAAATGGCGAGGTTAAAATTTTGATCACCAGCAATGATTCAAGGGTGCGTATGTACAATGCTAGAGACAAAAGCCTTGAAGTGAAATTTAAGGGCAACGAGAATACGTGCAGTCAAATCCACGCCACATTCAGCGATGATGCCCAATACGTCATCAGCGGCAGTGAAGATAGGAGGGTCTACATATGGAACGTTGGGTCAGGGGAAGCAGAGAGAAAGGATAAAAGGCCTGCTGAACATTTTGAGGGTAAAATCTCTTCCATAGTAATAGTCATCATATAGCGCTGGCCTAATGTCTCTGCAGCCCATCCTGCAATTGTTACGGTTGCGATCATGGCACCAACAGCGACTCGACAGCTGCTGGGAGGTTCCGGAGATCCTCTATATGATTTGTGCAATCCGCCACCAGTAACTCTCGTTAGTCGAGGTTCTGACTCGATATCGTCGAAAAAGCACCCCGAATCATTGGCAGATCATAAATCAGAAGATAGCTCTGTCCTCAATATTCCCAAGCCTCCTGAGGAGTCTCCGGCGTATTTACAAAGGTCAACACATCCTGATGGGAATATTATAGTCACTGCAGACTACACTGGTCGTATAAAAGTATTTCGACAGGATTGCGCGTTTAACAAGCGCAAGAGTGATAGCTTTGATACTGCATCAACCCTTTCGAAAAAGATTGGAGATAGCTTATTTAATGGTCATGGGAGAAGAAATTCATCACATTCTCACCACGGCTCAGATCGAATCCAATCGTGGCGACAAAGCATTGCATCTAACGGTAGTCTCGAAGGCTCAATTCGCGGTCACAGGAACAGCCTTGGTTTAGACGGATCATCAAACAGAAGCGTTTCTCCAAGGAAATCGATGGGGGCAATGTCGATTGGGTCTGGTAGCACCTCAAACCGGTTTATGAGGTCTGGAAGTGTTCGTTCGAGAGCGTCAAGAGCAACCTCGATTGGGGTAGATGGTCCAATACATAATGGCCACAATGCATACACCGTGGCCAGCGGTACAAACCGTGGGCATGGTATTCCTTCAAGTGCAGATGGCAAAGTTTTACCTGATGTGGAACGACCAAGAAGTACTGTGCAGAATCAGACTGGCAATGGGTTGAGGGGCCAAGGAGCGAATCAGGATCGAAACTCGGGGATGCCTATGACTAGGGCTTCAGCCGGAAGTAGCAGACATAGATTGAGCGCAGTTGACTCAGATGAATCTGACGAGGAAGTCTTCAGTAGCAATGAAGGTGAAGAGAGTGAAAATGAAACTGTGAGGTGCAAAAGGTATGTTTAATTTTGAAACCCCGAATCCAATAAACACAAAATTATAGCACTTCTCCAGCCACCGGCAGCGTGTACCGTTCTTTGACTGACTGGCGGAACATAGATGCGGGGGAACCTCGTTCAGAGCAAAACAATCGAAGAAGGGGGAACACAAGCTTCTTTGCGTCAAGTGAGTTATTTTCCGGAAACAAAATTTCTTTTTTCTTTACTTACCATACCGTTTCTCTCATCTCGCGATCCTTTCCACCATCTCGCTCCTCCTATATTTATATTTGCCGCTAACCAGGTCACGACGAAACTCACAGATGTAACTCAATGCTGTGAAAAGAAAAACCCAGGCGTTCGACCTACATCGTAAATCATTTCTACTCTGGCCAACCTGTGCCTCTGAGCTATGCCCAACTAATTATGTGCCATATTTCTTTTTCTCCTTTGGCTCAGGGTTTTCTCAGTATTTTTCTCTCTCTCACGTTGTTGTCACCTGATTCGCTCACGAGTTCCGGAATGACACTGGGAGGTTTACTTTTTTGATGTTTTGCTTTTGCGACTTTAATCTTCCCCACCGGCGGAATGGGGTCCGGGGAAGTGTTGTCGTGCATGACGCGGAAAGACGTGACGAGCCTTTTCCAATAAGCACAGGAGCTGATGCCTGCGATCACGCATCTATTGAACGTTGCATACCAATTTTGAGGAGTTTTTTTCTCCCCCCAGCCTGTTTGATATTTTTTTTCGGTGTACATTTTGTTTCTTTTTTTCTTCTTTCTTTCTCATGTAATTTTTTCCATTTAGCGTAGCCACGTTGGTATTGGGTTTCCTTTCGCAATATTTTCATTTTCATTTTCGGTTGAGTTTTAGCTGGTCGTAGCAACATCCTGTTGTAACTTGGTGGTTGGATACGGCTTTGGCTTTGGACTTTGTGGATGTTCGCAGTGGCCCGAGTTAGATAGGGCTCGACATGGGCCCACTTTTTGGTGTTGATTGACTTGACATTACATCGGTGCCTGGGTACTTGTCCCGAAGGGTCGGATACCCAGTAGAAAAAGAAGAAATGTATGTATGAAGCCAGGGTTTGGATTGTTGAATGCAAGCACCTGGTTGGCATGTCTTTCTTTCTTGGCTACCCGCATTAGGGGGCACTCCAGTTGGGCCCTTTGGAGGAGCTCTTGGGGGGAGGTACAGGTACGTACTCCATATGTATTATACTCTAATTTGCCCTACCCTATGGCAGTAGGGAAGTACAGCACGAGCATATTCTATTTCTTTTATCTCTAAACTTGATAGAATTGCCCTTGATTAGGATGGAGTAAGTAATTGATACTTGACTAGATTCGCCATCACATGGCTTAATTCGTAAAGATCGGGGACATCGCGGATGACTTCTTTCAGTCTTCTTCGACTTAATCATCAGTTCGAATCACTTCCCCCCTTTTTTCTTCCTCAGCACCGCTTTGTCTGGAAAAGCAAGTAATAACCGGATTGCGTGAGCTCTAGTAGAAGAGTCCCAAGCAGTAACTGAGGTTAACACCTCAGGATAAAAATATTATTACATTAATGAATGGACCCACCATGTAGGAGACGAAAAGGAAAGAGAAACAAAACAAAAGTAAAACCGGGAAAGGCCCATTTGATTGATATGACGAGGAAACGTCCCCATCCCCCTATCTTGCTGCCACCGGCGTCTCGGAGGCTGGCGCATCTGGGGCATGCTGTTCCGGGAGCCAGAATGTCTGGATATATGAGGTTAGCAGGTGACCACGGTTAAAGAGGACGATTCTGCTACTACTAGAAAAAGGATAAGGCCCGATTGTTTGATAGACTAATCTTTGTCTAAAAACAAGAAGGCTCTAAGTTCTTTCTTTTATAGTATTTCTCCGTGGAGAAGAGTGGATGGAAGAAAGACAAGTAGGTATATAAGGGATGCCGAGAATCATTGCCAGATCTCGATATATGGTATCAAGATTCCGAGCATCATAATTCCTCCTCACCGGCCCTTCCACAGCGAGAGAGGAAGAATATGATAGAAAGACTTACCACGTCCTTATGCGCCGTTGCAAATAGGTTCATTTTCGGATTGAAAGCAACCACGCTTGCCATAACTTTACTATTTTCTGCCAATTCCACAAATGGCTTTAGTGTTTTTTTGTCATCTGGCTGTACCCAAGTATCCCAGACCACGACTCCCTTCTCGCCTTGCCCTCCAACTATGTACCTCGCATCAGGCGTCAAACAGACATCACCTGAAGTCTCAATCTTTTTCGGATTTGTAGGCCCATTTGGCCGTTTAGTCCTATATAGAAACTGCGAGGTATTCTCTGCAAAAGAATCAATAACATAGTGGGCATGTCCCCGAGTTCCAACCAACATATGTTTTCCATCGTTACTGAACTCGAGCTTCGACCATGCGGGCATACGAGCTGGGTATGAGTAGGCATGAAGGAATGTGTCGTCCGTTAGGGTGAAGGTTGTGAAAGGCTGCTTGTCATAGTTGCGCAAATCATACAACAAGATAGAGCTTGATGCGTGAGAAGCAACGGCAAAGATGATACCGGAAGGGTCGAATGCAGCAAGTGATGGGGACGAGATATTGAGAAGACCGCTACAGTTGGGGGTTCGAAGATCCCACACTCGGACAGTGTCATCGAGGGAGCAAGATATAAATTGATCGTCTACTGGGGAAACCTCTAGCGATGTTACAAGCCGCTTGTGGCCTTTAAAGTAACGGATGAATGTGTTATCATGAAGGGAGAGGTAGCGAATCGTGTCTGTACCCGTGGAGGGCCCGTGATCAGCTCTGTTTTGCAGCTACCTACCTCTCAGCGGACATACAGACCAGGGAAGGAGGGAGTTGTACCGTTTTCTTTGGTCGAAGCATAAATTACATTACTCTGCGTGTGTGTGAACCTTGCAAGATGGCATCCATACTTTTTGCTGTAAAGAGTTTTGTTGTGTTTTCCAAGTTTACAGTCGTATAGTTGGAGAGTTTCATCATCACCAGCTGCTATGCAAAATTCACCAGTATCATCGAAATCGAGGGACGTTACTTCTGCGCCTTTTGCAAAGTTGGAAAATGCTTTAGAGGGCCGGTAACGGTGAATTGTTTCCTGGAGCTTGACTGTTTCAGGGTGTCTAGTGCCTGGGGTTGCCGTATTGGTCGTCATTTTCTCCCGCTTATACCAATCCTTCTACTCTCCCCTTTGACTGCCTTTGACTGCCTTTCCAAGGCTCTTCCTGAGATCGGCGGGGGACTTGGATCTATTGAGATATCCGAATCTATTGGGCTTTCGAATTGTGTTAGATACTTTGTTTATGAATAGGTGTGGGAGGGGAAGGGGTGAGTAGCAAGGTTTTAAAGTATCACTCACTGAAGTTTGGTCAAGAGAGGCACTGGGTATTGTTTGAGCAGGGGAGATTCGTGATAGTTGAGAGAGGCTCTGTAGTTGACTTTGAAGAAGTCGCGTTACTTCAGCCCTAACCCCTGGCTCAGATAAAGTATCATTTAAGTACCGGCCTTGGCAAATACGAGAAGGTGCATGTAGCTTACACTGATGTCGTTGCATGGCTTACATACATACACGTATATTGATGTAAGGCTGAGAGTAATATCGGTATCTGTTTAGGACGTTACATGTAGGTACATGTATTCTCTACTATATCTAGATACATAGCTACATGTAAGTATATATAATATACATGTAGTGTACTACATGCATCTTGGGCCTTTAGGGCTACATGTATTCGATTTAAATTATAATTGCTGCCGTACTTTAGAGACTCACTCTGATTTACATGGTGGTCTTGACCTTCAATGTTTCTGGCGTTTGTAATATGGTCACATGTGGCATCACTTAGTACCACCAGGATGAGTAATGATTTTTGTAGCTCTTCACTGAGTTCTTCGGGATTGTCCCTAGCTCTCCCCGGACAAGATTTCTAATGTAAAAGTGTCCTTTAAATTGCTGAGCTGTACAGTTGAATAAGAATTTCTTCACCTTAGGTATCGTAGATCTTTGGCTGTCGTCGGCCACTCTATTCTCTGTCCCTGCATCAGGTCTTGGCTACGCGGTTGCAATTGTCCATCGTTTTTTCTCTCCGAAAATCTAAACAACTTTTCTCTATCGTCGCTCGACCACAAGTGTACGAGGGATGTCCACAACTCTCGGGGCTTTTTGTCTGGCGGAATCGCTGCTTGCGGTGCCGTAACAGTGACACATGGATTTGAAACTGTGAAGACGAGGTTAGTTCTCTTCCGCCTCCTATGACAAAACTGTTACTGATACAAAATGTGTAGGCTGCAATTGCAGGGAGAGCTCTCGGCGAAATCACAGACAAAAAGGGTTTATACTGGTGTTTTCCAAGGAGTTGCTGTTATTTTGCGAAATGAGGGTATTAGGGGTTTAATGGCTGGCTTGGGCGCTGCTGTATGATTTCCTCTACCCCACCCCATTCCCGATACCGTCCCAAAAGCATTTGGGCAATCGCAACCAAGTTCTGAATAAGCTACTATTAGCTAAAGCCTTATAATCATAATACATAAGAGAAGGCATTAATGGTGTTATCCAGTACTGCTACCAAACTATGCTGAACGGCTGTCGCCTGGGATTCTACGAACCAATCCGTACAACCCTCACATCCCTTGTGTACGATGATGCCGCAAAGCAATCCTTCGGCATCAATGTCTTCAGCGGAGCCTCCTCCGGAATCCTCGGCGCCGCCATCGGTTCTCCCTTCTTCCTTGTCAAGACCCGCTTGCAATCACACTCGCCATTCCTCCCAGTAGGCACTCAACATGAATATAAAGGCGCAATTGATGGATTCCGCCAAATCCATGCAGCAGAGGGAATAAAAGGTCTTTACCGCGGCGTAGGAGCTGCGATGGTACGTACTGGATTCGGAAGCAGTGTGCAGTTGCCCACATACTTCTTCGCGAAGCGAAGAATTGAGCAGTGGACGGGCGTTAAGGATGGCGTGGGACTACACCTGGCGAGTAGTGCCGTGAGTGGGTTCGTGGTCTGCTGTGTTATGCACCCACCGGGTATGTTACCCTCCATGAAAGTTTAGTGGGACACGGGTGGTTTCTAACATTCTTTTTGACAGACACGGTCATGTCTCGCATGTATAACCAAACTGGGAATCTCTACTCCGGAATCTGGGATTGTGTAAAGAAAACCATTAAGACGGAGGGGGTGCTGGCGATTTATAAGGGATATTTTGCACACCTCGCAAGAATATTGCCGCACACCATCCTGACACTTACTCTTGCGGAGCAAACAAATAAATGGATGAGGAGCATCGAGAATAGATGGTTCTTAGATAATGTGGTTGTTGACTAAAGCAAAAGTCCTATAATCAAGGTTGGCCATTATTTTGGGTACTACTCACACATTAATTAACTCCTGAGAATTCTTGGTAGCAACGACCTCACAAAATTTCTCAGGGCTTAATTAATGCGCGAGTAGATAGTTGGAGAATAGAAATGGGGTAGGAGTTTTGAGGGAAAGGAAAAGAAAAAAAAGGAGTTGCATTATTTTTCTTTTCAAATACGTCTTTTGGGTAGATGGATATGGGTGGGAATATATACAGGTTGGGGGTCAAATATCTTGGTTGGGGATCTTTGGTATGTTTCTTACTGTAGCTAAAGATTTTAGATTTGTATCTACACGTACTTAGGTATTTAGATGAATAGAGGGTATTATATCATGAAAACCTTTGTAGTGTCAATAGTATTGAAAATGTTACTACATAATATGGGCATGTACTTACAAGCCGGTTCCGGCCTTTGGCCGGTGAGGATAATGAAATAAAGAATAATAACGAGTGTCACTAGAGCTGTACTATAATAGGGGTGTATTGTCACTAGAGGGGTGTACTGCCGCTGCACTGCCCTGCTAAAGACCTTTTAAATCCACATTGCATACTCGATATATCGATATACTTATTATAGATATACATACAAGGGTTTTTCAGATCATGGTCTAAGTGGAGAGTGATGTGGCTAGAACGGCTGGCCATGGGCATATGTGACTTTACCAACTCAAAGACAACAGTAAACCTGAAAATACCTTATGTATGTACCTATCTTCCATGGCATTATTGTTCGACTGACTCAAACTAATGCTTGATGAAGAACTTTCTAGGAAGAGAAGGAAGGATTTCTCAAACTTGGTCAATCATAAGCTTTAAGAGACACATTGAATACTTCTATGCTGTGTCTGTTTACATATTTACTTATCAAGGGTTCAATGCGTACGTGTAACGTGCATTGATACCGTGTTTATGATGGGAATTCAATATAAACGCACGAACGTGAAGATACGGAATGTGTAGAGGTTCCCGCAAAATTCTTAGGTTTCGGGATTATAGTTTCAATACATACATGTAGATCTATGCAGACGCCGTACCAAAAGTGTGATAGGTCCAATAGCTTATCATTCAGAATGCCGCGAGATTGCTCTATTGAAACGCTATAATAGTTAGAATTCCAATTCAATTCGGGAATTTTGCACAATTCCGTATTGCTATAACACCTGTTACATCTCCCTTTTTGGTACTGTACATATAAGATGTATATATACTTGTAGGTAGGTGTCCATCGGTCATTATTTCCACCCATAGGTAGCCTTTAACCTTCCCCGCAAATGATCATCTGCCGTCAATGTCTTTTCTATATCATTCGCCCCCCTGTCCCCTCTTCCCTTTACAACCTCACTTGGTATCGGAGTTAATAACGTGCTGTTTTCCGGATGACAGAAATACACAATGCTATATCTATCATTTGGGGCCACTCCCGGGGTTTTAGGAAATGTGACTCTATGAATTGTGGATCGTAGTAATCCCGCTGTCCAATACGATAGTAAATCACCGATATTCACCAATATAGCATCTTTTAATACGGGTACGGGACTCCAGGTTTTGGTGACAGGATGGTGGATTTCAAGTCCAGGTTCACCAGCACGCTGGAATAATAGTGTGACAGAGCCATAGTCGCTGTGTGCACCTGCACGAATATCGAGTGTGGGAGAGTAGTCGGAATCAGCAGGGAGGGAAGGGTAATGTAGGAGACGAAGAATGGAGCCAGATGGACCGTTGTCCGAGTGACGGGATGTGAACCAGTCCTCTCCCCCTTCTGAATGATCGATCTGTGAGCGTTAGTAATGACTGAATTGAGTGTATACATGCACTTGTCTATTCGGATGCTGTTGCAGCAGATCCCTGCAACCACCCCCGAGAACTAACGAACGTGCAGTATATAAGGGATAATATACCTTTAGAGCAATAGCAAAGAGGCGGAGAAGCTTTAAACAAAGGCTATGGCATAGGTCTGCGAATTCGCTGAGTTCGGCTTCGTGCTCACTTAGAGCCACGGGCATAGGTTGCTGAGCTTTGCCGTCCTTAAACTCGCCAAAGTTGAATGCTCTAGACCAGTGTAAGCGTTCTGCCGAACTCTAGAGAGAAATATATTTACTCTTTAAAATCCCCTCTTCGTTGATTCTGAGGATCAAGAGTCTCCGAGTGCATCGAGGACCATCCCTTGTTATCTGCTGATATTCGACACTTCTCTTTCTCTTCTCTAGGAGACGAAAAGAATTTCTTGGACTACAGCTCACTTGAAGCGAATCACAACGAGAAGATTAGCTGTGAACCAGGCAAGAACATCTATCGACATGACATCGTTGGAGGGTAAGCGCACCAACTGGAACATGCGATCTATCTTTTCTGTTGAGATATTACTACCCTCGGAAGTGATGTAGACGAAACCTAATGTCCGGGCAGCTTCTAGGAGATTTGAAGCACATTCTGAGCTGTCTTGTAGAGAGATAAGAGATACTATTGGCATTGACATCATGAACAAGCCTAGGTAGAATATGAGTTGCTCGGGGGATGAGGTTGAAATAAGCAATAGCTTGATGCTTGTGTTGATCATGCCACAATTGAATCGCTTGGCATCATTCCATTCTAGCTTTACGAAATACGGTACCGGTTACAAGCGTACATATAAGCATTGTAATTACAGGCATAACCATAATAAAATTCCACGATATTTATTATTATATGTATCAAGCACTGGTACGGCTGTTGGCTAGAAGTTTTCTGTAAAGGCACACCTTCCTGGGTCAGGTATGTAGGTACGCTTAGCGTATTGTACCGACATGTACCGGGTGTTGAGGGTAAGTGATCAGAATCTGATAAGTGAATGTTACGGTGAATAGGTGTATTTGTCTTATCAGATTCTGATCACTTTGCGCTACACCCTAGTACATTAGGGCCCCGTGACAAACCCAGAGCTGGAGTTATAAACTGCGTCATAAACTCGGACACCCAAATTACCCTAACCCACCCTAAATACCTAAAATTACCCTAGCCCACTCCCAAAATGGCTGTTGAGTTTATGACCATGACACCCAGGTTTTCGACAGCCAGTTTTTAACCAGTTTAAAACTGTCTGTCATACATTCAGTTTAAAACTCCCGAGTTTCTCACGGGGCTCTAATGTACATGTTGCTGCCGACCTCTCGTTTGTTTACTGCCCCGCGAAAAGCCAAGAGCATGCTACAAGGATCACGTCCACTGTCTTGGCCCTCGTGCGTGTGCAACAAACACGAATACAGCAGTCATCTACCATTCCGAAGCCAATTGTTCCCCCATCACTCACAGTCTAGAATAATCCGTTTGTGACATTCCTTTCTCTTCTTACTCTCCTTATATCTTATTCCCTGCAGCCCTCATTTATCCCATCCCCATCATCCTTTGCTCCAAATCTCCACTAGTCGAATCGCAGCTGCATATCCCACAGCCCGAGATTAATTTCAGAAATGCCCGGTACGCAGACAATGAACCCCCCATTAATCACATAATCCAGTTACTGACACAGGTAAATCTCAGTCAAAAGCTTCGATGCCTGGATAGTTACTCAGAGTAAATCCGAGACACTTCCCCTCTCAGCATTGAAGGATTCTGTTCTCGGTATCGAGGCCGATCATTATCTCCAAAAGCTTCTCACCACCACACCCTCAAAAGAACCGTTGGTTGTAGCTCTAGGAGGTTTTCCGTTTAATCTGAGAAACACCGTCGAGGCCGACATTGATGACTTGCGCAAGGCAGGCGTCAAGCCTATTTTCGTTTTCAAAGGATTCAAGACTGTACCTATCGAGGCGCCGTTCAGTGTGAACGATGAGGGCCCAGCACAAAGGTCTCGAGCATGGGAGCTTTATGACAGGGGGTTGGCAAATGAAGCCGTGGAAGCATTCGGCATAGCAGGTTAATCCGCGCCGAACCTGGTGGTAAAATGGTTGTTGGATCTGAAGCTAATCTATACCATATTCACAGGCACCCTAGAACCATGGGAAATATATCGCTATTTCCAACGAATTTTGTTGGAAAACGACGTTGATTTCCAGGTCGCGCCTTATGCTGCCTGGCCTCAGGTATGAAACATAATGCGTGAGCTCAGTTGCTAGTCCAGCTCTAAAATCTATCACAGATGCAATATCTCCAAAAACAAGGATTCGTCGACGCTATTTGGGGAAACTCCGAGCTATTTATGTTCGAAGTTGAAAAAGTCATCACCCACATTAATATCACTCCCGGGAGTACATTTACTTGGATCAATAGGCCGAGACTCCTTCAAGATATGTCACTCATGAACGATATGTTTGTAGACGCTTGTTTGCTATCTGGCTCAGACCTATGTCGCCCGTTTCCGGGGGTTGAAGGCCAGGCTGTGGCCGCAGCGCATGCATTTTTGACCTCGATTGACTTAATAAAGAGGTATCGCAATATATCAACCGTATTGAACACCAACGCAGGTGCAGGGACAACGGGTTATATCGACAAGTACAGAAAAGCACGAGCTTCCGTAAGACATCACGTAATATTCACTGAGGACGGAGTTGCCGAGCCTCTTCGTTCAAAAGAAGCTCCGGGCGATGTTCACGAGTTTATTGGACAACGCTTACCAGAAGAGCTATACTTTTATCTTTCTCGTGGCGTTATAGGACCCCAAGTTGTAGATATGTTGGCTACCGGGGAACTCGTAATAGTTGCGCCATTTGATAATGGTGATGCAGAGGAGTATAGGAAGTTTTTGGACGCTCTCGACCCGTTGCGGTTGCAAACATTGAGTTTGCTTGCCCAGCCACTGCACAGATGGTGGACTAGTAGTGCTGTCTCTGTATACTACTGGTTTGATAAGAAAGCAACGAAGAAATTGGTTCCTAAAGATGTTGTTGCCACACCTTACCTTGCAACCAAGAGTTGGAATGTTAAAGAGAGTTTTTTGAGACCAGAGCTGGAAAGGGCCCATGTAAGTTGTTTCGTTGCCTTGTGGGTTCCTGTCTATTTTATCAAGATCACATGACTAATCTAAATAGAAATCTGTTGGCCTTTCGTTCGCTCTTACTTCTCTTACTGACCCTATATTTGCTGCTAAAACCATTACCAAAAACGTGAAGAAGGATGATGGGAAAAAGAACGACACCAAAAAGGAAGATGTAAGGAGAGATGATATCAAGGTAATGCACAAATGCTCTTTGAGATATTCAAATTTCTAATTATCCTATAGTTCCTGAAAACTCAGGATGAAATCAAGCTGAATACTCTCTGGAGCATGCTTCAGTTGCGAGACTTTATCGATGGCGAAGAGCACAAACTAACCCCCTGGGGCCGTGGTCTCCAGGCCGCCATGGCTGAACTTGATACTCCTGAATTGGACGAATCAATCTATATTGGGATGGAATTACTCCGTTTCAAGGTTCTCAAAGAGGTCAACTTCGCACCTACCTTGTCCGGAGCGCCGTCTAGAGGTACAGGTAAATTTTTGTTTCCCCCCGATTATTATTACAGCCACCTACCCACCTCCTATACCTAGGGCCCGGTACTAACTTTGGAAAGACGAGGACAAAACACACACGACTCTTATATCACGAGTGGCAAGTATCGTGCCCATCAATCACAAGTCGATTGGTTATACCGGTCCGCTAAGCAGAAACCTCTTGGGCTTCAATTCATTCATCAGGACACTTACAAGGAACCTGAGAAATATGGTCGAAATGGTTTTGGTCAGCCTCTTAATGAATGGTGACGCAGAAAGAGATAGGGGAGATTTGACGGAGCTGGGACTTAGACTTCCATTCATTGATGAAGTGAGCGCGGGATTGGGTATCGCAGTCAAGACCTATTTAGACGAGCTTTCAAACGAGCCCGAACCTACTACAGAAGAAGCGAAGCAGAGACAAAAGGAAAAGCTTCCAAAGATGTTTGCACAGGCTGTAGATATTGTTGCGGATGTTGCGTTGGCCTTCAAAGTTTGGGATGCGGTAAGAAGCCCCTCGACAAAACATTTTAAATGTGGCTGATCAATTTTGGTGCTAGATGGTCGTTGGGGTTAAGGTCCTTCAAAAGGAAGGCGTTCTTGGAGAGGAGGCGAATGCATTTTTGGCAGCTGACAAGTGGTTATCTGGAAGAAGGTAAGGTAGGGGCATGTGAAGATAATGAGTACATATGGGTGTAGATTTGGGCTTATGGCCTGGAACCATATGAAGCTGCCCGGCATCTCGATATTCGAAAGGAATAAATCACAGTTAGGATTAGGCGCTGTAACACCGAAGGCTTACGTTTAATTTACTTAAAGGACTTCAAGAAAAGAGTTCAGGTACATACATGTACATGTATTTGTATTTATCGTTTAGGTATTCCTTACCGAGTGAGAAGTTGTGAGTGAGAAGCTTGCCTATGAATAGGTGTTGCAAAACAAACCAAATTATCAGAGCAGAGTGTATCGAGTCAAGGTTTTATCATATTTAATACGTGTATGTTTGTCTCACGAGCCTTCAAGACAAGGACAAGCTATACGTGGCTAGAAGAGCTTGACTGAGGCCACAAGCTACCTTGGCAATGGCCGAGTGACTGTGCCACACATGACGCCCCTCACCAACCCCACTAGCCACGCCACAAACCATCTGGCTTCTTCACACATCACCCTTTCAGGTAATCAATCGTAGTGGAACCCTACAAGTGTCCTCTGAAGTTGTTGGTATCATCATTGTAACCCCACCTCACGATACTCCTACCTTTCCCTTCATATTTTACCTACCCCGCGCTCCATTTCAATTATTTGTCTCTGCGTGTGCGGGTCAAATCAATCGAGTAGATATGGCATCACCTCCCCCGAACCAAGGTCCCGGTGGCCCTTACTACGGAGACCCAAATCAACAATACCAATCTCAACAACCACCACCTCCTCAACAATACGGCCAGACGCCTGACCCATATGCGCAGCAGCAACAGCAATACGGACAACCCCAGGGATACCAACTCCCCCCAACTGGAGTTCCCACCCCGCCCCAGGGAGGTTCTATTCCCCCACCACCCTCTGGTACAACAAGTGGCCATGGTGGCCGTGGTAGGAGGCGTGGTTATGCCGAAGAACAATACGAGTTTGGCGCAGGAGCAAATTCTGCAGGCACTCCCAGCTCACAGGGCGGAGTCATGGGAGCTGGAGCTGGGATGGGGGGGTATCCAGCGCATGATCAAACGCCTCAGTTGTTTTCCCCAATGGGAGGTCCCGCGCCTTCTATGGGAGCACAGCCAAGTTACGGTATGCCTCAAGGTAATTCTGGGGTTGGCGCAGGAAATATTGCTGCTGGTGGGTATGAGCCACCTGGGGGAGCTCCGGGAATGGGAGGAGTAACACAGCAATTTGGACAGATGGGATTAGGACAACAAGGTGGTATTCAAAAGCCTGCGGCGCTCAACTATCTTTACACGGTTGATTTGATGCAACAGCCATTTAATGTCGCTGAATTGGAGTTTCCACCTCCGGAGATCGTTCTACCTCCTAATGTATGGAATAGTTCTTTATTCATACTTCCCCCCCCAGCTAATCATAAAATCTAGGCATCGTTGACACCTTCGCCCCATGCCAATTGTCCTCCGCAATATATGCGCTCTACCTTAAACGCCGTCCCCACCACACACGGCTTGCTCAAAAAATCGAAACTCCCATTTGCACTGATTATCCAGCCCTATACTTCTCTCCACGATGCCGAGGATCCGATCCCGCTGGTGTCTGATACTGTCATTTCTCGTTGTCGTCGCTGCAGATCTTACATCAACCCATATGCAACTTTCTTGGACCATGGGCACCGTTGGCGATGCAATATGTGCAATCTCACCAACGATGTCCCTCAAGCTTTTGATTGGGACCAGGCTGCACAAAAAAATCTGGATCGGTGGCAGCGGCCGGAGCTTAACTACAGTGTTGTAGAATTTATTGCCCCCCAGGAATACATGGTTCGACCACCGCAGCCCTTAGTCTATCTTTTCCTCCTCGATGTTGGCTACGGTGCAGTGCAATGTGGTCTTTTGGCAACGGCTGCCAGAACTATTCTCGAGAGTCTTGATAGGATTCCGAATGCAGATAAACGAACACGCCTTGGTTTCATTGCCGTGGATAGCTCATTGCATTACTTTTCAGTTCCTAGAGACAGCTCGGATCCCAGCATGCTAGTTGTATCTGATTTGGAAGAACCGTTTTTGCCAATTCCTGGGGATCTGCTTGTGCCCTTGGCGGATTGTAGGGAGGGTATCGAAAGCTTGTTGAGCAAGCTGCAAGATATGTTTGTGAATACCCAGAATGGGTCAAGCGCAATGGGAAGCGCATTACAAGCCGGCCACAAGTTGATTTCAGCCATTGGCGGTAAAATCGTTGTCTTGACAGCATCTCTGCCAAATTTGGGAGCCGGAAAACTTGAGAGCAGAGAGGACAAGAAGCTTCTTGGAACAAGCAAAGAGAGTCAATTACTGCAAACTGGCAACAGCTTCTATAAATCATTTGCCGTGGAATGCTCGAAGAACCAGGTTTCCGTCGATATGTTCCTCTTTTCAAACAGCTATCAGGATGTTGCTTCCTTGAGCAATCTGCCAAGATACACCGGTGGACAAACCTGGTTCTACCCAGGATGGAATGCTTCTAGAAGCGAGGATGCCATCAAGTTTGCGAGAGAATTTTCAGATCATTTGTCTGCGGAGATTGCTCTCGAGGCTGTCATGAGAGTCCGGGCGACCACTGGTCTGCGAATGCAGACATTTTATGGAAACTTTTTCAACCGCTCCTCGGATCTTTGTGCATTTCCCGCTTTCCCCCGTGATCAAGGGTATGTAGTTGAGGTTGCTATTGACGAAACTCTTGGAAAGCAGTTTGTCTGCATGCAGACAGCCGTGCTTCATACTACCTGCAACGGGGAGCGAAGGATCCGGGTCATGACCTTAGCTCTGCCTACTACGCAGAACCTGGCAGATGTCTACGCCTCGGCAGACCAAGTAGCTATAACCACTTATTTCAGCCACAAAGCAGTAGAGAAGGCATTAAGCGGTGGATTGGAGCAAGCGAGAGATGCCCTTCAGGCAAAGTTGACAGAGCTCTTGATCACTTTCAAGAAGGAACTCACTTCTAGCCACGTTGGGGCCGCAACACCTTTGTCGTTTCCTGCCAATTTGAGGGGACTCGTAGTCTTATTTCTAGGGTTGATGAAACATGTAGGCCTTTTGTTGTATATGGCTCCTTTGAAGTTGGTTATTAATTTTTGATTAGGTCGGGCTTCGAAAATCTGCTCAAATCCCCTCAGACCTCCGTTCAGCCGCTCTTTGTCTCCTTTCAACGTTACCCGCTCCCCTTTTGATGCAGTACATTCACCCCAAATTTTACTCCCTTCATGACATGCCGGATAATTGTGGTCTCCCAGACTCAACAACTGGTGAAATCGTCCTTCCACCAGGGATGAATCTCTCCTCAGAACGCCTGGCTCCGTATGGCTGTTATTTAATTGATGACTCTCAGGTTCAATTCTTGTGGATCGGCCCTCAAGCCGTTCCCCAGCTGATTCAGGACGTGTTTGGCCTCCCCTCTGTCGAACATGTCAAGGTTGGCAAGACCTCTCTTCCCATATTAGAGGGACCTGGGTCCGAATTCAACGAGCGTGTTAGAAATGTTATTGCAAAGAGCAGGGACCATAGCAAATCGAAACATGTTGGGTCAATCACAGTTCCACATCTTTACGTCGTTCGTGGAGACGGAGAACCTGCCCTTAGATTGTGGGCCCAGACAATGTTGATTGAGGATAGAGCAGATCAAAGTGTTGGGTTAGGGCAATTCTTGTCACAAATGAGAGAAAAGGTATGGAATCCACCCATCCGACTTAGTCTTTGATCTTCCTATGTTAATTTCTGCTGCTGATGCAATGAGACAGGTCAATAATACGTAGGAATGAGTTGGATAAGTAATCTCTTAGGCAGACGACATGAATGTAAAGTATTCTATGACTTGAGTTCGTATCTTATTGCCGAGTTTTTTACTGGGGAGTTGAGGCACACAAACAAAATTGGAGGAGGTATTTGTTTTGGGAGGGGGGGGAGTGGAAACGTTTTCGTGATTTGTGATGCTTTGGGGTGGTGGTCATGATCGTTATTCTGTTTGTTTTGTGTTTTATTTGCTTGGCGAGTATAATATTTGGAATAAAAGCCTATCAATGAAATGATGTATCTACATTGTACCGTTCCAACTTCCTGTTCAATGGAGATTGTTTAGTCATGCACCGCCACAGCCCCGCTAAAGCCACACAGCCTGCAGGACCACACCCCACCTCGATATTTTTTTGGGTGTCGTTAGTAAGGTAAATGCCAGCCAGCACCAGGAAGCATCAAGTCTCTTCGAGCCGCATCCCTCCCCTCCCATTATCTCCCCGCTCTGAATAAAATCCGACATCTCATTGAATCTCGTGTATCGGTAAATTACCAGGGACCGATTATTTTGCCAACCTAGCTGCCCCTCACCTTGACATCCGCTCCTTAACATGGCTGGGCAGATGCAACTCGACATGAGCAATGCTCAAATGGTACGGGACGAGAATGGACGACCGTTCATCATTGTTCGAGAGTGAGTGTTGGATAGCTTTCCATGGGAAAAGAAATGTGTGAGAACTGGGGATTTGGGATTAATAAATCTTATTTGTGATAGCCAGGGGAAGAAGAAACGACAACACGGAACGGAAGCTGTCAAGTCTCATATCTTGGCCGCAAAAACCGTAGCAAACATTGTCAAGTCTTCTTTGGTGCGTTTAGATGAGATTGAGTTAGGGAAGAGTGATGGCTGATATAGGATACCTGGATTTAGGGACCAAGAGGGCTCGACAAGATTTTAATATCCCCCGATGGCGACATTACTGTTACGAACGACGGTGCGACGATCTTGGGACAGGTATCTATTCCCCTAACATTGTGACTATCTTACACGCGTACTGATACGGAATTGTGTTTATAGATGGAAATTGAAAACCACGTAGCCAAGCTTCTTGTTGAGCTGTCAAAATCTCAAGACGACGAGATAGGAGATGGTACAACTGGTGTCGTTGTTCTTGCCGGAGCTCTCTTAGAGGCCGCGAGTGATTTGATCGATAAGGGCATCCATCCCATAAGGATCGCAGACGGTTTTGACCAGGCTTGTGACGTTGCCGTGGCTCACCTTGATAAAATTTCGGACGTGGTAGAGTTCTCAAAGGACAATATGGACAATCTGTTGAGAGCTGCAAAGACATCTCTTGGATCCAAGATCGTTTCTAAGGCCCATGACCAATTCACTAAGATTGCCGTTGACGCGGTTCTTTCTGTTGCAGACTTGGACCGTAAGGATGTTGATTTTGAGCTGATCAAAGTTGATGGTAAAGTTGGTGGCTCTCTTGAAGACTCGATGCTGGTAAAGGGCGTTATTATCGATAAGGACATGTCACATCCTCAGATGCCTAGGGTCATTCATGACGCGAAACTTGCTATCCTGACTTGCGCGTTTGAGCCCCCAAAGCCTAAGACCAAGCATAAGCTCGATATCACCTCCGTCGATGAGTTTAAGCGTCTTCAGGCCTATGAGAAGAGCAAGTTTGAGGAAATGATAAAGCAGATTAAGGATACCGGCGCAAACCTGGTTATATGTCAGTGGGGATTTGATGATGAAGCCAACCATTTGTTGCTTCAGAATAAGTTGCCCGCTGTTCGATGGGTCGGTGGACCCGAGATTGAGTTGATCGCCATTGCAACAAACGCTCGGATTGTTCCACGATTCGAAGATCTGACAGCGGAGAAGCTTGGAAAAGCTGGGTTGGTTAGGGAGTTGTCATTTGGAACTACTAGGGATCGGATGTTGGTCATTGAGGACTGTGCTAATACACGGGCTGTTACCGTCTTTGTTCGAGGAAGTAACAAAATGGTGAGCACAAAAATAAGTTGGTTAATCGTTAAGTGTGGCACTGATGTATTATCCCCAGATCATCGATGAGGCCAAGCGTGCTCTACACGATGCTCTTTGTGTCGTCCGGAACTTGGTTCGTGATAACCGTGTCGTTTATGGTGGAGGTGCTGCCGAAATCTCTTGTTCGCTGGCAGTCGCTGAAGAGGCCGATAAGGTATACAGGTTTCCTTCTCATTCATATAAATAAAGTGCTAAAATCAACGGTTTTAGACTCCCGGACTGGAACAATATGCTATCCGCGCTTTTGCTCAAGCCCTTGATGCCATTCCTATGGCACTCGCCGAGAACTCTGGTTTGTCTCCCATTGAAACTTTGGCATACGTCAAGTCTCGCCAGGCTCGCGAGAACAACTCAAAGTTGGGAGTGGATTGCATGCAGAGTGGAAGCAACGACATGAAGGAACACTTTGTCATCGATCCCTTGATTGGAAAGCGTCAACAGCTTTTGTTAGCCACTCAACTTTGCAGAATGGTCCTGAAGGTGAACAATGTTATCATCTCAGGCAGCGGTGAGGATGAGTTTTAAAGCGGTTTCATATGGATTCGGAAAATAACCGCCCATGAAGCAAATTTGTGGGACCAAATATATTTTCATGAGGATAGCTAGATAAAAATGGCGAAAATGAATATATTATAGATGGATCCCCAAAACAATTTAATTCTCAATACCCCTCATATTAAATTTAGCTACGGTGTATCAGCGCCTTTGCGTCGAATTCTCTGGATAATAAAGTGACATGCATATGTACATATTTGGTTTAATTTTGGAACTAGCACCTGTATGTACCCAGGGTGTCGGAAAATGATGCACATTGGGTGATATCACAACCATGAGAGAATTAATCTGTACACAAGTCTATCTTGAGGTTAATTTAAGTGTGTAGATTCCTTTCATAAGAAAAAATAAATAAAAAGGTCTGTCATCGATACTTTTTGGTTTTTTTTTACTAGTAACACTGATTTTCGCTACTGGATAGTGACTTCTTGCTTGAAGAATGGCTATTTTATATTCGGTTAGCACCAGATGAATTCTTAGCCATTGTAGAGACGCCCTACACTCGAAATTTGAATTTAGGGAGCGTGTTGCGTTGTGCCAAAATATAGGTATTTGGGGTAATTGGCCTTTGTCAAACCAAAATGTGCATCACTTTCCAACACCCTGGGTACTTCTGCAGCACCCGAAGATCATGATATTCAGCCCAATCTTATAATATTGAGGAAAAAATATATAATATTACTTATAGTGGTAACGCTCTAGCTACCATGGGATGCAATATTTTCCAACCTGTTGCTGTATGCCTAATGTTGACATAAAAGAATATTCGGCTCCAACCTGAAATTTTGGACTGAAAATTTTATATATACAGCACTAGAAGTAGCTCAATCTACCACATCCACATCCACATCCACAAATATAAGATATCGCAAATTCACATACTTCAAGTTGGTTTTTATATCTCGTTTTTGCAGAGCGGAGCTTAAGTTGTTTTGGAAAGTACGTATTGTCAGTGACATAGAATCCGTGATAAAACGTTTTAATCTCATATTACTTAAGTACATGTATGTGCATGTGTATAATATTTAGTGACTACTCGCAGCAATAATTCTAGGGTGCGTAGTCTCGTTCCAAGACAATTGCAAATTCTGTATTCTTTTTTGGCGGCGGTGCCGGTTGAATATATATTACTTTAATATGTACTAGCATGGGCCACAAATAATCGATCATATACTACATGTAAGCCACACTTCGAAAAATCATATTGCAGGGTGACAAAAATAACTACGCACCCAAATTTGTATGGTAAAATGACGTTTTTTGGACCTAGCTACTTCAAACATACCGCCACAAATTTCATATCAGAAAGACCAAATCTCCCAAGCTCTCTCTCTGATATCTTGTATACTCATGGAGTTACAAAGAGTTGAAGTTGTCAATTTTTGTATGGTTGCCATGTGGATTACTAACAAAAAGGCCGAACTTTGAAGTATAGCTATTGCATAACTATATAGGCTGTGAGAGACATAAGTGTATATGGGAGTTTCTAGAGCTCCAAAGATCTTTCCTGTAGGTTATCAAGTTAGTGGTCGCATTTTCGGAGTGGTAGGTCTAGAAAATACTCTTTTCCAATACAAACTTTGGTGCGTAGTTATTTTTGTCACCCTGCAATACCAAAGTGGTGGATGGGCACGAGACTACATGCAGTGTGCGGGGGGTAATCTCGTACCCAGCCCGTTACTTGCAGCAAGCTGCTCACAGTACGAGTAGACGGGTTGAGGACGAGCCTATGCGGGGGGATGATTTAAATTGTAACGTATACTCCGTTAAAGCTAGTACGGAGACAAAGCGGCGCGGTGCATTCTCGAGATCTCGTAATCTATACTGATGCGGTATTAATTCTAGATCTACCCCGGCCCCCATTAATTCTGGTACTGTATACATGTACATATAGCTCCAGAAACCGTGGTCTTCCAGTGGAACGTTGGAAACGTTGAGAACAAACACGCTCGATCTTAGCACCAGTCTTTGTAGTTAAATTTAAAGGCTTAAAAATATACCTCCCCTATCCCTACCAGAAGGGCGGCCCGTCACTGTATGTACCCTACATCTACCGAAGGGATAGGTTTTAAGGCTTACAGGGCTATATACTCACGACTAGAATGAGATCAACTTGGTTGTAGGGTAATTACCAGTACGTGGACACTGTACAGCTAAAGCTTGCTATAACGGTACGCTCGGGACCGGAATTTGGTACCGTTATAGCAAGCTTTAGCTGTACCTACATGTGGATATAGACCCTCTGGTTCATGAGACCTCACTCGGCCTAGATCATGTATAAGCTGTTACTAGTAGAATGTTTAGCTAGGAATTTTGGTCCCGCATATCACATACGATGCAGCTTCGGGACATGCATACGTGGGAAACTAGAATGTCAAATATTGATAATGGTCCGCGAAGAATGTTTAAGTCTAGGTCCCCCCGCGTGTCTGGTGTTTTTGAACCAATATCGAGTGAGCGGCTGTGCGCCAAGGTAGATACGCTCCTCGATAGATTATTTCCTAAACAAGAACTGGATACCAGCTGCGAACTTCTCTATGTAAACGAGCCCTTATGCCCTATATACGCTATTAGATCATCAGCAAGAGATATGAATTCACCCTTTACATATAACCCTAACCCCCTAGCGTGACATCCACATGCGCCATGGGATGTGATGCAACCGTCAACGCGAAACCCATCCATCGTTATCTTTATTCTCAACTCACTTAAATTCACATACGCGTCCCGCCACTCAAAATGGCAGACCAGGCAGAGATAACACGCCATTCTCACCCGCTTAGTAGAATTGTTATATGTTGCACATCGGTTCCTCCGGATGCTCGTGTTAGTACCAATTTCATATTCGAACTCCTGTTTCTTACCCCCGGGGCCAAAACTGATAGCATGTGTCTATAGCAAATACTAGCCAAGAAAGCGCAGGATATGGGAGCGCGACATGTCCTTGATCTTACTTCGGATGTAACTCATTTGGTGTGCGAGGACATCACCACGCCGAAATACAGATATGTTGCGAGGATGCGGACAGATGTGAAGGTAATGATGGTGGGATGGGTGGACTCCATGTACGATGTTTGGATCGATGGTGAAGACATAAACCCCCGCGATTTTGAGGAAAAATTCCAGCTTCCTATTCTTTATAAATTATCGATATCTGTCACAGGCATTTTGGATTGTGAGTAATGGACCGCTGGGGACGATGCACCTGGAGCAGATGCTGATAATTACTCTAGTGGCCGATCGGAAGAAAATTGAAGATCTGGTCAGCGGCCATGGAGCTTCCTACCACCCCGATCTAACGAGACATGTGACCCACCTCATCGCTGCAGCTCCTACGGGGAAGAAATACGAATTCGCCATGAATAATGATATTAGCGTTGTAACAGTGGAATGGCTTCATGAGAGTTTGGAGAGAGGCATGGCTCTGGAGGAATCATGCTATGATCCACGTTTGCCCAAAGAGAAATTGGGTGCAGGGGCTAAACCAGCACCCCGGACCACTGCAACTGCAGAGTCACTTCCTGAAGCCAGTAGCAAGCGGAAGATCCGGAAAAGAGCTGGTGACCTGCTAGGGAGTCAGAGTCAGGGAATTTGGGGAGATATCTTGGGACAGGCATCTAATCCGAAGCCAAAAAAAAGAGACGAGTGGGAGGAAAATTCGCATGCAGATAGTGCAAGGAAATCGCTCAAAGACATGCCAGAAAGAGTTAAAGGCTCCGAAAAACTACCTACTCGTGTGTCCGCTAACGCAGGGCTCATGGCGCAATGTAGTTTCTACATTTATGGGTTTAATAAAAAACGGGTTTGTTGAATTCTACATCCAAGTCCTCCACATTAAAGCTCCCGTACTTATGTTTTACAGGCTGGGATTGTGCATAGTATTTTGCTCTCCTACGATGCGAATATAGTTTCTTCAACTCAAGCACTCAACTGTTTACAGGGTACATCTCGATTGTTTGTCGTGGTTCCGGCTACCATGCGTAAACGTGACTGTCCTGATTTCTCTAGCATTGAAGATGTTTTGATTGTCACGGATTGGTGGCTTGAGGCTTGTATGCACAAATCAATACTCCTTGAGCCGTCCGACGGCTTTACATATTCACCATTTGAAGAATTTCCTTTAGAAGGTATACCCGATTAATGGTATTTATAGATGTAGTCTAACATTGGTAATAGGATTTAAAGGAATGCAAATCTGCTTGACACAATTTACAGGAGTCGAGCTACTACATATGAGAAACCTGATAACTCTACTAGGTTAGCTCAAATCCTAAATGCGGTGCCCCCAGGCTACTCGCTGACTTGGAAAAACTTCACAGGGGCTTCTTTTCATGATATTCTAACAAAGAAAAGAAACCTACTCGTCACAAGTTTACCGGCTAGAGGGGATAAGTTTGACTTCGCAATTCAAAATGATATACCTGTAGTGACGACTGAGTGGCTTCGGCAATGTCTAAAAGAGTGCAGAGCAGTACCATTCACAGATTTTCTCATTTTGGGAAAGAAACGAAAATCAAGAGAACCAGAGGATATAGAAGGCAAAGAAGGGCCAGTGGTGGATGGTCAATTTTCGGGAAATAACAAGAGACCGCGGTTTTTGGGAAAGGATTTTCGGGATGAGGGGAAGCTTCTGGGTGAGAACTTGCAGTCTTTCGGAGACAGGCTAAGGGGGAAGAAGCCAGTCGAAACGAATGCAGCTGATTTGGGGGGAAAGACTTCGGACCCATTACCCGGCGATAGTGGTACCATCTACACAGAGAACCAACAAATCCCATGCGAAGACAACGGTGTTTTGGACAAATGCTTTATTTATATAAGTAAAAATTTGAAGGTAATCCTCTTCCCTACAAACCATTTCAAGAATAATCGGCTTAAAAATAAAAAAACTATAGACTCGTAGTGCCGAATTGACTTCAGTTGCGAGATCTCTTGGTGCCGCTATCGTAGATTCCATTCACCCAGATACCTCCATTACACACATGATACATTCGTCGAAGACACCTCGGGATACAACCAAAGACTTTAAAGTGGCAAACGCAACTCCTGGTTGCCACATTGTCTCACCAGACTGGCTGTATAAATGCCAAGAGTCTGGAAAGAGGGTTGATGAAAAAGCTTATCCTCCCATCATCGCACCGAGTAAAGGTTTGGAAATGGGCTTTTCAAAAGGAAGTTCGAGCAGTTTATCACCAGTACCCTCGGCAGAAATACATTCACCAATAAAACCAGCCTTCGAGGTAAAACAAGATGAGCTTGTTGTAGATGATACCGAAGATGGACAAGGTTTTCAAGATGACTTCGAAAATCTTAACGAAATTAACCACAACATAGCTAAAGATCCAACGCCACCAACGCAACTGTCGACATCCTTCCCAGTGCCACAAATCAGTGCGTTAAACATAGTAACAAAGCCTTCATCGAGTGACAATCAAGACACACCCGACCCCGCCAGTGGAAAATCCAGCGGCGGTATCAGTGACATCCTAGGGAAACTCGGCAAAGGCGAAATTACAAACGCAATTGAACGCAAACGACCACGTGGAAAACTCCAGGGAAGAGCCACCTCAAACCTATCATTCTATAATAATCCTTCCCGAGCATCTTCAGTCGAAAGTCACGCTGAACCGGTAGTGTCTGAAGATAAAAATACTCTAGTCAACAACCTGCACGATCTAAGCAGCACCAGACGCTCCACAGACCAGATGATCCCGGCGCCGAGTCAGGCTATCAGATATGAAGATCTGGAAGCTGAGAAGGAAAGAAAAAATGTGCGGGCAAAGCTCAGTGGCGATGCGGTTGGACCAGACACGCCAAAGAACCAGAGATCGGTAATGAAGAGAGTTAAGACAGCGGTAGATGTAGAGGGTAGTGTACGGAGAGGGAGGAGGGTTAGGTGATTATGGCTACGGTATGACATGTATAAAGGCTTTTTTCTCTTTTTTCTCTTCTTCTTTTCTTTTTTTGGCGTTGGTGTGTTTTCTCTCTCGTATGGAGAGTAGGTTCGTTCCTTTGCCGGACTATTTATGAGTAAATAATATTATTGATTAGTTTGGTGCATTTATTGCTATGTACCTTATTGAAGCACAGTATATGCACTGTGTAGCATTAATTGTACGGTGGTATATGATCTGCCCGATACGCGGATTTTTCCAGTTCACGAACTGGGCGCCCAGTTCAGTGAGTTTTCCCAACCGGTTGTTCTGCTCAGAAGTACCATACAAAATTTGAACGGGTTAACCTGTTCAGCAAATTCATAGGATTTTGCCCCATTCAGAAAGAAATGCACACAAGAAACATACCTCCCAATAGAATTAATTTCCAAAATATTCCTCCTGCAGCCTGGCCGATTGCAGTACTCAATTGGATTGATATTATGTTAATCCAATTGAGAACCATATTCAATATTCTAGAATAAAACCATGAATTCGTTACTAACAAGAATTTTCATGACTTAATGAATGAGCTGCATGAATGAGTATATATAGGTAATTTAGTCGTTATTTCCCTTATAATTATCGATCAAAATTCATACTTTCCAAATCGTGCCCCGTTCAGTAAAGGTATCCAGTTCACGAACTGGTCATCCCATCGGGGAAATCAACTCAACCGAGCGCCCAGTTTGTGAACTGGAACATTTCGCCTATCGGGCAGAACATATACATGTACACAGTTACATATATTTGTTCTACAAACTGCAATAGTCTCATTTTCAACATTAACCACACATGTGTGGAGAGTAGTAAGGAGCTAATTAAGTCAGTAGAGTGATGCCATTAAGGAAAATGTCACCAGTCCCTTTTTTATTTCTTCCGTCGCCTTCCCGGCCCTCGGTTTCGGATATCTCTGTCGATATGAACGAGTGCCTACATATAGATGCGTGATTTTATTCTCCGGAGTTGACATCCCCGGAGCCTCCGGCGCAAATCTAACATCGTATTTAATAAGCCGAGGCAAGTGGTACAGTAATCAAGATGACGAGTGATGACTTGTGAGTAAGGCTTTGCCGATTTCCGTTTTAACCGTTCCCATGATTGAGGTTAACTTGAAAAGGTATATCGATATTTCATGTAATGTGGGGTGATCATGTAATGTGTGGGGTATCAACCTCGGCTTTAAAGCTGAGATGCATGGTCTCGCAAAGATTTGTTGCAAGAGATCAGTATGTTATATAGCACTAATACATAGGCGGATTAGAATTATAGAAAATTACAGCAACGTGGGGTGTTTTTATCATCTAAAAAATACTTATATGCAATTAATGAATTAAACAAACAAACAAAAAAAATACTTATTTACGTTCATAAGTTATCACTCGCTCTGAGCGTTACCAAAACAAGGGTTTTGGAGGTTGGTTGGGTTTCCTGATCGTGAAGTCTCAAGAACTTATGACAAATGATGTCCCGGCCCATTTAGGGGGTTAGCCTAGTTGCGGGGTGTAGTTAATGGCAAATTACAGTATGATTATAGAAATCCTGCAGCTCCCATCCACCCCCACGCAACCTCTCATCGTGTCATGCAATAGGTATTAATACGGGTGGAAGATATTCTAGTCACTTAACGATGAACTAAGAAGGTGGCGTCTATACGGGTTGCATTCACGGTCCATTTTCATATTAAAGCTTTCTGATCGGATGAATTAACTAGGCAAAAAAAGCACCAATCATTCAAGTTCTGTATGGTTTGCTCCATCATTAGATTCTCTTTCGAGTAGCTTTGTGAGCTGTACTGTATATATATTTATGAGTCCCTTGGCCAATTTTCCACTTTTTTTGTAAGTGTTGACTTAAGGATTCTGGGTAGATTATATAACACCTCAGTATCTCTCCCCTAAGATTATTGCCTTTCTTTCTTCTCCATACCAATCGTTAGCTTCAGAAGTGAACACCACTATATATAGGAACTTTAAGCACTAGCGCTCTTTGATATCTGTATCGCCTAAGCACCTACAGTACATTAGCCCCTACTATCTACTTTAAGCTTTTTTTTTCTCGACTTTTTCGTTTAGATTCACCTTTTGTAGGGGCCTTTCCCTTTACCTCCTCATCTTTTGTATTTCCCCATTTGGTCTCGCAGCCGGTAATGTGATGTGATGGAATCGATTGATTTTCTTTCTTGGTTCCCCTCATTGGGCCCTGCTCCCTTGAATTCTGCTCTTGTCGCCATTTCGTCTACTGTCGCACATTGGTTTTGGCCCTTTGGGCCTTTGCTCTAGGATTGAATCAATCCCCTCGTGTTGGCATTTAGGTGTTCTTCACTAGTAGTAGCGTGGATTTGACTTCGTTTACTATGTAGTGTTAAATCTGAACCAGATCGCCGTAGTGATTTATGTTCGCCAGTGGAGTGTGCTTGAGTAAACTTCACCTTCACAACCAAGGGTTTTCATGTCCTAAACGACTATGTATACCTATTGGCGATTAACTTAACCAACCGATCCGCAGAATGGGGAATGGTTTGACTGATTTTACATGCCATACCCTTGGTTTCTGGCGTGAAGAGATCGACTTAGGTTAGATCTTCGGTATTATGCAGCCCAAGATACCCCTTGAGGTTCAATGCGGGAATCCTTGTGATGTAGAAGGGTTCTAGGGGCTGTTCATAACTTCGAGGAGGGTTGATGGGGCGCTTTTGGTTTGGGATTACTGCACCCAAGCGAGGGTTAGCCATGGTTAAGCTTATGGCAGGGAACTCCTGGATAGTTAGCTCTGGATCTGCGTGCTTAGTCGAGGAGGCCTAGACTGGTTATACTGCGGGAGATGCGCCGAATAACATCTGGTATTGGCTTTTGAAAGCTCACTGATTTGCAAGGTCTGCAACGAGAACACTCGAGATGAAAGTGGCAGATTGAGTATTATACGTATATGGTAATTTCTTCTTGTTTTCTCCTGTATCGCAAGGGTATTTCAAGTGTTAGATGAGTGGGGCCAATATCATAGGAGGAGGCTCACAGTTCCTGGTCTCCATGTCAGATGATAGTGGTACCGATGGAGACATTGAGGACTGCTAAGATTCATACGGCTTCCTGAGCTTCAAATCCGCCCCAGATGAACCAAAGATTATACTCTAGGCTTATTATCCCAAGAATTATATATCCGCCCACGGTCACTCCTACAGTACGTACGGGGCCTTGAAACACCATCCACCGCGGTGAAAGTTTCACCACAAAAACCAGACTACTTTCCGAGTGACGAAACATGACCCAACTGCCCCCCACAAAGATTTTCAAACTCCGTCAATCTCCCTCCCAAGCCTGCTATCTCCCCGGCCATCCTAGGTAGGTAAAAGTACATGTGTTTAGGGCACAAGCTGCCCAGGATAGCCTGACAAACTGCACGCGGGCCTTTCCTGATCCGCATTCCATCTCAGGGTTTGTGTTTTTGTACGCGCGGAATAAAAGCCTAGACCACAAGACGGACCAAGCTTTCTATATCCTGGCAGCCCTGAGGGATGATGTCAAGACTGCTCTAAATGAACAGGTTATGCCCTCAATTCGGCTATGATGCGCTATTCTATTTCCGACGTCTTGCGCTTTGTGGACGTAGGTGCGAAAAGTGGAAGATCTTGGGCCCTGGCGTCTTGGTGTACTGCCGAGATACTTTACCAATGGATACTCACGATCGCCGTAGCCAAAGATTCAGTGTGAGGATCCGAACGACACCGTTATCTTTGGTTTTAGTTAATCCTCTATTTGCTGTTCTGCTCCTTCCACACGGGTGCCATTGGTAGCTCTTTTTTGAGGTGATGTAAGGGACTATTTTGCATGTCTTATGCCGTGCAATAAATTCATTCGACGACAATAAACACAACGCGCGTTGCGGTCTTGGGATTTGATTCCTATCTCGTATTTTGAAAGGGCTGTGTAGTGTAGTGAATAATACCTACCTCTATACCCTCACGCTAGGTATTATTATCATTATCATCATTGTTCGTATTTGATATCACCTAACCCCCTTCCTTTGAATTACATAGCATGCCACAGGCGCTACATCCCATTACGAGTCAGGCTTTGAGAAGTTTTCATCGTAGAAACATCACCTAAACCACCAGGTTCTTTTCGTGGTAAACGAGTACAACCCACATTTCCCAATGCAAGACTCGCAACCGAGGCTGCCCCCACCACCGCGCCCCAATCGATTGACCTACCAGAACACTAACCTCCCACAAACTCGGCTTCGGATACCCTGGCGGATGCCATGATCGGGGTCGGGGTACGTCCGCGAGCACGGGGGGAAATCCGTAAGCTTTTGTGTCAGCGAAGATGAGTGCATATATTAAAATATAGTTGTACACAGCATGTCTACTTACATGTATGTAAGCTGGTAGAGTGATCATACTCTTACAGATATAAAGTACCTACATGTATATGTAGAGAGTATATGCTGTGCGCCTTGTAGAGTAAGTGGAAAAGGAAACTGGCTTGGGTTACGCGTTTATTGTTTCTTGGGTCAACTGGATAAAGTTACCACCACTGCCACATTTTTCCACGACTTGCATAAAGGGTAGGTAGATAAATTGATTGTCCCAAGCGCTGGTGGAATGTTTATCCTAGAGTACAGACTTTAGGGCAAGCACAAAGATATGAAACTTTAGCGAGTGATCTTTTAGGCTTTGGGGGGGGGCACTGGATACCTAAAAAAAGAAGCAACCGAGTGCTAGCAGTTAAGCCACACGGGTGTGCGGTAGACTGTACAGCGAGAGGTAGAAACAGGGGTCTAAAAACAGGGTTTCTGTGGCTGGGCAAGCCAATAGGACTCCTCCCATATTTCTACAATAATTTTACCGCAAGCTGTAATGATGGTGTGTGGGGCGTCGTCGGTAAGGGCGAGGGAAGGGAAAGGCTTTCACTTGGCAGGGTTATCCTTAACCAATACGGAATGGGGCGTAGGTGGAACCAGAGATCCACAAAGATTTGTGGGTTTGACAAGCCCAGGGGTACCGGGGTCCATTCACAGGTCTGTCTTGTCTGTAGTTCTGTAACTACTCTATGTGCAGCAGAAGAAACATAGGACGGTGTATTTAACTGTATATTCACGTTGTGCCTTTTTTTCTCGCGAAGAGAGAGTTTTCTGGAAGTAAATCGCGTCATGAAGCGAAGGCGAAACCTTAACTACCGATAGGGTAGCGAAAAATTTGTCAACGGTCTTGTGGGGTTTCTTGGCAAAACCTGACTCTGCACAACGCACGTTGTGTCGCCGTTGTCTTGTCATTTCGGTGATGATTTCCTTGTTTACTGAAGTTGTTAACCTCCGGACCAGTTGACTCGGTGTCTCTGTCCCGATTAAAGCCCGCCCTACCGATGTTGTGTTGCAGGCAAAGGGCAGCAAATGAAAAAAATTCAAGGAACCGCTTGCTCAACGACAAATGAAAGGAACGACCAGCGCATCTTGACGGGGAAATGTCATATCTTGCAGAATGGATCGAATCGCTTCCTGGCTGGGAATAAAAAAGTGTGCTAGGAGCATCATAATAGGGCACATGAGGATTCGAACCCCAGATGTGGCAGCGTTGAATGTGGCTACGGGTGGTGTAGAACACAAATTCATGCAGCACAAGAACAGATGTTATGGAACGGACTTCCTTATGTTTTTTTCTGATGTCATGCGCGCACACGGGGATGCATCCGGGAACCAGGGACAATCGTGCTCTACTGCTGGAAGGGCCTCCGCCGACCGAAGAGGGTATGTAGGAAGGTAGGATTCCAAATCTGCTGGCGGGTTAATAATGTTTTTTGTCATCTGGATGAGATGATCATAAAAGCGCTCGGCGCGTGGAGTGAGATAAGAAGGCAGTAAGGTTTGAAATGGCACCCGCCCAGCGCCTCCAAATGGAAAAGGAAAGGCATTATGTTTTTAAACCTTTTCTTCCTGTTCGTTTGTGGGGGGAGAAAGAAAAAAAAAAAGATGTGGTGCGGTGGTGGCCGTTGAGTTGAACGTGAAAGTGGGCAGGCCAGAGTATTATTCGAAAGGTTTATGTGCCCAATCCAGCTCTGGTGGTTAACGTAACTGCCATGTTCCAATAACATTGCAATGCGCCTCTTCGTCATGGCCTTGCTGTAGTTATGGTAATAATACCGGCTTGATGAATCAACAGTTTGCCGGCATCAAGCCTGATCCCTCATCGCAGGTGTCTAAATAATAATAAAAACCGCAGGCCTATGACAGTCCGGGTTGTGGAGCATAAATACTCTAGATGATGGGTTTCGGAGAGGTTAATGGCTACATGTAGTATGAAGGGACGAGCGAGAAAGACATTCCCGGCCGCCTTGCCTTACCAACAACCATCTAACCCTGTAGGATAGGGCCTGTCAGGGCTCATCATGGCTGGCACACAGGGAATCCTGATTTTTGGCTACTAGTAGGAAAATAAAGACATGGATAAGTAACAAAAATACGTTGTCTTGCCTCTCATCCCCAGTACTCGGACTGTTTACTTCCACATAGTTCACGATACGCTCAATATCTCTCACTCACTCACTTGCTGCATTCACCCGTCTCCGTACCCACTTACCACATTCACTAGAAACTCTACACATTGCCTTACTTAACATCTGCTGCAATTCTAGGCGGACCTTTTGATATTATATTAAAGAATCCCTCACACCTACTCCCCCACACTTCGCAGGGAAAGACAAAAAAGGCCGAATCGGTTCATATTGAGACACCTCCGGCCAGCATTACTATCGTGCCTTCTTGTGCCTGTGTCGACGAGGATCATTAAGTGGCAGTAAGCTTGCCTTTTCCGCCGCATTCATAGGACACTGTCACGGTGTTTGCATATCCATATTCAGATGTCCCACTCCCAATCCTCATAATATACATATTACCTCCACCGCCCCCCACCTCCATCCCCTCATCTCTTCTTAAATTCGTCCCATTCTCCCATCGTTGAAGGTGTTCATACCGTTACCTCAATCATCTACAATACCTTCGTTATATTTGTTTCTGGCATATTCCACAAAATTTACTATCATACCACCCACCCACCCCGATACCTATTTATATATCATACTATACAACTTGATAGACACCATATCATTCCCTATCTGATAGACGATCCGTTTACCGACATGATGACATCTACAGTTATTAACGCTGCCCAGAACCCCCCCGCAGTTACAAATACCGCACATCCGGGCCGGCGCAACACCCGAGCTTCTGCCTCTGCCTCAAATACTACCTGCAGTTCCCGTAGAGCTTCCCGACGAAGAAGCCACGCGCAGCTTCCCACAGAAAGCTCATCCTCATCGTCATCGTCCTCACAGCAATTCTACAACTCGGCAGAGTCGATTGCTAGGCGGATACAGAGGACGCCCTCGGCCGTCGCAAAGCGACTGTTTGCTCACGCCGTTTCAACCACGTCTTCGTTTTCAAGCCGAAAGTCCCAGGAGCCTTCACAGTCCTCAGCTTCCAAAATGCGAGTTTCGAGAGCAATGGGTGGTGGAATGTCTGGCATTCCTGCCCACCGTACAAGTTCACATTCCCGGCATCTCTCGTTGCCGCAGCCAATAAGCAGCAGCAACAGCAGCACCAGGACGACGGGACATCTCTCGCCGGCATGGACAAGTAATAGCAGTAACTCGCACGACTGCGGGTCGGGGGGAATGCTGACGTCAGAAAAGCCGCAGGCTGCGACGAGTGGAGGAGCGGTTACGATGACGATCCAGCTTGCCGAACCGATGTTGTTCTTGCAGGGGTTCGACCAGAGTGATCACTCGAATAGGACGCCGGCGATGCTGCGGGGATGTCTGGTTTTGAGAGTAACGAAGCCGACGAAGATCAAGGTTATCAGTTTAACGTTCCAGGGAAAGGCAACGACCGAGTGGCCAGAAGGTAATTATCACCGAAACCCTAGATTCCGTAATAATGACGGCGGAGAGTTAGCTGACATTCTGGAAAATTCTAGGCATCCCGCCAAAGAAGTCGGAGTATCGGGAAGAGAAGGAAATTATGAAACACACATGGCCGTTCTTCAATGCTCAGTTCGCAACCGCCGAGATAGGTCATTGTGCGGATTCTTGCCGTCTCTACAAGAGCTCCAGTGATAGCACTTCGTCTCTTACCTCCGCCATTGGACACTTGGCACGCTCTGCGTCTCCCCTTGGCATTACGCCCGCCATGGCCGGATCTGCATCAGAACGCCGCCTATCACTGCAGCTCTCCCAGTCACGAAGCTTCAGCAAAGGCGAATCACCAAACAGCGTCACAGTGGCGCAACGTGGCTACCGAGTCTTCCAACCGGGCGATTACATTTACAACTTCGAGCTGCCACTGGAGAGTTGTCTACCGGAAACGATCGATGTGGATATGGGGTCTGTGAAGTATGAGTTGGAGGGGGTTATCGAGCGGCCTGGAGCTTTCCGACCAAACTTGGTAGGAAGGAAGGATGTTACGCTGATTAGATGCCCGGCGGAGTCGAGCTTGGAATGTTCGGAACCCATTGCTATCAGTCGCACGTGGGAGGACCAGCTTCATTACGACATCGTCATCTCGGGGAAGTCGTTCCCGCTAGGCTCAAAAATCCCCATCGCGTTTAAGTTGACGCCGCTTGCGAAGGTACGGTGCCATCGAATCAAGATATTCATCACTGAGAATATCGAATATTCTTGCAAGAATAAGAAGGTACATCGACTGGATCCGACGAAGAAGGTCCAGTTGTATGAGAAGAGGGCCGATGGCCCGGCATCATCGGCATTTACAGGATCGTCTGCTAGGGTGATTGCTGGTGGCGGGTTTGACCCAAGCCAAACCGCCGGGGAGGGGCAGAATATTGATTCTGGGAATGGGTCAGACAGCTTGCTTGGTGATTTGAATGGAGAGAAGAATATTGGACCCACCGAGATGGAATTTTCAATCCAGCTTCCTGGCTGCAATGCGAAGGAGAAGGACCGGATACATTTTGATACTACGTATCAAAATATCCAGGTCCATCATTGGATCAAGGTAAGATCCTATTTCACTGTCTTGGTGCCTTGTTTCCCGAACTAACATTGGCTGGATAGATCGTGATGCGTCTTAGCAAGACAGACCCCAACGATCCCACGAAGCGCCGCCACTTCGAAATTTCTATCGATTCTCCATTCCATATTCTCTCCTGCCGCGCAGCTGGAGCAAATACCGACCTTCCGGCCTATGACAGCAACAATTCTGGACAGGCTACTGGTGGCACCTGTTCCTGCCCACCCCTTAGCCGTCGCAACTCGCCCCGTGATGCAACCCCTACTGTCTCTTCATCAAGGAGCTCAAGTTCGACATTAGTTGGATCTGTAAACGACAGCCCGCCGGCTTTTGACCCTAACAGCGCATCAAGGCCAATGCATCTCATTAGAGTGCCTTCATATCAACCGCCTCCATTTGATCATGATGTTGCTCCGCCACCACTTGTCACACCTCCGCCGCAGTACGATTCTGTGGTTTCGAACGGAGGACTTGCAGATTACTTCCAAAGACTTGCAGATGAAACGGCTGGTGAGGTTTCGGATGAGGAAGACGAGAGTAGACAAGCTACGCAGAGGAGACTGTTGCCCCCTTTGACACCCGGAGGGAGAATTGCGAGGAGTATGGATGAAAGGAGAAGCTGGATGCCGATTGGCCTTCCAGGGCACTAGGGGGTAGTTTTTTCTCCATTTTTATTTTATTTTTTTAAAATCTACGGGATTGGATTTTTTTTCGTTTGGATGGGAGATGATGATTTTACGAGCTTTACTTTTGGGTTTTAGGTGTTCTTTCCTGCATTTTCCTTACTATTGCCCAGATGGGTCTGCAGTCCCTACGGACTTTTCATTTGTCTACTTGTGGTTTATATAAATCGGTTCGGTTTTTTCGGTACGGTTGGAATGGGCTTAAAAATTGGGTCACTGGCTTGGGGATGAATTTTTTTACGTTGGGGCCATGCCGACTTGGCTATGGATATTTTTTTTACTCTTGGTTGCTGCTTTCTTTTGTCATTTCTTGTTTTATTCGATTATCTGTTCATATCTATACCCACTGTTGTTTGTGTAGCTTAGGTGGGTTATTGGTTTACCAGGCGGGGAGTCTTTTCTTTTCTTACTCTTCAAAAGGCTGTATATACTCTACTTACTTGAAGTATGCATTTGGCATATCTTTGATTCCCCCCCCCATGTGCAAATCTGGTGATGTCTTTGTCACTCTGCTCGGTCATAAGCCATTACGAGGGCCGGGGCTTCCGGGTGTTGATTCCAGTTGCTCAGACCTAAGTGCCGCTATAGCCATGATCTTCTATCACTGTCTCCTGGCTATGACCGTCATATTGTACGTAGTTATCAACGGGTACAATATAATAGTTAGGCAGAACAAGATACACCCACACGAAGGATCCCCAACGCATAAACCGGCCCAGCACAAGCGAGAAGGCACAGGTACATCCGGAAATGTTGTGCCCCTCGGAATCGGGCCGGTACGGTATGCTGTGCCAATTGGCCCGCCCATCCGATGTTTTGCTTCTACATATCCACCTGCCACATAAGCACGTCTTCGTACTTGCCTTGCGTTTTTCCTTCCGAACCGGGGAGTTGGGATTTTATTTTATTTTATTACGGGTAAGCCGATCTTGTGTCTTGCCTTTTTTTATCTTCTGTGCTGCAGGAACGTCGGAATATGTCATGGCCGCCGGTTGGAATTCTGGTAGACTCGTCCCTGGTTTTTGTTTGTTTGTTTGTAAGCCCCCCCGGCCAGAGTGGAGCGCAGGGACAAAGTTAATCGGAGGTCGAGCTCTATCTGGAACGCATGTCTGATGTGCAGGGGCGATGGATCTAGATCTGAATCGAAGGATCCCCTGCGTCGGTGGTGGTGGTGTTGCTTATTTTAACTTCGCCGCAGCCCTAACCCTGTGCATTGGTGGCACAGGAGGGACGACAGACAGACAGACAGACAAACAGCTCGGAGGCGGAGGCGGAGGCGGAGGTAGGCGTGAGTTATTTGTTACTTGGGTCTCTAGGCGCCCACGGAGAAAGTCTTAGCTACCGAGATCTAGACTGAATGTAAGCAGTCGGTATATTAGCTAACCTCAACCACTGGAGCTTTTTCCGGATATGTCGATCGATTGGAAGCTTCTATCATGTGGGTACGTTGTCCTAGGGTGAAGTCGATGAATAAAGTATAAACCCTTCACGCGTACGGCTGAGGGTCTTGCACAACCCCCAAGCCACAGAGTTCTAGATATAACTATAACTAAAGAAGCATACATAAATTAGGGCCATCTAAGTTAGCTAACCACAACCACAACCACAAGAAGACCCAAAGCATCATCCACCACAAACCCCGAGCTTTAGATGGCCTATCAAGCTTCTAGACCTGATGCAGGACAAAGGTCAATTATTAATAAAGCCGAAATATCTCAAATTCGCTACCCGGCTTTAGTTAGAGAGGATTCATGGCCGATGCTAAATCATTCGTTATCGATGAGTGTACTATGCACGGGATGTGGACGAGTCGACATTTTGCATCATGGGTAAATGTCTCAATACCCGCTGCCTATTCAGCCGAAAACTTAGCCTCTAGGGGAAGAAAATGCAAGACAGCTTCGCAAACATGCCGCATTGATGTGATTTAGTAGTCGTGAAGTACGTCCGCGGACTAATCACTTAGTGGTTAGTATGTTAATTCATAAGCCATCACTCGGCTTGGCGGCAGGTATATATGTCGTTTACTATTTTCTTTTTTCCTTTTTGTTTAACTCACTAATTGCATGCAACCCTACGGTTATGGAAATATGTCGTTTACTATAGTAGGTTGATCCATCCATAAGAAACTTTGGTCTGCTCCCTATGTTCTGTATTCAAATTTCAGACTTCAGGAAGGTTTGAGATACTTCAACTGGCGCCTGGGGAGTAGAAACCAGCCAGCATTCACTCCACTTCTCCCTCGCAGCCACTGGTAACGCATCTTCCTTCACAGCCGGACGCCTAGCGAGGATTGGGTGCTGAGTCCCAATGACCGTAGCGGCGGGTTGAAGAGGTCGACACTTATATCCGCCTCTTCAATCTCTGCGAATTAAAAGGGTTAGCGTTATTTCAATGGGTTGTGTGGTAGGTGATCATTGACATAGCACAGGTATAATCGATGCTTGGGAAGTGCGGTATAGAAAGCTGCGTCTGTTGAATTTATTTTGCATCTAGATCGAGGGAATACTACCCCTACCACAGTACATACTGTTTTTGGATAGTTTGTAGTTTCGCCTAGCCCCTTTCTCTCGCTCTAGCTCTAGGTCTACGTCCCTTGATATTAAGCTCTTTACCAGGGCGCTGTATCTTTAGCCTTCTTTATGCCTCTTTTTCGCATGCCAAAGAGTGTCTCAAAAAGGGCTTGTATTCTCTAGCTAAATGGATGAAGAAGAAAGTGTACACTGGTACAAAGAAAGTGTGTCCTTTATATACGAGTATTTTCAGCAACTATATATACGTTCAATAGTCGTTCAGTAGTGCTCTTATCCCATTCTAACCTTTAATTTTGAGTGAAGAGATTGATGTAGAAGAGCCTGGGATGGCTATGATATGGCAAGGAGAGTTGAGGAGGAGGAGGAGGGGGTATATATTTGAACACCCACTACTCATATAGAATCTTCCAGATCCACGGGCGATCTCCACAACTGAACTTGAGGGGAAAGGATGGTATCAAAGGTGTATGAATGGACCGGAGAAGATTGCCTCCGACTGATCTCTTAGATACAGACAGAGGTTATTTGCACCGGAAATGGAATCGTTCTATCCACTCACGCCCAGAGAGACCTGATCCAAAACCCACGATTCTGTCAAATAAAAGTCGATAAATGGGTTCCGATACGAGAATTGATGTCTGATAGCGGGTATGATTTGCTGTTAATTGTATACCATTCAATGAAGCTGCATACACTTCGAAGCCGCCCTCCGTCCCACTTTGAAGTCCCCGCGTACTTAAGAATACTGTTTTTTTTTGTGCATGATATCGAATCTGCTCATTAACCGAGTGAGTACATGTATATATGTAATCCAGGACCAAGCGAGGGTGATCATGAGTGTTGATAAGTCCGTACTGATGTCGAGATATGGCTAATTCCGAGCCTAGGAGGGTGATATATAATTTCAGAGTATAAATACCCTTTCTTAATATGCAAGTCTCGAATGAAGTTTTATAGAGGGTGAAAGCTAGAAGGGTACTCTAGCTTCAACTTTTTTTTCCACATGTCCCACTATTCATAAAACTACCAGCTAGCAGCCCATCTTTTTGGTGTTGTAACAAGAGTATCTTTCCAGCTGTCACCCGCCATATCACCTCCAAGATGTGTCCAATGAAATCGGGTACAAAGGCCAAATATGTTTTCCCGTCCCAAGCGCATCAGCAGCTTCGGTGGTGTGGTGTAGTAATGACATTAATCATTCTTTGTATTAATTATACTCCCGCCGCGTCAAGGTGCTGGCCTTAGATGTCGGTTGGGGGATTCCACACCTGAGGCTAACATCTCTATAAGGTGAAACCCTGCACTGGCTGCTTAGAGAGGATGGTACGCCGCCATAGCTGTAAGGCTGCATGCTAGTATGAGTTAAAAAAAAAATTGCGCCGCGTTAATCAAGCTATCGGAGGTTGGAGGCTTTATTTTGTTTCTTTTTTGAGAGAGAGAGAGAGAAGTTGGAAGAATTAGCGTAGGAGAGGGTGCCTGTTATGTTGGTGGAGGCTAAGTTTAATGGAGGACGTTGAGAACCCCCCCCCCCCCCTTTCCCCCTGTAGCTAGCAGCCTCTTCATGAATAATCCGGCCGGACGACCTATCACCGCCCACCATCTTGGATATGAGGATATGTGATACCGCCTAACAGGGCTTAGGTTTGGACATCAAAGTGTAAGGACCGAGCTGCACCAGTGTCATGCACTAGCATGAGCAACTAATGTCGCGCGAGGCTGGAGCCATATACAGACTTATATAAGGACTTATGCATTTACTACCGCAGACGACGTCGACGCGCTCTTTATATACATGTATCTAGCAGCCTGTTACATGACGTCACTATATGTTCTCCTAGGCCCAAGGGCACTTTTCGAGAGCTCCGTCTCAACGCCCTGTCCAAACGCAGCCGCTTTTGGAAAGACGGAGCTAGTTTCGAAGAAAGTGCCATGCAAATATGATAACTCTGGTTCAACTAGGCTTGTAGCCAAGCGGTAATTCATGAGTTATCAATCGGTCAATTGTAGCCAAGCGGCACTAGCGCAGAAAACAGCCGAGTGATCGCTTGTGATGTATTTGTAGCCGATACGGTCAGTGGGTATAGTAGCAAATTATTTTGATTGGTTTTGAATTTTTTTTGGCTATAATAGTACATGTAGACGTTCCTCTATCAAAACTTCGCCATGAGAGTTACACATAGCCGTATGGGCTAATACCCCAAAAGAAACCCATCTCCTAATAATTAACACCCCTCAAAACACCCCCTCTAACCACCCCCCCCCCCCCCACTTCCCCAATCCCCACCTCGTGATCCTAAACTTATATACCGGACCAGTTATCTCCCCGGACGGGAACGACGACGTAACAATTACCAAACGCACAGCCAGCATGACTAGGCAATGACCAATTCAGTCACACGCGGAAATCGATACGCAGTAGAGACATACCTATATAAAGTCAACTAATCTCTCTCCCTGGCAATACATTCTATTGCCACCACTGCCATGGATTACACTCCTTTTATACACTTCACCACCGCCACCACCACCACGCCCCTTTGACACGATAATTACAGAAATATTTGCTAACGTTTAACTTTTAATTATGACTAACAGCAAAGCTTCACAGGAGCTGCAGCAAGAGCGGCGGCGACAAGAGCAGGAGCAGCAGGAGGAGCAGCAGAAATCGTCAAAGGAGGATAGAAAGAAAGATCCAAAGAAGGTCCCAAAGAAGGACCCGAAGAAGGAGCAAAACCAAGAACCAAACCACGAGCCAAACGGAGGACCAAGCACAGAGCCAAACGAAGAGCAAAAAATGAAGAACAAGATCAAAAAGAAGCCCAAAAGCATAACCATCGTCGAGTATGAAATCAGCTGCGATGTAAGACATCACTAGATTATCTCATAATTACTCCATACGTACAAAAGTCATAGATAGAAAGACTAACACCGCGCCGCCACCGCCATACAGGAAATGGGAATTACCATCCCCCGGAAGCCCTACCTTCCCCGTCTAACATACGGAGCCGTCATGGACGTAAGTCTCCAGCTAGAACCCTTGATGCCTATACATTATAACTATACAAGATTGACCACCCAGCTCCATAGAGAACACACATGTACCCCAACTACATCGACCAAGCACACCTCGTCAGCAACTGCGACCCAGAGCCTTGGGACCTTGTCCAGAAGCTCTCATTTATGGTGTCTTCCCTCATCTACTCACTCGATCGGCCCCCCCCCCCCCCCTCCTCCGGTTTGTTTTATTAACAATTTGTTGCTACATACAGGACCTAGGCATAAACTGCATCCGCGAGCTGAGCCAGGCCGCAGCGAGGCTCCAGCGCACGGGCGAGGAGGACGGCATCTATGTCGAGATCGACCCTGACGAGTGGGTCGAGCTCGACACCGCCGGGAACGACGTGGAGCGGGAAGACGAGGCCGATCCGGACGAGGAGGAGTATGTCCTCTTGTAGGGAGTGTACGAATGTCTCACGAAGAGGGGGAGTCTGCCTCTTTTAGGAGGGAGGAGAAAGGCAGGGATGCGTCCCCGATTATCCTACCACTCGATCGAGGTAGTATGGCTACCACACCGGCCCGACAACCGGTTTAGAGTTTCCACTGCAGCTGCGCTAGCCGTCTGGAGGCTTGCAACTGGAGGGCCACAAGCTAGAAGGATGCGAAATGACGGATATCGGTCACCATAAGGCGGCCGGCAGAGGAATAAGAGGGCCGGATCGGAGCGGAGCGGATGATTTAGTGTTATTTGTGTTTGGGGGGGGGTCATGTTTTTTTCTTCTTTTTTTCTTTTCCTCTCTTTTGCTTATACCTTTCTTTTTATTTTTTATTTTTACATAGCCCATGGCGCACACAACGACACCGGATTAAGAGGAAGAAGTAAAACTGCCTCTCCAGGTTTCTATCTCTGTCCGAAAACGTATCGAGTGATATTCCATGATCACAATCGAAGTGAAGACGCAAAATTAGCGACCAGTCGGTTAATGACGGGCCTACCTACATACCTGCCTGATCGGTTGGTCATGTGCACATGTGGATGATTTTCCGAAACAGTGCAACAGGTAGGTAGGTATTGTAGTGGAGAACCAGGCACACGCAGGCCAGTTTTAACCACGCTGGTCAGGTCGGCCCCATCAAAGAGAACCCACCACCATCTCCGATCTCCGACATAAGTTCCCCCCCTGCCTCGACATAAACCCACTCCCCCGCCCACCCCGGCCGGGATGCGGCTTCTAGCCCGCTTGGCAAGCGAGTGATATCTCATGAAGACTCGCCAAGCCGCCGCCGCCGCTGCCGCAACCACCCCGCCGCAACAAACCGCAGAGGACCGGTTTGATAACAACTTGACATACCCCCCTGCTGGTCCGCTAGTGCCCCACCCCCCCCCCCCCCCCTCGGGAATCTACCTAGCTGGAGGCAGGGCGGGTAAAGTTTAATATACCAGTAAGGCACACCCCAAAGATTTTTTAACACTGGACTAATAAGTAGGTACAGGAGGAACGGACTCTTCGTTCCGCTGGGTGCATGCAGGAAGCTACCTAGCCTAGGAAGCGGTGTAGATATAATTTCCATTGCCTTTTAGATCTGCTTGCGACCCACTAGTACCAGCTGGCCAGCCCGACTACATGGCATGGTAGGGGTCGTTACCTACCTCTACCTACTACACATTTTTTCCGAGTGATAGTCCGTGACCGACCGACCAACCAACCCACCAACTACACAAAAAGAACGTGGAAGTAAAAAACAGAGAAGAAAAAAGAAGTTGTACGCCGCCGTTCCCCCCCCCCCCCCCAAATCCATCCCAGACATAATAATAAAAAAAACGGCCATAAAAAAGGAGGAGTAAAAAAGAAAAGAAAGAAAAAGAGGTCTATAAGCTGGCTGGCTATGCGACGTAGACATAGACGTTATCCTCCACGCGCTCCATGTACTCTTTATCAATCAACCTACACACACTCATTAGCCCCCCATCCCCACACCTCCCTCCTCCCCCCTTCCTCTACCAGAAAAACGATGCACATACCTCTCGATATTCCTCTTGATATCCGCCACCTCCAACACGCCCCTATTCCTCGTCTGCTCAATCACCAGCCCCACCAGCTCCGCATGCCTCACCTTCTTGCGCCCCTTCATGATCCTTATCACCGCCGCCTGCGTCTCATACTGCCGGTCCCTCGCCACGCCCTCATGCGTCTCGCGGTTCTCCTCCTTCGTCTCCTTCAGCTGTATCTGGTTAATCTTGACCCGAAACTTCCCCTCACTAAACGCCGTATTCACCACAAACCGATCGCCCACGCCCACATCTCTGCCACGGGGGCTCTTGGCCAGCACGCGGTGCTTTGCGCACGCCAGGCTCTGCAGCGTCCGCGCCAGCTGGTCCGCGGGGAGACTCGTCGCGGCGAGCAGGTCGGCGAAGGAGAGTGGCGTGCCGGCGGGGACGTCGTTGAAGAGTAGTAGCACGACGGCCTGGAAGGCGGAGAGAACGAGCTCTTTGTTGCCCTTTGGGAACGACGCGCGGAGAACGCAGTGGGAGAGGTTGTGGCGCCACACGAGCTTGCGCCCGCTGTGCTTGCTGACGTAGAAGGCCTCGAAGGCCTCTGTGTGTGCTGCGATGTCGCGCGGGATGGCGATTGGCACCTCGGGGTACGACGGCCACGCCGCTTGGCTGAGTATGTTGACGTACAGGTCCACATCGCTCCCGCTGCTGGCGCCGCTGCTGCCGGTGCGGGACTTGAAGGATGCGACGGCCTCGCGCGAGAGGTCCACGTCTTTAAACATGCCCTCGAGGTTATGCGTGAACCCCGCGCCGCACTCCGTCTTCAGCTTCGTGATCATCATCCGCTCCGCATCCGCGCTCGCGCTCCGCCCCATCAGCAGCCGCCGCGCAAGGTCCTTCTTGTAGAACGCCTCAAACACATCTTTCCCCTGGATGAACCTAAACAAGTCCAGCACCCACTCCAGCATGAACGCCAGCTGCGCATCGTCATCGCCGGCCCTCGCCGCCAGCGCACACATCTCCTGCGACGTCGTCGCCGGCAGCCCCTTCGTCCCCGTGCGCAGCAGCAGGTCGACAAACTTGGCGATCATCTCCGCGGGCTTACTGTTTGCCGCGGCCGAGGCGCCGGGTCGGCGGGCGTTGATGAACTTGGCGAACGACTCGCGCAGCGCGTAGCTGAGCGTCTCGCACTTGTGGAACGACTGCGACAGAATCTGGTCGAGCGCGTGCTTGAACTGCAGCAGGCGCGGGACCATCTCCTCTGTGCGCTCGTCGTCCTGGACGATGCCCGTGCCGGTGGCGGTGATGTGGGCCTCCCACGCGGGGCGGAGGGCGTCGCCGGCGGACCCCACGCGCGTGAGCAGCGTGTACAGGAGGGCGAGGGGGTGCTGGTCGCGGGCGGCCAGCAGCGCGCCGACGGACGCGGTGTCGGTCAGCGTGGTGAGGCGCTTGCGCACCATTTCGTCCTCGATGACGGCGATGAGGTCGCGCTTGGTCGACTGCTCGAGGGTGAAGCGGTCGCAGCGGGCTGTCTCGTGCTCGAGCTGTGTGGACGTGGTGCGCAGATAGCTGCTGAGGGGCTGGCTGGACGACTCGGCGGCGGCGAGCTGGGAGAAGTAGGTGCGTGAGAAGGTGATGAATTGGGGCTCGAAGGCGTGGTTGTACATGCCCAGGTTGGAGACCATGCGGATGCAGGAGAGGAGGAGAGGGATGTTGTGGGACTGGGCGGGGGTGGCGCCATCGCTGTCGGTGCGGCGGTCGGTGTCGATGAGGGTGAAGATGCCGCGGAGGAAGAGTGGCTCGAGGGTGGCGTCTGTGGCAATGTGTTTGCGGAAGATGTCGAGGCCGATGGCCTCGATGGGCTTCTCCTTGATCGAGGGGAGCAGGTACGACCGGTCCAGGTACAGGAATATCGACCGAATCATGCCCTGTGAAGCAGCACGCACGTTAGCAAGCAAAACCTCCCCCAGCATCAATTACCCACTGCCCCCCCCCCATACACACCCAAAATGAGAGAAAAAACTCACCAACTGCTCATTCCACTTTCTCCACGCCCTCTCCACCTCCCTCACCACCTCCCCCCCATCGACGCCCACCTCCACCTCCGCCTTCAGCTTCCCACCCACATACGCATCCATGCGCCTCCTCAGCCGCTCCGCCAGCTGCTGGCCCCTCTCTGCGCGGCAGATGTTCTCAACGCCGCGATAGAGCTCCTCCAGGCTCGCGGCGATCTTGACGCCGGCAAAGATTGCGCCCAGCGCGGCGTCGAGCGCCCCCCACGTCGCGGTGAAGTAGGCGTCCGGGTCGCCGCGGGTCGGCTTGCGCAGATTCTTGATCTGCAGCTTGCGTGCGCCGGCGTGCGGCTGGAACGGCGGCGGGCGCGGGCGCACCGCCGCCGGCGTGGGTGTGGTGGACGGCGGGGGGGGGCTGGCGGTCAGGTCGACGATTGTGGGTGTGGTGGTGGGGAAGTTGAGCATTGTGGCTTGGGTGATGGTGGGGGTTGCGGCGGGGGGTGTGCTGGGCTTGGAGCGGGGGCGTTTGGGGGTGGGGTGGATGTCGGTTTTGAAGAGGGTGGGGATGGTGGGTTGTGGGAAAGAGGGGGTGGAAGGGGTGGCGCTGGTGGTGGTGGGCGGCGATTGTTTTCGCTTCTTGCTGGGTGGCGGGGCGGCGTCGCGGACGGTGGTGGGTGCCTTTTCGGGCATGCGGGGGGATTGGCGGAGGTGAGTGGGTGTGAGGTGCGAGGTGGGCGATGAGTGAACTGTGGTGGTGTAGATGTAGGTAGATGTAGATAGTGGGTGTGTATGTGATGATGATTGTGGTGGTGTGTGGTGGTGATTGTGGGGAGGGAGAGAGAGAGGGGACGGGGGATGTGTGCGTATTATTAACACTCCTCCAGGCAGGTCTGCGTTGGATTCAACCAGCGGAGTTAAGGAGTTATCTCACTCCACACACACACACACGCTCACGTGCATACAGCACTGTAGCTCAACAATACATGTACATGTAGTTACATGAATGTAGGTACATAGGTAGCTATTCACGTCGAGCGAGAGCTGCGGGAATCGGGAAAAGGCCATCACCATCGGCTGGCTGGGTGGCTGCCGGGCTCATTCACTCGCCCTCACTCCCTCTCAATAAGAATATTCTCCTCATATTCCCTCTGCCAGTACTTGAGAGTAGCACAAAGCCCCCCGCCAAGCCTCGCTCTCGCTCCCGGTCACTGGGCTCTCACTCGAGCCTCATGTAGCTCTCCCAATCCACAATCCACAATCTACAACCACCACAAAACACTCTCTCTACGCCTCCCACCAAAGCAGAAAAAACACACAAAAGACGAGAAGGAAAGAAAGAAAGCACGCGACACCACAATGTCAGACCTCCGTAACTGGGTATCCGACAACATCATCAAAGTCAGTACTCCCTCTGCTCCCATTCTTTCCCCTCCCCCTTCAATTCCCTCCATTCCCCTCCCCTTCAATTCCCTCCATTCCCCTCCACCCCAATGGCAAACACCCCCCCCCCCAATGGCAGACACCCCACTAACCCACCCCACCCCACCCCCAGTTCTCCGGCGCTGCAGACCCCACAATCGTCGACTTCATCATCGCCTCCGCCACCACCGCAAAGTCGCCCACAGCCCTCAACGACACGCTCACGCCCTTCCTCGACGGCGCCAGCGCCACCGACACCCGCCGCTTCACCTCCGACCTCTTCCAGCGCGTCGCCCGCAAGCCCTCCTCCTCCTCCTCCTCCTCCTCCTCCTCCGCCAGCAAACGCCCGCCGCAAGAGAAGAAAAAAAAGTATGCGCTGCTGGCCATGGAGGACGACGACGCCGACGCGGCGATGATGCCGCCGCCGCTGCCGACAACGTCAACGTCAACAAGGGAAAAGAGCAGCAAGGAGAAGCGCCGGGAGAGCAGGAAGGAGGAGCGTCGTGAGCGGGAGTCGTCGAGCCGTGATAAGGACCGGGAGCGGGACAGGGACAGAGAAAGAGGCCACCGGGACGACAAAGACAAGGACAAGGACCGCCGCACAAAGCGCATCCGCCGCAAAGACACCGCCGACGCCGACGACCGCTGGGGCGACGAGGAGCTCTCCGACGCCGACTACCCCCCCGACGACGACGACGCCGCCCACACGCCCACCGACCAACCCCCCAGCAAGCGTGCCCGCGTCGACAACGAAGACGACGCCGAGGCGCTCGACGACGAGGAGCTCGCCGAGCTCAACCGCCTCCGCGACATCCAGGAGCGCGACGAGTTCGCCAAGCGCCTCAAAGACAAAGACGACCAAAAGACAAAGAAGCTCGTCGAAGACCGCTCCTCCACCAAAGACGGCAAGCTGCTCGCGCAGCGGCGCGCCCTCGCCGACGACGCCACGGCCCGCAGCGCCGCCCTCCCCGACCTGCGAGAGCGCTCGCGCCAGGAGTATCTCAAGAAGCGGGAGCTGGAGCGGCTGGCGCTGCTGCGCAAGGAGGTGGCCGAGGAGCAGCAGGAGCTGCGCACGAACCCCGATCTGACGCGGCGCGAGAAGGAGGAGTTTGCAAAGAACAAGGAGATCCTGCGGCTTGCGGAGGAGCGGCTGCGCGTGGATGATCATCTGGATGGGTACATGCTGCCCGAGGACTACATCACGGAGAAGGGCAAGATCGACGTCAAGAAGAAGGAGAAGGCGCTGTATGAGCGGTACGTGGAGCGCGGCGAGGACGGGCAGGAGCGCTTCGTGACGGAGCAGGAGGAGTGGGAGCAGCACCAGGCGGAGAAGGCGCGCGCCCAGGTGCGCCGCAGCGAGCGCGTGGATGAGGGAGAGTATGAGTATGTGTTTGACGACTCGCAGCAGCTGCGGTTCGTGCTGGAGAACACGGACGTCGACAGCAACTCAATCTTCACGAGCAAGGAGCAGCAGCAGATGGAGCAGCAGCTCAAGGCGGCCGAGAACAAGGCCAAGAGCATCGACGAGACACGGAAATCACTGCCCATCTACGAGTGGCGCCAGCGCTTCCTCGACGCCGTCGAGCAGTACCAGGTGCTCATCATCGTCGGCGAGACAGGCTCCGGAAAGACCACCCAGCTGCCCCAATACCTCCACGAGGCCGGCTACACAAAGGGCGGGCTCAAGGTGGGCTGCACGCAGCCCCGCCGAGTCGCCGCCATGTCCGTGGCGGCGCGTGTGGCCGAGGAGATGGGCGTCAAGGTCGGCAACGAGGTCGGATACTCGATCCGGTTCGAGGACTCGACGTCCGACAAGACGGTGCTCAAGTACATGACGGACGGTATGCTCCTCCGCGAGTTTCTCACCGAGCCCGACCTGGGCGGATACTCTGCGCTGATGATTGACGAGGCGCACGAGCGCACGCTGTCCACCGACATCCTGTTCGGGCTCGTCAAGGACATTGCACGCTTCCGGCCCGAGCTCAAGCTGCTCATCTCGTCGGCCACGATGGACGCGCAAAAGTTCTCAAAGTACTTTGACGACGCGCCCATCTTCAACATCCCCGGGCGGCGGTACCCGGTCGACGTGCACTACACGCAGCAGCCCGAGGCAAACTACCTCAACGCGGCCATCACCACAATCTTCCAGATCCACACCACCACGCCGCCGCAGGGCGACATCCTCGTCTTCCTCACGGGCCAGGACGAGATTGACGCCGCCGAGCAGAACCTCCAGGAGACGTGCAGGAAGCTCGGGAACAAGATCCGCGAGATGATCATCTGCCCGATATACGCCAACCTGCCCTCGGAGCTGCAGGCAAAGATCTTTGAGCCCACCCCCGCCGGCGCGCGGAAGGTCGTCCTCGCAACAAACATCGCAGAGACATCGCTCACCATCGACGGCATCGTCTACGTCATCGACCCGGGCTTCGTCAAGGAGAACGTCTACAACCCGCGCACGGGAATGGAGTCCCTCGTCGTCACGCCCTGCTCCCGCGCCGCCGCAAAGCAGCGAATGGGCCGTGCGGGCCGTGTCGGCCCCGGAAAGTGCTTCCGGCTGTACACAAAGTGGGCCTACCAGAACGAGCTGGACGAAAACACGACGCCCGAGATCCAGCGCACGAACCTCAACAGCGTGGTCCTCCTCCTCAAGTCGCTGGGCATCAACGACCTGATCGAGTTTGACTTTATGGACCCGCCGCCGGCCGAGACGCTGATCCGCGCGCTGGAGAACCTGTACGCGCTCGGCGCGCTCAACGACAAGGGCGAGCTGACCAAGGTCGGGCGGCAGATGGCCGAGTTCCCCACGGACCCCATGCTCGCAAAGTCCATCCTCGCGGCCGCGACCTACGGCTGCGTCGACGAGGTGCTCTCCGTCATCGCCATGCTCGGCGAGTCCTCGTCGCTCTTTTACCGCCCAAAGGATAAGAAGTTCCATGCGGACCAGGCGCGCGCGCGCTTCACGAGCAAGGACGGCGGCGACCATGTCACGCTGCTCAACATCTGGAACCAGTGGGTCGATACCAACTTCTCGTACGTGTGGGCGCGGGAGAACTTTCTGCAGTTCCGGTCGCTGGGCCGGGCGCGGGATGTGCGCGATCAGCTGCATCGGCTGTGTGAGCGGGTGGAGGTGGAGGTGGTGGGGTGTGGGGGGGCGTGGCGAATGTGGTGCCGGTGCTGAAGGCGATTACGGCGGGGTTCTTTCCCAACGCGGCGAGGCTGCAGAGGGGGGGCGATACGTATCGGACGGTGAAGAATGGGCAGACGGTGCATGTGCATCCGAGTAGTTGTCTGTTTGAGGTCAACCCGAAGTGGCTGGTTTATTATGAGTTGGTGTTGACGAGTGAGTTTTTTTTTCTCCTTTTTCTTCTTCTTTTGGTGGTTGTGGGGGGGGGGGGGGGGGGGGTTGGTTATGCTAATGCAGTGGGTGGATAGGTAAGGAGTTTATGCGCAACGTGATGCCGCTGCAGCCCGAATGGCTCGTTGAGGTTGCGCCGCACTATCATAAGAAGAAGGACCTGGAGACGCTGGGCACAAACAAGAAGATGCCCAAGGGGCAGGGCGCGCCGGCCGAGAAATAGCCGGTTTGGAAGGGGTTTGGGGGGGGGGGGGGGGAGCAGGGGAGGTGAGCAGGGGAGTCGAGGAGGGACTTAGGGCTGTTGTTGTATGACGAGTGATGGGTTATGACCTGTAAAGTAAAAACCAAAAAGGAAATGTAGAACTAATAATTATGGCTTGTAACTGATAGAAAGAAAAGGATCAAGATAGAGGGGGAAGTAATAATGAGAGAGCGTGGTCTGTGGTCTGTGATCTGTGGTGGGTTGGTCTGGATATATATAGAGGGACCGATCGAACGTGTTGTAAATCGCCTGTCAACTCAACCCTGGCTGGGGCTACAGGAACCACACTCCGCAGGACTACAGGACTACATGTAGGTCGGCCAGTATTCATTATAGCGAGGGTATGTAAATTGGAGCCAAAAGCTCCCTTAAACCCACCCATCCCATCCCCGGGAGAACTATGTAGAGTCACAAACTATCACTCGATGACCATAAACCTCCTGTTTTTTTTTTAGTTAGAGTTAACTTCCGGTACATTGTGCTTGAACAATATACAGCCACATCACTCCCACCCCCGGAGTTGGACCTGTGGTATATTGGTAGCCGTGGGTGGCTTGGCTTGCGCGGTGTAGCAAGACGGGGGGGGGGTCTAACCCCGAGATCATTCGCTTACATAATTGACAGAGGGCTGGAAGTAATACTTCACGGGGCGGGGTGGGTAGAGGGTGAGAGGGGCGAGAGGGGCGAGAGGAGGTGGGTGGGGACAACCTAACCCTGACAATATGGCAATCTACCACGACGTACTAAGGTACAGCATGGCCCACCGCTAGCTGGCCACCCCTCCCGCCCCCTCGCAAAAAAAGCCAGTAGAGCCTTAACCCAACTGTCCACGAGAACAACAAAAACACTACAGACCCCCGCCGGAAGGCCAGAACCCACTACCCCCACCACCGCCCCCACCACCACCCCCGGGGATTGAACTTGAACCCATAGGGAGCCGGCCATCTCGGGCGTTCCGTGTGTTTCCCGGCTAGCTGGGCCATTTTGATATAGAATTATTATTTTATCCCCGCGAGGGTATATGTATATACATGTAGTGAGTGAAGGAGAGACCATCTTTTTCAGTGCCCCCGGTGGATGGATGGATACATGTAGATAGGCCCTGCATCACAGCCCATCACTCGGTGCTGTAACACAACGGCACAAACAACGTCCGGCGCGCAAACTACAGTGGGCCAGGTGATAGTATACTAATATATAGTGAGTGCCCCCCCCTCCACAAACACAGACAAAGCGCACCCACCCCCATCTCCTCTCCTTTCTGCCCATCTACCTCCCATCTACCTCCCATCTACTCTCCTTCTTATCAATTCTCCACCACCTCCTCCTCCATCCTACCAGCACTCACCACTACGATCTCCATCCTACCAGCACCCACCACCACAACCACCACCAGCACAATGTCGACCCCCCCACCCGGCCGCAAAATAGTAGCCCCAAAATCCAAACTCAACAACCCCAAAGCACTCCCAACCTTCACCGGCGCGCCAGGCCCACCCGGATCCACCACGCAGTTCACCTTCAACAGCCCCGGGTCGAGTCCGCCAGTGGCAGCACTGAAGAGCTATGGGGGGGCGAATGGTAGGCCCGTTCCTTGTTGTTGTTGAGGTTATGCATGATGTGTGGGGAGTTTCTTTGTTCTAACACTGATTACGGCCACGGCGCATGCAGTGACGGCAACCCCAGCTATTAGCGGCGGCCTCTTTGGAACACGAAAGATAAGCACCGCTGCCGCTGCCGCTTCCGGAAGTATGTTTGCGACTGCTTTCGGCGCGGACGCGGTCACCACCGGGCGATCTAGAGCTACAGCCCCGCCGCTATTTGGCGGGCCTAGTACGCCGCCGGTATTTGGGGGCGGACCGACGCCGGCGTCGTCGAGTCCACTCAGCTCGCCGTTCTCCGATGCCCCAAAGACAAGCATATTTGGGGGAGCTGCAGCGAATCTGTTTAATGCGCCGAAACCTGCTTCTGCAGCGCCGTTTGTGAACCCGTTTGCGACGGCGTCGTCCGCGCCGCCGGTATATAATCCGTCTTTTTCGCCGTTGTATCCTACTACTGCGCAGGTGCCGGGGCTGACGATGGGACTGTTTGATAAGCCTCCTCCTGCGAGTCTGTTTGGCGCACCGGCTTCGGGGGTGACGGAGGGGTATAATCCGTTTGTTGCGCCGACAGCTACGCCGCCGGTGTATAACCCGTTCGCCGCACCTTCTACCACCGCCGCTGCGGTGCCAGTGCCTACTGTGGGGCACTTTAATACGCCGTCGCCTTCTGCTACATATAATCCGTCTGCTGCGCCTAGCATCACCACTACTAATGCTCCTTCTACATACAATCCATTTATTGCGCCTACAATCACCACTGCTACTCCTGTTACTCCTGCTACAGTCAAAGAACCTACAGATATCTCTGCACTAATACGGCGAATAAAACAACATATCCCATCCACCAATCAGTCCGCACCTTCCAAAAACCCCTTCAACCCACCCACTACAAATCCCTTCAACCCGCCGGCCGCAAACCCCTTCAACCCACCTTCTACAAACCTCTTCAACCCGCCGGCCGTAAACCTCTTCAACCCACCCGCCAAAAACCCCTTCAACACACCCTCCACTCCGCCCCCTCTTCCTACACACAAACCATTCATTGCACCAGTACCACCTAACACTGCCACTACGACTCCCGGTATTATGGACCCGGACTTTGCAAAGCTAGCCGCCATCATGCGCGAGATCGAACGTCCACTCCCGCCAGCTCAGCTCGCTCAGCCCGCACCTTCCGCATTTCTGTCACAGACTACGATCACCGATACAACTACACCAACAGGCCTACCTCAAGGCCATGGGAGCGTCAATGCCGCTGCCACCACTTCTACCACACCCGCGGGGTGGCCACCGGTCTTTGGGGCCACTAATTCAGCTTCAACGGGTTCTGGTGGGAGTACTCTTTTTGGGCAGGCGCAGAACACTGCACCTGCGTCTTCGGCGGGTTATGGTAGCAGCAGCTCACTTTTTGGGCAGACTGTTCCTACACCTACACCTCCCGCCCCTGCCCCTGCGGGAGGGGTGTTCTCGAGTGTATTACCTACAGCAGCTGCTACGACGGGGTTTTCGTTTGAAAAAGCCCCGGCCCTGCCTCAGGCTGATGTCCTGGCTTACCCCACAGATACTAGAGCGCCTTCTGACCCTGCAAGCTTGTTTCAGACGGCCCCGACGAAATCCACTGCCGCACCTGCAACTTCTGCACCTGCAACTTCCGCACCCCCACTCTCCCCCGCCGTCCCACCCGTCCCACCATTCCCTCGCTCCACAACTTCCAACCCGCCCACAAACCCGCTCACCCCCATCACCAGCACTTTCCCCCCCTTTCCCCCCCTCCCAACGTACCTAACCCCCACCACCTCCCTCTCAGACGCAACCACAGACTGGACCGCCACCCTCGAAGCCCACATAGAGACGTTCCTGTCTCACGGCGCCCTTCTCCGGAACTGCGACACCACCCTCCTCGCCGCCTGCGACGCCATCAACGACCTCACGCTCGCCACCTCCTCCGCCGAGGCGCAGTCCGCCACACACGACCGAGCGCTCGACCGCCACGCGGCCGACCAGAAACGTATGGAGGAGATACTAGACTGGTACGAGGCGTTCATCAACGCACAGGAACGGGCGCCGGCGCCAGTAGATGCAGAGCGGGAGGTGATGCTAGGTCGACTGCTGGGCGCCAGCGAGAGGGTGGACGAGATGGTCAGGGGTGCGGAGGAGATGGTGGGCGTGCTGAATGAGGCCGGGGAGAAGATGCGGGGGGTGGGGGGTCCGGTGAGTTTTTCTTTTGCTGTTTCTTTGTGGTTTAGGGAGAGAATGGAGTGGCTGATGTGGTGTGGGGGGTAGTTGACGGCGGTTGTGACGATCCTGAACGACCATTTGGCGACGCTGGTGTGGGTGGATGGGCAGACGGCTATGCTTGTGAGTGACTCCAGCTTTCCTATCTATGCATATGCCCTCCCCTAACTAACATCTCCAGAATGAAAAAGTCGCCGAAGCAAAAGAGGCCGCCGCCCGTAGCATACCCGACGCCGAGGGGGACGCGCAGTTTAGCTCCGCCGCCCGGGTACCATGGGCCGAGTGATATCTCGTGATGATAGGTGCTCCCGGCGGTCACGCATGTGTGATGGTGGTGGTTGTGGCATGGGTGTGCTCTAAATAGACAGATAGATAGATAGATAGATAAGGGTGTAAATCTCAAGTCTTATTTACCAACCTGTCTGGGGTGTACTTACGCTGCTCTATTCTGTTGTCGCCGTCGTGTAGTGAGATATCGAAACCTCTGTACTTCCTAGCTAGTCATTCTCGTGCTTAGAGACACAAGAGTTTCCCACTGTTGCCAGGTTTTCAGGCTGTTCGGGTTCGTGATCCCGCTATCATGGGCTATGCTCTGATACGGATGCGAGTATGGAGGAGTGATGATTGGATTGCTATGGTGCCGCAGCCTAGAGTAGTTTTATACAGTTTGAGAATCCTACATAACATATATGCTTGACCTGGTTAGCCACGTAACCGCGTAACCCACACCACAACGTCCAAACCAACCGCCTTGGCGCTCCCCCCCCCCCACTTGTCTAAGCATCGAGTGACAATCTATGACCAGCCCCTAGCTCCCCTGTAAGTACATAGAGTACAACGATCGAACCGATGCGTCTGCAATGTGCCAATATTACAAAAAGTCTCCTGAGGAACACCTAGCAAATGTACCCATCTCCATAGAGTACCATGTACTCGCGGCAGGCAAAAAGTACCGGACAATGCAGGTTTTTGGTTCACCAATGGGTGCGCGTGCTAGGCGTGAACTACTGCAAAAAAAAAGCCCAGAGACAAAACTTGCACCGTCCGGTACTTTTGCCTGCCGCGAGTAATCAACCGGCCCGCCTCCATGCAGTGCAGGGTATGTCCGACATATTTTTTTCCCTTTTTCACCGAATTAAAGCTAAAGTAGAGTACCAAAGAGAACGTAACCAAAATAAACTTCATATTTTTCTAGACATTACTCCCCAACCTAGGTAACCTGCCGTTTCCATAATTCCCTGCCATATGACACGACCATATAATAACATAACTAGACATACACGTTACTGTAATATTGATATCATACCTTATTAAAAGAAAAAGCAAAAAGATAGAAAAAAAGGGGGAGAAACAAACAACAAACCAAGCTTTAGCTCATCAATCAGGAATCTAAGGTGGAGATATATAAAGAAAAGAAAAAACTCCCAAACGTAAAATAGAAGGGGAACATGAAGGAATAAGAAGGTTTAGAGTATATAAAATGCCGCGAATTCCCCAAAGTGTACAAACTCCCAATAAAGCCCCCCAGCCAGCCAGCGAACCGCCTACCCCTAGGTAATTATTTTTTCCCCCGAAACCGAACCCCCATGAAGAGAGAAGCCCGAGACAACAGGTGAAATATACATTAATCGGCCTCGCTGAATGCGCAATCAAAAACACAAACATGCGGCTGGAAAATGTACAAAAAAAAGAAGAACAAAAAGATAAACACCCACACCTCCCAAACATGCAACAATTAGTCCGAGACGAGCAGTACTCCGAATTCCCCACATCGCATGAACCCATTATCTTAACGGAGACTGAACGTCCTTCACACCTCGCTTAAGAACCTCCTCCAGTGGCCATCTAGGTGGTGATACAATTCCCTTTTTCCTCATCTCCTTCTCGTCTTCGCGGGTGACTCCCGGCGGTAGTGGAACAGCACCACCAGCAATGCCACTGGAAAACTTGAGTTGCAAAACATCGCCAATCTCGTCACAAGCAGTCAAAAGCCTATCCAGATCGTCCTTGGTGTGGGCAGCAGAAACGCAGAATCGAGCTCTTGAGCTAACAAGTGGGGTGGCAGGGTATCCAACGACGACGACAGCGATTTTTCGCCGCAACATCTCATGTGAAAAGGCAGGAATCTTTGCAGGGTTATACAGCATGACAGGAATAATAGGCGAATCGTCTTGGCCATAGACAATGAATCCTAGACGCTTTAAACCTAGGCGAAGGTACCGAGAGTTGAAGGCCAGACGCTGCAGACGCTCTTCGCCTTGACCAGGAACGAGTTCTCCAGAGATGATACGCAAAGATGATGAGATTTGCATCAAGACTGGGGGTGCTGGTGACTCGCCATAAACACTACCCGCGTGAGAACTCCGGAGCTTATCAATGACATGCTTATCCGCAGCAATATATCCACCGTTGGCACCGAAAGACTTAGTCAAAGTTCCCATAAGAATATCAACTTCGGAGGGATCAATGCCAAAGTAATCACAGATACCACGGCCCCTTGGACCCAATGCACCAATAGAGTGGGCCTCGTCGATGAACAGATTAAACTTATAGATGTGTTTGAGTTCCAACAATCCTGGAAGATTGCACATGGTTCCCTCCATCGAGTAAAGACCTTCAACGACAACAAGAATCTTTTTCCAGGGGCGGTGTGTCCTCGGCTGACCCTGAGAAATTTGTTCCCTCAAAAGACGCTCCAAGTCATTCATATCGTTGTGCTTAAACATTCCAATCACGGCACCGGAAAGACGAGCGCCAAAACGAATGGAGGCGTGATTCAACTCATCAGAAATAATCAAGCATCCCTTTCCAACTAAGGCAGAGAAGGCAGTCGAGTTTGTAACATAACCCATGGAGAAAATGATTGCAGAAGGCTTTCCAACGAAATCGGCAACCAGCTTTTCCACGTCGGTATGGAGGTCCGAGGTACCCGCATCGACACGAGAGCTCGCAGAGGACATTCCATAGCGTCTGATGCTATCCTCCACAGCATCTGCACAGGGGCCTACTGATTGGGCAAATCCAAGGTAGTTGTACGAGCTCATATTCAATGCCTCAGTTTGTGTACCGGTAAGTTTGAATGTAAGGTTGAAATCATCAGACACGCGGTCCAACAGGGTAATGAAACGGCCCGGAACACCAGTAATGGGACGGGCGAAGCAATCGCTGATCCGCATCTTCAATCGCCGAACGTAGAAGTTGTCAAAGTCACTGTTCAAAGCTGCATAGCCCTGGTAAAAAAGCAAAAGAGTTGCGTCAGCTTCGTAATCAACCGTTGCACTGCCAACAACCAACCACAACAATGACCACCTACATTCTGAGCCTTCAGATGCTTGTAATTCTGATCCTTGAACCTCTTGCCGAAGAAATCCCGAACGTGTCCGAATACAATCAATACGAGATACGAGATGTACGTCGTAAGCAAAAAGTAGTACGGCGGTTCATCCTCAACAGAATCCTCTACCGGTGATCCTTTGGGGTGCTGTGAGATGCACTTATGGCTTGCGTGGCCTAAGGGACCAAACTGTGCATGCTCTCTCGCCAGCTTCCTCGCAGCTTCCGGAGAAGGGGGTGAAAACAGCATTGTAGGGGTATCTGACAATTTATCCGCAGTAGCAGTTGAAAGGGAGATAGTTGGCAAAGACACCGAAGGGGAGAGGCTACGGGCGTTGTTCTGCTCCTGAGCAGCCAGGAGAGAGGCAGAGGCCGAAAGATGGGCCGGAAGGGAGTATGCAGCTTTCGGTGATGAGGAGAAGAACTGGGCCACCTTAGCAGCAGTGTTGCGAGAGGAAGAAGGTGAGCGTTTGCGCGGAGCGTCGATAGGGATAGGAGCCGTCGCGGACGAAGACGAGAACGGATTACGAGGCATCCCGTGTCGAATTGGGTAACTGTCTTAAGAAATTGAGGCTGCAGATAGATGTTATCTTGTAGTACTAGCGTCGATGAGGTTGATTTTTTATTTCAGCCAACACATTAGTGTGGTTGAAAGATTAAAAGGGGTGGTTTTGCGTTAACACAACTCTCTCTTTTCTATCTCTCGGGGGAAGGGGCCTGTTCCTGAAGATCTCTCCCAACAACACACAAGTGCCAACCAACGTGTAGTGGAAACACAGGGAAGCTTGAGCGTGACCAACGACAGTAAAAGGGTCGAAGGAGGGCAATAGCAGATGGAACGTGTTGACGGGAGAGCAACAGTGGGATCCAAGGTCAGGAACGAGGGGGAGGTAGAGAGAGTAGAAGGAGGTTGGGGGGGAGACAAGAAGAAGAGGAAAAGGAAGTAAGCGAAATAAGAACACAAGCCTGGAACAGGAGTTTATTTAGTTAAAGAACCAGAAAAAGGGAGACAAGAAAAAAAAGCCTCGGAACAGAAACAGCCAGACATCCTTTGCCTGCATGCGTCAGTTAACTACATATACCTAGTAGTCAACAACAACGGCTTCTGTGGTTTCCGGGAAACCATAACCTACAAACAATTTCTTTAACAGCCTTCCAATTGGCCCCCGTCTGGAAATCAGTGTGTAGCGACAATATCCTAAAAGAGCATTAAAGACAAGATTAAAGGGTGGACCTGGTGGACCTGGTGGGACAGCTCAACCATTATCCCCTTGCTATTCCCGAATGGTGAGATGAACGAATGAATGGGGCTAACCCACCCGGCCCGGTCTCGGGCCCGGCATATCATGCAATTTCCGAACGTGCTGACCCCGTCCTCTTGAGAATTTTACGCTTCTCCCTAGGGATGTTGAAGAGCGATAAATAGCCCAAATATGAAGATAAACCACTCGTCATATTCCCCCACTGATAACTAATATACAGTTAATCTACAGAGACCTTTTTTTTTTTTTTTACTTGAACACAGCATGCTCCTTTACAGCGTTGATTTGAAATCGCTCTATTGTTTACTTACTGGCCATTACATACCTATTACCTACACGATACAACGCCTATCGCCGAAGCGGGACTCAGTCGCGTGGTGAGATCTGCACTTAAAGATTTAAGAAATATCAAGTCGCTTATGGAACTTCATCGGTTTTTGGCGCCGAATATGGGATGTCAAGCGAAAAGCCTACAACAGAGAGCACGGACGGACACAACCCGAGAGTGGTTAATCCAAACCACAATATTCATGCGACATAACACTACCTGAGCAACTTACTCTTTACAAGACAGGCGTCTACGGATTGTTATATCGTCGAGGAAAGGTTTACGGAGAGGAAGCTCCCTTGACTACTAGCGTAAGACCCGAAGCCCTTAACCCTCTGTGTAGTTATGATTCTAGGATGCTTCTTTCCAATATTAGGTTCCGAGGAGCGTATGTCAGCCATCATGGCATAACCGAGAATGCGTAGTAGATCAATATCCCCAAATACAAAGACCCATTTTATCAGTACACTCACTCACGGGGTGAAGGTGGATCCTGTCTGATGGCGGTCAGGGATTTGAGGCCAATAAAAGAGTTAGGTTTTGGACGCCAAGGGCAAATTACTGCAAACAGAACCATGAGACAGGATCCGCCGTCAGTAGGTCGACTGTACTCCAGAAAGCCATCTGCAAGGTGCACGAAAGAGAGAATGAGGGGTAGGTATCGATATTTCCTTTTTATCTTATCGATCAAAGAAATGCGGGACCGGCAACGATAAGAGGAACGTTGAAATCATAAGATCTGTCGGAAGATGACATCATGATATCATGCGCTATTGAACTTGCCCTGAAATTGTCTCGGTTCGGGGCCGGAGGAAGGGGAACCTTGGATTATTTCCCCAAGCGAGTGATTCTCTGTGATACTGACAAAACCACCAGAGTGGTAGGGTGGCGCCAGCCAACGCCAATCCTTGCGTGCAACGATCGGGTCTCTCGGGCTGCATGCATGGATGATGGATACCACGGGTTCTCGCGTGGTTGTTTAGCTCTGGTGAAAAAAGAATGCATCCTCTTCGAAGGTCTAGAAGAATGTTCTACAAAGGTGGAAGTTTAAGGCAGCCTGGTACTTAAACACATGAGACACCGAGTGAACCTTTCTTCATCTCGTCCTGACGGTACAATGTGCAGCTGTAAAATAAAGAGGCGAGTATAGCTGGCTGACTGACCTGTAGAGCTTACTAATTCTTTGCAAAGCTGTAAATCTGTGGCAAAGATAAAAAAAAAAGTTGACTCAAACACCTAACTCCTGGAACACAAACTATCTTGGTGCACTCATATTTGCAAAAGCTAAAAGTCTTGGTACTGTGGTACATATCTCACGTATGAAGCAAACAAGAGGCATGTGTTTTGTGCTCGAGGAAGAGAGAGAGCCGGGCCCGCGGGGAGAAGAGGATGAGGAAAGCGGTGAGAAAGGGAACAAGGAAGCTAAATAATGGCATTTCTAACAACTATGTAACCCTAAGTCTAGATGTGGATGGGTCGATAAGGGTAGAGATCACACGATCTTTCCACACAGGGTCACCTGGAAATGAAAGAGGAGAAGAAAAAGAGTGGGCGGGAAGGTGGTAGATAGAAGTCTCAAGAGGAGAGAGAAAACGCCAATCTTAACCCGCTTGGTACGTGCAGCGGTATATGCCTTTGACTTTTTGTTAGCACTACGTGACTGGTAAATGTGGAGGCTCTCTTCCAGAAGAGAAGGGGAAAAACCAACTCAAAGTCGGCGACCGAACTTGATGTAGGTACGTTAGGAGATTCTCATGAGGGTATCTAAAGCTCTCTCCCCAGACTCCAGCCCCTTTCCAGCCCTGCGTGCTTTACGCCTCCCAAGACCTAAGGTAAGGCCTGTCTCTTGGATAGCGTCTGGTCACGGCAGTGATCTTGATTGGACGATTGTTGCCCCCAAGTACATACCCAGCGTACATACATAATCCCTAGAGTGCACAGATCTGCTGTGTGGTAAACTCAAACAAAATTCTTTTCTCTGCATCAAAACCTTCTCGAGATCCTTTGTTCTCTCTTGTCGCCTTGATCGCCGGATTTATTGGGATATTGCGCATTGTACAAAATACCGCAATAGAGCATAAGTGCATAGTACTGGCTACGTTCTTGGATGTTCGTCTGATTTCATTTCGGTGTATCCAACAGGGAGAGAGGAAGGTACACAAATTCTACTTGAAAGCTCGGTCTTTTTATCTTTCGCTCCTCTGATCTCTCATCTCCTGCATTTAGTAACTGCAACAACAACAAAACAGACATTTCCCTGCAAGTTGAGCAGCAGTAACAACAAGCAACAACTCAACATTAACCCCCCACCACAATAACTCAGCATACCCCTTCCGCAGTGCAGCTCCACCATTATTCACGGCGCTCGATCAGGTTTACCCTTAATAGATGCTACCAGCAAACATGTCTACAACAGCATCTTCAACTGTTGTGCCCCCATCTGGCGCTCCTCAGTCCCCAAGAACGGGTCGTCTTCGGGGTCTCTCCTACCTCCGCCACTACGCCCATGGTCATAATCACTCAACGTCGCCCGCTGCTCCCACTGTTACCCCCGCTAATGCTAGCTCAAATTCAACTAGCAACCACAATAATAATACGATGAGCAACCATACTCCCACTTCCCCCTCACTTCCCCCATCGCAGCCGATAGCAACGGTTCCACGACAGCGGTCAACCTCGCCTCTCAACAATACAGCTTCAAACGCGTGGCTACCAACTGTGAGCGGTATCAGCGGGCTCTCCCGTGTAGCTTCACAGCCCTCAGCAGAGCTCTCGAACACACCAGGTGTCGTTTCCAACGGTTCCTCTGGTGCCCGCGCCCCAGCCGATCCTGAGGCGGTGAGGTCCATCGATGAGACAATCTCTAATCCTCTTGATCCCACACTACCGACTACTCAAGGGAATCCGAACGCCCCGCTGGTTCGTAGTCCTAGCAATACTGCTCGAGCTAATCAGGCAAACGAACCCGCAGCATCGATCCGTTTTATTCCTCATATCGACAATCGAGCATCCCGTGAATCCCTAATCTTCCCCCCCGTCGAACGCACACTGAGGTTCAAAGATGAACGAATTAGAGTCGGCCGTTATAGTGATAGGGATTCCTCAAATCCATCTGCACCTGTGGGATTTAAGTCGAAGGTTGTTTCTCGGCGACATTGCGAGTTCTGGTGTGATGCGGGCCAGTGGTATGTCAGGGACGTCAAGAGTTCAAGTGGGACGTTCTTAAACCACATCAGACTTTCTGCGCCGGGAAATGAAAGTAAAGCTTATCCGCTATATGATGGTGACATTCTACAACTTGGCATCGACTTCAAGGGCGGGGAAGAGCAAATATTTAGATGTGTGAAAATTAGGGTAGAACTGAACAGGGCTTGGCAAAAGTCGTTGAATAATTTCAAGTATGAAATCCCTATTCAAGGAAGTCGAGAAGGGCATTTTAGCTTACCCGAGACATGATAGTATGTCTGCACATCGACGGATAAGGAATCTTGCAAAAGGCACCCCCGGCGGAGCAGCCAAGGGGAAGGATGGAGATGCAATGTCAACACACACTTCGGAATGCTCCATATGCCTTATGCCTGTGGCTGTAAGTCACATTTTTTTTTTTTTGACAATACCTAACCCAGGTTCCGGGCGGAAATGATTTTTACTAATAAAATCGGTTTGTGATAGCCATGCCAATCGCTTTTCGTAGCGCCTTGCTCTCATGTCTGGCATTATAAATGTATTCGTCCGCTGGTTGAGAAAGACTACCCCTCATTCTTATGCCCCAACTGCCGGGCAATCGCAGATTTGGATCGTGATATCGAGGAGGACGAGCTAGGCGAAGGATGGGAAAATTTCGATGATGTAGACCAAAATGTGACTGAGGAAAGCGGTGCTCCTGTCGCTGCAGAAGAGCAAGCTCTACAGGTACCAGAAGTCGGAAAAGCCCCAGAGCTGGCG